GAACTTTCATCAGGGTGACACAAAAGTCCCTGCCCCTGAGACTGGCGGCAGCTTCCTCATGGACACCAGCAGGAGGGGAAGGGTGACCGGTCCTGACACCATGCCCAGGGCAGGTCCTGCTCTGGCCTGAACCTGGTGGCCTGGCAGAGGAGGGCTTTTCCCATCTCAGCTCCTTCCAAACCATCCCTCTTGTCTCATCACACAGGATAAGCATTGGGTGGCTTCTCAAGGAGTGCTGGCAGCTGCGATTAATCATGGTGCCTGGGCTGCACTTGGCACCGCAGTGGGATCGTACCAGGTCAGGTGTGCTGGGTTTGGGGTGGTTTAGTTTACAGTTTGTCTTGGAAATATGTTGTAAGTACATGAGGACCCCCTGGGCTGGAGGGCAGCACGTGGCCCTGGAGCAGAGTGCTCCGTGTGCCCAGCAGGCATGGACACACTAGAGTGGGTCCAGCAAATCCAATCAGGAAATCTAAGTGTCTGACAGATGGGGTGTCACATTAAGAGTATAGAAATTTGCCAGCAAGTTGCCCCTGTTGTGTTCCAGCCCATCCTCAGAGGTGACAGGGGCTGGGGGCAGCTCAGCTTCATTCTTGGTTATAACCAATCCAACACTCTACATCCAGTCATGTTTAACAGGAACTTCCATGGTTACGGATTCAGGAATAACGGGTCTGTTGAAGGGACAGAAACACGGGTTGGGAATTGCTGTTGATAAATTCACTTCCTGCATTAGCACTCAAATCCAGAGCTGGGCAATGAGTAATTGAGCTCCTTTGGAAAAACAAACCAGCTGGTGTTTCATGAAGCTCGGTTCCACCCGGGTGTCATCCGACATAGTCAGAGGCTCAAGCTGTACCCAAGAGGCATCAGTGCTTTGGGGAGGAGAGAGGAGCAACCCATGGAGCTGCCTGCAGAGTGGGATCATGTTCTCATCCTCTGCCATGGGAGAGCTCAAATGCCTGATTTATACTTTGAGAGACATGGAGGTGAGACTCAATTTACCTTTGCTGCCCTCATAGGTGGTGTGGGTGGCAGCCATTTTCTCCCTTTGGTGTATTTATTATCTGTAGATGAGGGATAAGAGAGTAGATAAGGCTGCTCAAGGGCTGTGGGTCTTGCACAAGGCTGGAAGAGAGCCATGAAATATCCTTAGCACCTTCCACCTGGCTAAGGCAGCATGAAGGGCCGCCCAACCTTCACCCGATCACCCCTGTCAGGTTGTTGCTGTTAATCTCTTCATCACATATCTCATGGCCTCAGGCCTCATTCCTACATGGGGAAAGGCTGGGAGAGTTGGGGCTATTCAAGATGGAGAAGAGGAGGCTGCAGGAGATCCTCTCCTCACCTGATGGAGACTAAATGCTGCCCACTGCCAGGCCGAGAGGGGATGTGCACACCAGTAACATGAGAAATTAATATGCACAGGATCCCAGACTGGTTGGATTGGAAGCGACCTTAAAGCCCATCCAGTTCCAACCCCCTGCCACAGGCAGGGACACCTTCCACTAGACCAGGTTGCTCCAAGCCCCATCCAACCTGGCCTTGAACACTGTCAGGGATGGGGCAGCCACAGGTCAGAAATACTGGCCATGTCAATGACCATGATGTCTCTGCCACCAGCCCATGATCACTGGCTTGATTGCAAGCTTGGACTTGAACAGGTGTTCCCTGATGAGGTTGGTCTCAGTGGTGCCTTTCCCTGCCCCACTCTTCCCAACCAGGAGGAGGCTCATCCCCAGCCCCCTCCATGCTGGACATCCATGGCTGCAATGGACACGAGCAGACGTACATGACTCCTGTTGGTGCCACAGTGCTGCCTGCACCATGTCCCTGGAGTGTCCCCCAGGAGACCCTCCCCAGCTCCGGTGCCTTCCTGCACAAGCAGACAGGGAGCTGGTGGTTGCCACATACCCTGTGCCATGGGGCTGGCACTGTTCAACAGCTGTGTCACTGACATGGACACTGGGACTGAGCACCCTCAGCAAGTTTGCTGACGGCACTGAGCTGTGTGGTGCAGTCAACAAACTGGAGGGAAGGGATGGGATCCAGAGGAACCTGGACAGGCTGCAGAGGTGGGACAGTGCCAACCTCATGAGGTTCAACAAGGCCATGTGCAAGGTCCTGAACATGGGTCGGGGCAATCCCAAGCTCAAATACAGGCTGGGGGAGACTGGATTGAGGAGAGCAGCCCTGAGGAGAAGGACTTGGGGGTGTTGCTCCATGAGAAGCTCCCCATGACTCAACAGTGTGTGCTTGCAGCCCAGAAACCAACCATGTCCTGGGCTGCATCACCAGCAGTGTGACCAGCAGGCTGAGGGAGGGGATTCTCCCCTTCTACTCTGCTCCACTCTGATGAGACCCCCCCCTGCAGTCCTGCATCCAGCTCTGGAGCTCCAGCACATGAGGGATGTGGAGCTGTTGGAGCGAGTCCAGAAGAGGCCACAAAGATACTCTGAGGACTGAAGCACCTCTGTTATGGGGACAGGCTGAGAGAGCTGGGCTTGTTCAGCCTGGAGAAGAGAAGGCTCTGGGGACACTTTAAGAGCAGCTTCCAGTGCCTAAAAGGGCCAACAAGAAAGCTGGAGAGGGGCTTTTGACATGGGCAGGAGGGAGAGGACGAGGGGGAATGGCTTTAAACTGACAGAGGGGGGATTGAGATGGGATCTGAGGAAGAAGTTCTTCCCTGTGAGGGTGGTGAGGCCCTGGCACAGGTTGCCCAGAGAAGCTGTGGCTGCCCCATCCCTGGCAGTGTTCAAGGCCAGGTTGGATGGGGCTTGGAGCAACCTGGTCTGGTGGAAGGTGTCCCTGCCTGTGGCAGGGGGTTAGAACTGGATGAGCTTTAAGGTCCCTTCCAACCCAAACCAGTCTGGGATTCTATGTTCTGGAGCCCTGGATCACTCCCGTTACCTGTGCATGCTGCTGTTGGTGCCTGTGTCATGCTGCAGCCACAGCCACAACCGTGGCCCAGCACAGGCTGCAGCAGCTCCCAGGCTGAATCCACCACAGCCGCGCTGTCATCTGAGCCTTATCCCAGTGGGGCTGCTCTGGGATGCTGCCCTGAGGGATGCTCAGCACCATGCCCTGGAGCCTGCATGGGTGAGCTGCTGCTCCCAGGCCCCCACCTTTGCTTTGGGAGCCATTTGGGTCCACACAAAGCAGGATGGCTGGAACCAGCAGCCCATGATAGTGCTCCCATGGGTCTGCCTGGCCTGACTTCCCCATGGGAAGGGGGTCTGGAACATCCCTGGTATGAGCAGTGCTGCTGTGGGAGCTCTGCAGCCCCTTGGGGCTGTGGTACTCCAGTGCAGCTCTGCCAGCCTGATGTCTCCTCAGGGGACCCATTTCCCTTCCAGCAGCACTGGTGCGCCAGGATACCCAGCTCCATTTGCTGGCTCTCACATGTCCTGGGCTTTCCCTGCCTCCAGGGACTTCCAGCCACCTGTGACAGGAGCCTGTCAGGATGGGGTTGCCTCGACCAGCTGCACCAAAAGCACCGAACAGCACCAGAATGGGGAAGAGGCTGAGCTTCACCCTGTTACTGGAATTGAAGCGGGGGAAAGGAAACCTTACCCACGCCACCCACTGCCAGGGGAGGTGTTTGTCCTGTGGCACTGGTGTTTTCCCTGAAACCTCCCTGGGTCTCATGTGTTTGTGACTTCTGCTGCTGGGGACATTCCCCCATTCCCATCCACAGCTCACATCCCGCTTCTCTGTGCCTCCCCGCCCCCCACCAGTTGCTGGGGTGAGGCTGTGTCCGGCTGCTCCAGGGTGCCAAGACATGCTGACCCCATCCCTGCTTGATTCTGGTACCCAACAACCCCAGTACCGGCTACCAACTTCCTGGAGCACAGCTGCAACACACAGTGTCAGCACACAGAGCAGAAGGGCCGGGGCAATGGGGACATGGGGACACTGTGTGTTGGGAGTATCAGGACACAGAGCATTAGGAACCTGAAGCCACTGGGACACAGTACACTGGGACATCACGGGTGTCAGGGACATCAGGACCTGGGACGTGGGGACATTGGGACTTGGGGACACAGGGGAACAAACCCTGCTGGGGCCCCACATGGTGCAAATTTCCACCCAAGAGAGAGAACCCCCCCAAACCTGTGCCAGAAAGGAAGGAGCTCCGTGGAACCAGTGCCATGCACAGTGGTGCAGATCTGGGCACACCGGTGCCCTCATCAAGGAGCTTCCTCCTCATGCCCACCCTGGGGCCAGGCTGACTGGGGCACGTGGACCCATTGGGCTCCCAGTGAGATGGAGACGGGGGTTCCAGGCTTTAATTCATGTCATGATACACATCAAAGTACTGGCAGCAGCACAGGAAGCAGCGGGGGGACGGGGCAGCGCGGGGGGGGTGCCTGTGCAGGCACCGCACGGGGCTTCGCTTCATGGTGGAGGTGCTGGAGCCAAGGGGAAGGTCGTGGGCAGCACGGCGCCGGCTGGCAACCCACAGCCACCGCGGCTGAGCCCGGCCGGCGCCGAGATGTCCCTGTGGAGGGTGACACATCCTGGGGGGAAACATCCTTGGGTTTGGAAAAGGCAGTTCTGCTGCTCCAGCTGGTTGTTACCCACACGGAGCATCCCGCCGGCGATGGCATCACTAGCAGGACTGGGACACTGCTACCACGGGGAGCCGGAGCTGTGCCATGCACCGATCCCCACCTGCAGCCACCTGTGCCCAGCACAGCAGCGAAGTGCAATTTTCCCATCTCCCAGCCAGGCTCCCAGTCAAACTCCGATGCTGTTTGGTGTCAGCACATCTCCAGAGAGGAGCCTTCCCACCATCCGCATGCCAGCGGTTCTCCCAGTGCCCCAGCCCCGCACCTTCCTGGCCTGGTGCTCCCAGATGCTTCCAGGTCATCCTTCAGCTCCTCACCACCAGCACCACACCAGGGCCTCAGCGCTGCTGGGCCCAGGGCCCTGCCTCGGTGCAGCCCCTCCTTCGTGCTGCGCTGCTGCCAGTGGGGAAGCAGCCTCCACCCTCGGGCTTTGTGTTTGATTTCATTTTTATTTTGCGTGCTTTCTGCCTCACTGGAGGCTCTCGGCGCAGCCGGGACGAGCCTCCTCTTCCTCCTCCTCCTCCTCCTCTTTTTCACACCCGCGGCAACGTGGTGCTGCAGCTCCTTCCCGGCATAGCATGGCACAGGGATGCAGCTGGCGGCTGCTGAGATCCGGCTCCGCGCTGGCACTCGCCACCGTCATTCCCTGGGCGAGCAAGCACAGCAGAGGTTACCCCGCGCCGGCACCTGGCACACCTGTGCTGCGGGTGGTGAGTGGGGTCACCACCAGCCACGCCAGGCAGGGTAGGGCAGGGGGACCCTGGGGATGCCCTGTGGAAACCTCCCTCCTCCTCCTCCTCCTCCATGGCTGGGGGGAGTTAAGCTGTGGCAGTGGGGAAGGGAGGAAGGGCTTCTGGTGAACCACGTGGACTGCTCAAGGACAGGAAGGCTGAGGCTCCGGGTGCTGATAGCACCAGCCTTGTGCCTGTCAGCAGGAAAACCCCAGCAGAAGGACAAGGGGTGGGAAATGGGCAAGGAGCATGGCCGGGTGGTTCCATGGCCAACCTGCGGCTGCTGACACACTGACACACCAGGCAGGGCTGCATGTGCAGCGCCAAGCAGGCGTGCCAGTGGCTCCTGTGTCTGCTGACAGGACCGTCACAGGCCCCCAAACCCTGGGGAGAGTCTAGTGACCCCCAACTCCCACTGGGACAGAATTCCCTGCTGCAGAAGGGAGTGTGAGCGGAGTGCCAGTGCTCCCACAGGCCTCAGGAGGGGAATCGGCTGCAGGGGGACATGCCGGGAGGGAGGGGGCTCACGTGAGGGCGGCCTCAGCCCTAGGGGCACACTGGTGCGCGGTGAGGTCAACCTCCTGGGCAAAGCTCTGGCCGCACTGGGTGCAGGAGAAGGGTGTCCTGGCAGCGTGGGTGCGCCGGTGGATCCTCAGGGAGCCCTTCTGGCTGAAGGCCTTGCCACAGTCGGGGCAGGCGAAGGGCCGCTCGGCGCCGTGGCTGCGCTGGTGCGTGGCCAGGCTGCTCCTGCAGCTGAAGCCCTTCCCGCAGCGGGCACAGGCAAACGGGCCACCGGTGGCTGCCTCATATGGCTGCGGCGAGCGGCTGCTGCCCGGCTGGACCTCGGTGGCAGTGGTGCCAGGCCGGTCTTCGGCGTGGGTGCGCTGATGGTTGAGGAGGAAGCGTTGCTCACGGAAGCACTTCCCGCAGCGCTGGCAGGAGAAGGGCTTCTCGCCGCTGTGGATGCGCTGGTGGGTGAGCAGGTTCTGCTTGAGGCTGAAGCTCTTCTGGCACACGCCGCACTGGTAGGGACGCTCCCCAGTGTGGATGCGCTGGTGGATGATGAGGTTGTGCTTGAGGCTGAAGGCTTTGCCGCACTCGGCGCAGATGAAGGCGCGCTCCCCGGCGTGGTGCTTCTGGTGCCGGGCGAGGCTGGGCTGCTGGCCGAAGCATTCCCCGCAGAGGATGCACTTGAACTCCTTCTCCACCTCCTCCTCTGCTTGGCTGTGGATCACCAGCGCCTTCTCGTCTCCCAGGCCCTCCTCGCCCCCTGGGAAGGCGAAGGGCTTCTCACCCGCCGGCGACGCCAGATCCGTCATGGGCACCCGCTGCCCTGGAGAGTGCAGACAGGGAGGGCTGCAGCTCCGGCCGCTGGCCCTAATGCCCCGGTGCGGGGCTGTGGCAGCCCGGTGTGAGGAGCCCTGAGGAAGAAGGTGACAGGGCCCGGCCTCGGCTGGAGCGGGACCGCGGGGTAGGCCGAGCCCTGCGGCGGGCTGAGGCAGCTCTCCGGGGGCCGGAGGGCTTTGACTGGAGGGGCCGGACCCGGCTGGAGGGGGCGGGCGCTTCAAACCCGGCACCGGGGAGACAGGGGCCGCGAACCGACCAGGAGCCGCCGCAGTGCGCCGGCCGGGCCGGGCCGGGCCGAGCCGAAATCAGCCGAACTCGGCCGAGCCGGGCCGAGCAGAGCCGAACCCGGCCGAGCTGAGCCGAGTGCAGCCGAACCCAGCCCAGCCGAGCGCCGCCGAACCCGCCCGAGCCGCCCATCCCTGCGGTGGGCCCGCCCCGGCAGTTGGTTGCGGTCCCGGTCCCGGTCCCGGTCCCAGCCCCGGCCCTCGTCTCCCCCGGCGCATCCTGACCTGGCGGGTCCCGCGTGTGTCCGTGATGGTTCCTGCACCAGTGAGGCTGGGCCGGGGCCGCCGCGGGGCCGGTCCCTTCCAGGACGCAGAGGGTGTCCCTGGCCCCGCTCCTCCCTCCCCTCCCTGGGGCTCCCCGGTCCCCCCTTGCCCGCAGCGTGGCCCCCTGGCGCTGACCTGCCCGAGCCGCTGCCGCGCCGCGTCCCGCCGGCCCCGCCCGGCCCCTCCCGCCTAGCTGACGCACCGGCGCCCGCCCGCGCCCGTCACCCCGGCCTTGCGGCGGCTCCGCCCGGGGAGGGCGGGGGGCGGCGGAGCGAGGACCAGCAGCATCACACACCTCCGGGGAGGGACCGGCACGACTCCGACTCTGTGAGGGGACACCCCCACACCACGCGTTGCTCCTGCCCCTTAGCAATGTGTATGTGTTGTTCCTCCCCTCCCCCCACTCCGATCCTCCGAGCCCAGGAATTGTCCCAAATCACCCCAAAACCAGAGGAACCAGCCCTGCCGCCCGAGCGAGTCTGGTGGGACCGGGAGAGCCGGAGGGTCCTCAGCACAGCAGTCAGCACTGGGGGCGGCTGTGCCGCAGGACAGCGGAGAGAAGCCCCCAGGTCCTGCCCCTGTGCTCCTGTCACCTCCTCCATCCCACCCTGGGGTGGGACCCAGGTGTCTCCAGCCGGGCCGGTGGCACACGGTGGCCACGGGGTGCCAAGCACACGGCTCTGAGCTGTTTCGGGGCTGTTTGCACTGGGAGGAGCCCCTCGTGCTGGTTGGGTACTGGGTGCCACCACCACCAGGGACCTTCATCTGGCACATGGCGTGGCCATCGCAGCTGGATTCAGGACCAGGATGTGCTGGCAGTGCCGAAGCTTCTCCCAGATCAGGACAGGCTTGTGTGTGCTGGGCCAGTGGGACCACGGGCCCAACATATCCCCAGCAATGAATGAGAGCACCATGGAATGAGAGCACCAGTGATCCTGGGAACACAGGGGGGTGTTCTGGTGGAGCAGAGCAGATGTGACACAAAGCCAGCCATGCCACTGTCACACTGTCACTGGCAGTGACAGCAGTAGGTGCTATGGCACAGAGTGGAGCTCGTGGTGCCACAGGCAGCTCCAGACTGGGCTGTCATGCAGAGGTTTGGCAGCCATGGGGCACGGTGGAGGTGCTGGGCCTGGTGCAGGAGCTCTCTGCAGGCTGCAGCTTGCCGGGGCTCAGCAGCGCGCTCAGCCGGGACGCCCGTCGGCAGAGATTGCTATCGCTGTTGTCTGGACCTGCTGCGCTGGGGCCTGGTGATGCCAAAACACCAGCTGTGTTTGTGCCTACCGGTGCCAGGAGCTGGGGGCTGCCCAGAAGGTGAGGGGAGACCTGTCCCCTTCCCAAGGGGGCTGAGGCCATGAGCACTGGAGCTGAGGGCTGGCTGTGGAGCCACTGAGCTGGTGTCATCCCTGGTCCAGTGGAGGTGGCGTTGCTGGGGGACAGGAAAGGGGACGTTGGTCCCTGAGCACTGGCAGGGGGATGGTGGAAGGCCACCTCCATGCCATGGCCCTCTCAGAGCATGGCGAGCAACATGCCAGGGCCCGTGATTCTCCAGCAAAGGTATCTCCCTCCCTGGAGGGGTCATCAGTGGACACTAGTGGTAATGAAGCCCAAAGTGATGCCAAACCAGAGCCCCCCTGCCCCTGCTCAGTTCCAAAGCGCTGGTGGCCCTGAAGGACTTCACCTGGAGCCCACAGCAGCAGGAAGGAACACCCGCCCCAGTGCTGGTCCTGGACCTCGGCCACAAGGTGATTCTGGCAGAGGAAGGACCCTGGAGCAGCCAGGATGCTACTGATAAGGGTCCCCAGACCCCAAACCAAGCCACAAAGCACCAGATTTGCCACCAGTCCCATGTTTTCCCTGTTAGGATCTGTTTTTTGGGATGCTGAAGTCCAGAGTGCTTTGGCAAGCAGCTCAGCCAGCAGCCATAAACTAAACTGCTGCAAGACGAGAGGACCAATCAGCCATGGGGTCAAAGAACTGGGGCCAGCCCGTGATGGAGCGCAGGCTGCACGCCAGCCCAGGGCAGAGCAGCCCCAGTGCTTCCCAGGACAGAGGAGGCAGGAGCGTGCTGTGAGAAAGCTTTTATTTTAAATAACCTCAAAAAATAGAATTGCAAGGACCTGAAACGCAGCTGGAGCAGAGCGAGAGGGAAGGGGGGGGGCGAGGCTCTAGTCGTGACCTGTGTCCTGGTGTCCCCTTGGCCCTGGTGGGTGGCAAAGCTGCGCGCTGCATCCCTTTGGATGCACCCCAAAGACGTGCACGGTGCTGCACCGAGCTGGGCACTGGTGACACCCCACCCTGTGTTTTCAAGGAAGGTCTTTGTCCAGTGGCTGGAGCCGTGCACAGGGAGACACCGGTCTCCCTCCGGCAGCAGGCAAAGCCTTTTTCCCCTTTTGGATCAGGACATCTTTTGAGCATTTGGTTCCTGTTTCTGCCCTGACCACGCAGCTCCATGGCTCTGCCACACTGAGGGGGAAGCGGAGATGCCTGATGAGCCCCGGTGAGGAAACCTGTACTCCTGCATCCCCCCAACCGCTAGCAGGGAAAGGGGCAGACACCGCCACCAGTGCCAACAGCTACAACAGCTCCAGCAAGACCACAGCCGCTGCAGCTCCCCTGGTGTGTCCGTGTTACCTGTTCAGGAGTGAAGTGAGTACCAGAAAGAGGCGCAAGGCAGAACGATTACCCACAGAGCAAGCAGAGAAGCATAAGCACCCACCACCCCCCCTTTCCCACCCCCCATCTTCCCCCATGCCCCTCCGACCTCAGAGGAGAAGCTTCTCCAGGTCCCTTTCAGAAACAGAGGTGAGCTGAGATGCTTCAAGGCCATTTTCCCAGCTTTTCCCATTTTCTTGGCTCCTCCTGCCACCCCTGGGGTAGCCCCAGGCTTGACTGTGCTGCCTATCAACAGGAAGTCCCGGTTGAGTCCCAGTCCCACTCTGGCTAGGCCAGTGGGTCACAGCTCTCCATCCCAAATGCATCCTTGTGGAGTGACATCCACTCTGGAAGAGAAGGACAGGGGGTTCTGGGTAAAGCTCTTGACCCATGGAGGCCCCTACCTGCCCTACAGCGTCTCTGGGTCCATGCATCACCCAGCATGATGGAGATGGAGGCAGGAGCAGGCAGATGTGCCACTGCCTGGCAGAAGCGGATTTTTAAGCCGACGGATCCCAGATCCCGAGCTCTTCCCATTCACAACGGTCTGCGCAGCCACAGCAGGAGCCGGTGTCGCAGACCCAAGGTCTGTCTCTGCTCCTCAGCTCTGTCCCCTCTACAGATTTGGTACGTTCAAAAGACAGAAGCTCCTGTGGCACATCCAAGTCCTGCTTCCCAAGTCCTGCACAGGGGCCGTGGAGCCTCCTGAGCCGCCATCACCTCTGCGTCCTGGCAGGCACCATGAGTCCCGGCCAGCGGCTCTCCCTCGGCACTGTCCTCATTTGGCGAGCACGAGCTGCCGCCTCTTCAGCTTCGGTGTCTTTTAGTGCAGGAGCAAGGTGATGCAGGCTCTCGCCAGAGGCGGGTCTGGGCAGCCCGCACCGGCGTTACAAGCAGCTGGGGCACGGCGAGGGCTTCTCTTCGCCGTGCGCTCTCTCAGGCACTCTCAGGACTCGTTTCTCCTCAAAGCTCCTGGCACAGCCGCCGTACTTGCACCAGAGCTCAGCTCGGCACTCGGGCTGCGGCTTGAGGAGCAGCTGCCGCTGGCTGAGGCAGTCAGCGCAGCAGCACTGCGGCAGCAGGCTTGGCGGCTTTGGGCTCAAGCCCTCCCCGCTCTCGGTGCACTTACAGGACCCCGGAGGTCCCTCCTGCGGGGGGTGGGAGCCAGGCACGAGGTGCTGCTGCTCTTCCTGCATCAGCTGCAGGAGGATGTCGGCTGCGCCCGAGGGGCTCTCCGGTCTGTTGGGGGGCTGCGCTCCCGGCCGGAGCTCATCCCGAGGCAGCGATCCATGAGCGGCTCCACGGGAGCAGGGGGGCAGCAGCAGGCCGGGGGGCTCCGAGCCTTTTCCCAGGGGAGCGCCGCTGCCGTCTGGCTCGTCCTGGTGTGCCGGGCAGGTGCCCTCGCAGCAGGAAGGTGGGATGGCACCGGCATGCGTCCTGCGGTGCCGGAGCAGGTGAGCCTTCTGGCTGAAGCCCTTGCCGCACTCGGCACAGCGGAATGGTCTCTCCCCGGTGTGGGTCCTCTGGTGAACAGCCAAGTTCACCTTCTGGCGGAAGCGCTTCCCGCACTCAGCGCAGGCGTGGGGCCGCTCCCCAGCGTGGCCCTGCCGGTGCAGCTGCAGCTCCCCGTGCTCCTCAAAGCTCTCCCCACACAGTGAGCAGGGGTAGGGGCTGCTGGCATGGCTCTGCGGTGCGGGGGGCTGGCCTGGTTCGCCCTGGGGCCGCTCAGCCACGTGCACCCGCTGGTGTACCCGCAGGGACAGCTTGCTCTTGAAGCGCTTGGGACACTCGAGGCAGGTGAAAGGCTGCCGGCCCGTGTGGGTCTTCTGGTGGGCAATGAGGTTAGGCTTCTGGGCAAAGCGCTTGCCACACTGGGTGCAGGCGAAGGGGCGCTCCCCGGTGTGGGTGCGGTAGTGGGTCACCAGGTTACCTTTCTGGTTGAAGCGGCGTCCGCAGACGCCACAAGTGAAGGGGCGCTCACCAGTGTGGATGCGCTGGTGAGTCACCAGGTTGGTCTTGAGGCTGAACCTCTTGCCGCAGACATCGCAGCGGTAGGGCCCTCTGCCACGGTGGTTCTGCCGGTGCTTCACCAACCGCTCGTACTGGGGGAAGCTTCTGCCGCATTCAGGGCACAACCAGGCCCTCCCCTCCACCTGCTTGTCCTGGAGAGCTTTGGGGGAGAGCTCATCGCCAGAGCTCTTCTCGTGCTCAGGGCACGGGTAGCACTTCTGCCCGGTGTGGCTCTTCTGGTGGGCCACGAGGGACAGCCAGAGACCGAAGCTGTTGCCGCACTGGTTACAAATGAAGGGCTTCTCTGCCCCAGGGGCTGTGGGGGCCGCGGCGGTTGCCTCCCCAAGGACCGGCTGCACGCCCAGCGGCCCCAGGAGGTGCGGGCCATGGGTGAAGGCTGCTGTGCCAGCACCAGGAGCCTCAGTGGTGGGACAGTGTTGTGGCCTGAGAAGAGCCACCTTCTGGCAGAAACCCTCCCCACACTGGACACAGGGGAAGGTCTGCTCACCCAGGGCAGCGTGCTGGGGTGGCAGGAGTGGCTCCTTTGGGGGAAAGCTCTTCTCTGTGCAGGAGTACAGCTCCTGGCCCTCAGGGATCTTCTGAATGGGCAGTGGCGGCACAGAACTGAAGGGGGGCTCTTGCTCAGGCCCCCCAGGCTGCAGCAGGGTGGGTGCAGCCCCATAGGGCAGCCCAGCAGCAGGACTGCGGCCTGGGCAGCGCCGCTGGCGTGGGGCGTGTGTCTTCTGGTGGGCTTTGAGGGAGACCTTGTCCTTGAAGCACTTCTGGCACTGCCCGCAGGGGAAGGGGCGGAGGTCCGTGTGGGTGCTCTGGTGCGTCACCAGGTTGGTTTTCTGGGTGAAGCGCTTGCCGCACTGGGTGCAGGCGAAGGGGCGCTCTCCAGTGTGGACACGGTAGTGGGTCACCAGGTTGGTCTTCTGGTTGAAGCTCCTGCCGCAGAGGAAGCAGGTGAAGGGCCTCTCGCCAGTGTGGATGCGTCGGTGGGTGATGAGGTTGGGCTTCTGCCGAAAGCTCTTCCCACACTCAGGGCAGACGAAGGGGGTGTCCTCCTGGTAACTCCTCCCTTGGGATCGCAGCTTCGGCTTGCCGGAACCACCATCCTCCTGCTCGCCGCCCGCTAGTGCCTTGTCCCCAGCGGCATGGATGCGCTGGTGTGCTAGGAGGTTGGCCTTCTGGCTGAAGCTCTTGCCACACTGCGTGCAGGGGAATGGGCGCTCCCCGGTGTGCACACGGCGGTGGGTCAGGAGGTTGGGGCGCTGGCTGAAGCTCTTTCCGCAGTCCCCGCACCGGTAAGGCTTCTCCCCGGTGTGTATCCTCTCGTGTGTGATGAGGCTTTGCTTCTGGCGGAACCCTTTCCCGCACTGGGCGCAGCGGAAGGGGCCAGCGCCGAGCTGCGGTACCCAGCAGGCCACCCGGGTGGACAGCGGGCTGAGGCTGGTGGCGCTGTCTCGCTCCGTGCCGGCGCGCTCTGGTGCGCGCTGCCCAGCGTGGAACCAGCGGCTGGAGCTGCTGGTGGTGGCTGGGTACAGCTCCAGGGCCCCAGCAGCTACCCCAGGCTTCTCCTCGGGCTGCTCGACTTTGTTCACTCGGCCAGGCTCAACTGGATGGATTGCAAAGAGATTTGGGATGTTAATTTTAGGCTTTCGTGGGATCAGAGAACATCTCAGGCTGGAACTCACAAGGATCATCAAGTGTGATTCCTGGCTCCTCACAGCACTGCCTGACCTGAACCACTGCGGGCTGTACCACTCTGAAGGATCACAGCCATTCCCAGAGCCTGCTCCACCCCTACCTTGCTTACAGCAGTGCTGGCAGCAGTAGCACAGCAAGGACTTGCTGTTAAGTGGCCAGAGATAGCTGCAAACTGGTCTCAAAAGGCCATAAATGGCCTGGAATGGCCACATGCTGGCCCAAGTTATTTGGAAACTGGTCAAAAATGGCTGCAAACTGGCCCCACACTGGTCAAACAAGGCTACATACTGGCCCCAAGTGGCCACAAACTGGTAAAATATGGCTGCAAACTAGCCCAAAATGGCTGCACACTGTCCCAAAATGGCTGCAAACTGGCTGCAAACTGCCCCAAAATGCCAGCAAACGGCCCCAAAATACCAGCAAAACTGGCCCCAAATGGCCCCAAACTGCCCCAAATGCAGGCAAACTGGCCTCTAATGGCCAGAGACTGGCCCCAAATGGTTGCAAACTGGCCCTAAATGGCTGAAAGCTAGCCTAAAATGACTGTGCACCAGCCCCAAATAGCCAGATACCGGCCCCCAAAATGGCCCCAAATTGGTAAAAAATGGCTGCATCCTGGCGCCGAAGGGCTGCAAACTGGGCCAAAAAGGCCCAAAACGGTTGCAAACTAGCCCTGAAGAGCCTCTGCCCACAAGAGGACATTCCCGCACCCACCCAGGGCCGTTTCCCTGTGGTGCCGCAGCCGGCACCGTGTCGCAGGGTGCACTCACCCGCACAGGGGCTCACGAGGATCTTGCTGTCCTCCTGCATCTGCTGCCCTTCGGGGTACGGCTCCTCCGACTGCTTGATGCCAAACAACCCGCCAGGCTTGAAGAACCTGTAGCCTGTTTGGAGGGATAAGAGCCGGTCACCGGGAACCGGCACACTGCAGAACGTTCGCACTGGGCACAGACGTGGTCATGAAGAAGCTAAAATTAACGAGGCTGGGGGGCATCGCTTTCATCTATTTTAAGCTGCTGCTGCCTGGAGCGTAATTAAAAGATAAAAGGAAATACCAGCACCTGGCTCCTTCCTCCTGGCAAGGCAGAAGGCGGGAAGGAGTGCCATTCCTTGGAAGACAGCACTCACCGGGTAACTGCAGATCCGGCGTAACGCTTTTCCGATCGGATTTCAAAGGCTACCGCAAAAATGCGCTTAATTCCAGGCTGGGCCTCCCAAGAAGAGGCTCCATCTTGAGCAGTGCAGCTCGGGGTGGGGGCAGAGCGGGTGAAGGAGCTGCCTCGGGGTGTGGATTCCTCCCAGGGGAGCCACATCTGCACACGTTTACATACACCCCTCCTAAATCTCCCCCCACCCGGTCAAGAGGAGCAGTCAGTTGGAAGTGGGGTTCCCGCAGGATAGACTGGAGAACACCCAAGGGCACCCACAACCCTGTATCACCTGTGCAGGGGTCGGACGGGATCTCAGTGCCGACAGCATCCAGCTCGTGCCCGGCTCTTGGCACCTCGCTCAGCCGGGGGTATGGCAGCAGGTTCAGGGCGTGGGAAGGCTGGTGATGGAGAGAGGAGAAGGGTTTCAGCAGGTCCCCATTGTGGGTTTGGGGCTGTTTCTTTGGGGTTTTTGGCTGGTGGGATGAGGGGAGGGACCATCCCCCTGTGCTCGCCACTGGTGAGGCCACACCTCAAATCCTGCATTCAGTTCTGGGGCCCTCAGGACAAGACAGACACTGAGGTGCTCGAGCCAGTCCAGAAAAGGGCAACAAAGCTGGCAAAGGGTCTGGAGCACAAGGCCTGTGAGGAGCTGCTGAGGACACTGGGGTTGTTTAGAAGAGAAGGCTCAGGGGAGACCTTATCGCTCTCTAGAACTGCATGAAAGGAGGTTGTACTGGGGTGGGGGTCGGTCTCTTCTCCCAAGTAACAAGCAATAGGACAAAAGGGAAACAGCCTCAAGCTGCACCAGGGGAGGGTTAGATTGGATATTGGGAAAAATTTCTTCACCAAAAGTGTTGTCAAGCACTGGAACAGGCTGCCCAGGGCAGTGGTGGAGTCACCACCACCCCTCGAGGGATTTAAGATGTGTACATGTGGCACCTGGGGACATGGCCTTGGCAGTGCCAGTTTAATGGTTGAACCCAATCTTAAAAGTCTTTTCCCACTTGAAGAATTCCCTGATCGAAAAGATGGGCTTTGGGATCAGTACCCACAAACCACCACCAGCCCCACAGTGAGGTGATGGGCACACCACACCACTTTCAACAAAAGCCCTTGCACCCCTTGAACCTGAACTTGAGAGCTAATGGAGGAGGGGGGGATCCTGACTCAGCAGGATCACCCCTGAAGTGTTCTCCTGGCACTCTGGATTCACAAACCCCATCCCACCCCATCCAACAGGATCCCTTCATGGGATCAGCCAGCCCACCTGGGGTCTATGCCTGGGGAGGGAACCCCTGCGCAGATCCAGACTGGCTCTTCCTGGGAAGCTCTAAACCCAATCCACCCATCTTCACACCCCACACTCCCCCCCCAGGATTCCTCCCCTCTTCCCTCGGAACTCCTCCACAGCTTGGCAGGAGCGAGGGGAGCAGATGGCAGGAGACGCGGCACCCGCCGCGCTCTGACGCCTGCCGTGACTTTCAGAAGCGCCAATTTAGAAGAAAATAAAACTCTTGTGGGGGGTTTGCTCAGCAACTCGGGGAGAAAAGCACCGGGAGAGCTTCCACCCCCCTGGAAAACCCCCAAATCCCCCCCCCTTCCCCCCCCAAATGGAAAAGGAGCCGGGATCCCTCTGGCCACCCTGACTGCTCTGCCACGGCTGGAAGGGGCCACGCTCCAGCAGCCATTCCACTGGGATGGCAAGGAACCCGTTACCCCCCTTCTCCACGTACCTGGGGCGCTCCCCCTGCAGACATGGCTCCCCTCGGGGCCGCCCGGCGAGGGGAGAGGACATGAGCGCCGGGGAGGGCGCCGGGCGGCGGCCGTGCTTCCCCTCCGCCTTCCGCCACGGTCGCGGGCTCCGCTCGTCCCCGACTTCCTCCAAATGGCTGCTCCTGGGCCCTGGCAGAGCAAGAGAGAAGAGCCGGTGAGCAGGGAAGCGCCGAGAGGCGAAGCTCGGCCGCACAGGGAGAGGCCCCGCTGTGTCTGTATCCCCCCTCCTCCTCCTCCTCCTCCTCCTTCTCCTCCTTCTCCTCCTCCCCCGAGTTATTTTAGGGGAGAGGAAGGCGCTGACCCCGGCTCTGGCCCGGATTCGTTCTGTTTACGGCAAAGCTTCCACGCCGCTGCACGCGCAGCGCTAGTGGGATTTGTAGTCCATGCCAAGAGGCCCCAGCACCGCATGCTAGGGGACCGGGAAGTGCCCCGGTGTGGCCTCACCCTGTGTCACAGGGAGCGAGTTTCTAGCTCCCGGCTCCTGAACACCCACCAGGAGAGAGCCCAGACAAACGCCTCCAGTCCCAGTCTCACGCCTCACCCGTCTTCTCTAGAGGTGCCCAGCCCACTCAAGCACCCTGGCACGGCACACAGAGTATGTGGCTACTGGGAGAGCCCCTGTATCCCACACCACCCCTCCAACACTGCCAACCTCCTTGTTCGTAGAACACGGGTTAGAATCTGGCTGGGGAGAGGGGCCGGGCCATGTGGGAGCTGGCAGGATCCCAACCCTTCCTCCCTCCCTGGTAGCACCGGGATTCTCTGGTGCAGGCACCCGTTGTGGCACCATGGTTCCAGGCATCGTTACCCCCATCATTAGGTGCCACCATGGTGAGTGCAATGGAGCTGCATCACTCCCCACAGCCATCAGCAGCCCTGGCACAGCCAAAGGGCATTGGGAATGCTGTGTGGGGTGGGGGATTCCTGAGGCTCTCAGAGGGCAGGCAGGGCCTCGAGCCCATGCCTGCCCATGGCACCATCTCACTGCCGTAGGCACTGCTCCAGAGGAGAGAACCAGCTCTCAGGAGCATGGGTGGAGGACTCGCACCCAAAACAGAGGGAGAGGTGCCGATGCCCCATCCCATGACACCTGGAGAAGGGGTGGGAGCAGCAGGTGGTGCTGCCACTTGATGTGACAGGTCTCCAGCGGTGGCAGAAGCTGGCCATGGAGCCAGACCCAGTGTGACACCCGCAGCCCCGGCCCCCACCCCACCGGTGTTCCCACCCCAATCCCGTCTTTCACGCCCCAGGAAGCAGCGGTGCTTTCCCGCCTCTCCTCCCTGGCACACGAGGGTACGGACACGGCAGTGGCGGGGGCACCCCGGGGGGTACCAGCACCCTCCGGTTCACCGGGATCGAAAGGCCCCGGTGCCCCGCGGCCCCCACCTCCGGTACCCAACACCGCGTCCCGGGCCCCCTCCGGCCCCGGCCCCGCTCCGTGCCAGGCCGAGCGTTGCCATGGCGACACCCCCCACCCACCCCCACCCCCCGCCAGGTCCCGGAGCCGCCTCCCCGGGGAAACTCACGGGCGGGCGATGTCCCGCGACACGATGACGTCGTCGCGGCGGTGACGTCACCGCGCGCGGCGGCGGAGCGGGGGGAAAGAAGGGAGGAAAAGGAGGAGGAAAAAGAGGGGGGAAAGGGGCGCGCGCCCGCCGCCGAGCGAGAGCACTTCCGGGTCGGCTTCTCCAGCGCTGCCGGCAGCGCCCTCTGCCGGCACCAGCAGGAAGCGCTCCTCCTTCTGCCCCGCCACCCCGCTCCGGTACCGGCACCGCCTGCACCCCCGGGGGCCCTACAGCCGCGGGAGGCTCGGCCCGGGTCGGTGCGGGGTCCCGGCCACCGCCAGCACCCAGCCCTGCTCCTGTATAAAGCGCTGCGTTACTGTTTTAGCTGTCGGCCATTAAACGAGCGTAACTGTCGGAGCACGGTAACAAGATGGCGGTTAAGGCGGGAAACTCTGCCAGGAGCTGGGTCAGTGGTTACACCTCGTACCAAGTCCAGCAACATGCAGACACCACAGCATAAAGGGGTTGGCACATACGGGGAGCGGGGTCTCGAGTTGGAGGAGTGGGAGATGCGGACAAGGGCGGGACTTCACCGTGGAGTGTGCAGGTGCCCCGGATAGGCTTGAGCCTCCGAGTGCCCAACCAGTGGGAAACAAGGGAGGGACTTGGCGGAATAAAGGGAAGAAGTTTGTAGCCGTTGGGTGTGTTTACTCAGCAGGACACCCGGTTTTGCTAATAGGTTTGATAAATCACTGCAAGCAGTGTGTCTGACCTCAGTGTTCCAAAAGTGGTTTGGGTTCCAACAGACAGGGCTCGTCCGTGGTGAAGGCGTCGTCGAGGGCACCTCCGCTGCCAAAGGACGGGGAGGCGCATCCCGTTGATGCCAGTGGCCTCGCGCAGCGCCGACACCAGTTCCGCAGCCGCTGACGTGAGACCATTTGTATAAGGTGGACCCATTGAACCAGACGGGGAAAAGAGAGAAGGAAAAAGTAGTTTTTCCTTCTGTCAGCGACCAGGCAACTCCGTGTGCAGGCCAAGGTAAGAAAATGGGGTGTTAAAGTGTTACCTTGGTGGTTTGGGCACTCAGAGACTTGAGTGATTGTGTTCGAGAGATACAAATAAGTATGAAGCAAGTGTGGAGTCCGGATGCATGTTTCTGTTATTCCACAAGGGATACAGCCGGAGAAGGACAGAGCATAAGGACTTGTTGAAAGGACGTCTTGGGAAATAGAATGGAGAAAAAGAGTAGTAGGCCTAAGGAAAAGAAGGAATGAGAAGAATCATCCCAGGAATAACTTTCCTCCAGATAGTCCCTTAGGGAGAATGTTAAAATACTGGAAAGATAAGTCCTCTGCAAGAGGGAAGGGTAAGAAAAAGATGATACAGTATTGTTGTTTTGTTTGGACAAGAGAGAGTATTGAACCACTGCCTGTTTTCTGGCCAGAATATGGAGCGGATGAAGCTTGGGTACATCAAACTTTAAATCTGCCCATAAATAGTAAGAAAGCCTTTTTGCAGGAATTATTATGCTGGATGCTGAATAGGAAACCCTGCAACTCGGTTACTTCCTTTGAAAAGAATCAGTGAAAAACATGAAGAAGACCCTGGGAAGTCCATAGCCTGGGATCCATTGAAATGTTTGCCCCTTTCCCCAATTATCGCTGGTCCACCTCCAGAAAACCCTGATGAAACTGGCTTTATTCAATCCTCTCTCCCATAAGGATGAGTTAACTCATCAGGGGGCTACAGCCAGTGCCCTGCCTCAGGCTGAATATTCTAACTTAACTAAAGAACCAGACCAATGTAAGGAATATCTCCTAGACTTTCCTATGCCTATGGGAAAAGAACAGCCCGAGAAAGGGGGGATTACCGAGAGCTTCTGTCTCCCATGGGAGGTTCCGCTGAGTGCAAGACAACTAGGGTGTGTGACTGCCCCACTCACCATCACTGAAGTTAGAAATGTTTAAAAAAAAAAAAAATGAGACCTTTAATCGAAGACCCTATAGGGTTAGCAGAGCAATTAGATCAGGTCTGGGGACCCAACTTTTATTCTTGGGAAGAAATGGTGTCTATGATGAATATCTTATTTACGGGAGAGGAAAGGGGAATGGTTAGAAGGGCAGCCATGACAGAGTGGAAAAGAAGGCACCCGCCTGGTCAAGGAGTTCTACCAGCAGAACACAAGTTTCCCAATGTGCAGCCAAATTGGGATAATAATAACCCAGCCCACCAGGCTAATATGAGAGATTTAAGAGACTTAATAATCCAGAGAATAAAAGAATAAAAAAAAGTTGGTCCCAAAATCTCAGAATTTTGCAAAGGCTTTTGAACGGAACAAGAAAAAGATGACACACACACCCCACCCCCCCCCCCAGTGTTCTTGCAGTGATTGAGGGATCAAATGAGGAAGTATTCAGGAATGAATCCTGAAGACACTGTAGCCCAGGGTTTACTGAAAGTCCATTTTGTAATTAAGACTTGGCCAAACATTGGGAAAATAGATGGGTGAAATGAAAGACCCTTAGAGGAATTACTAAGGGAAGCCCAAAAAGTTTTTGTAAAGCAAGAGGAGGAGAAACAAGGGCAAAAAAGCGAAAATGATGATGTCCACAGTGACTCCAGTAATGGAAAAACAAATTAGAACCAATGGTTCAAAGGGATCGAGGAATGTGGAGGAATGTGGACAAGGGGAAGAGGTATGAGGGTTGTAATGCTTCCTCCTCTTAGTAGGGGACAGGGAAGACCTTAGCAGTCACCACAGGTTATCCAGCCATCAGCATGTTGCTTCCTGTGTGGGAAAAGTGGACATTTTAAATGTGAATGTCCCAGTCTTGAGAAGGAGGAGCAGGTAATCCTGTTGATGACCTTTGAAGATACTGAATGGGGGAGTCAGGAGTTTCTTAACTTCAAGTCCCACCAAGAACCCTTGGTAAATGTGAAAGTGCGACTTTCCTCAGGATGAGGAAGTGGGGTTTTCTTAGTTGATATGGGAGCTGCTCAAACCTCATTAAACTTTATACCCCAAGGATTGAAACTATCTTATCAAAACCTGATAGTCTCAGGAGTAAAAGGAGGAGGATTCCCAGTCCCCGTGTTTGAAAACACCATGTTAAAATTAGGAAATAAAACACCTAAAGGGAAATTTTTATATATTCCTGAGGCATGGAATGCATTAGGAAGAGATTAGATTGTACAATTAGGATTATGTTTATGGTCCTATTAACAGAAAAAGATGAAAAGGAAATAGATCCAGTAGTTTGGGTGAAAGAAAGAAATAGGGGAAGACTGGACATACCCTTTAAAAATCAAGTTGAAAAAGGAAGGTGACTTGGTAAACCAAAAGCAATATCCTATCCCACTGGAAGGACGCAAAGGGCTTCAGGCGGTCATAGAAGCTTTGATCAAAGATGGGCTGTTGAAACCCTGTGTGTCCCCTTTTTACCTGTAAGAAAATCTGACGGGTCACATCGTTTGGTCCAGGATTTGAGAAAATTGAACCAAATAGTCCAAGTCTGGCATCCAGTGGTCCTCAATCCTTATACCTTAATGAGCAAAATATCACATGAACATGAATGGTTCAGTGCTGTGGATCTGAAGGATGCCTTTTTGGCATGCCCATTGGATCCACAAAGCCAACGCGTGTTTGCACTGGAATGGGAGGACCCCTACATGGGGCATAAACAGCAGTTTAGATGGATGGTGTTGCCGCAGGGATTTACAGAGTCACCAAATTTATTTGTGCAGGTGTTAGAACAAGTATTAGAAAAATTCAGACCACCCCCATGCGTCACCCTGTGGCAATATGTGGATGATTTGTCCATTTCAGGGAAAAAGAAAGAGGCAGTAGCAGAACAAACACATTACTAAACTTTCTGGGAGAACAAGACCTAAGAGTATCGAAGAGCAGATTGCAGTATGTAGAAAAAGAGGTCAAATACTGTCCTGGTTTCAGCTGTAACAGTTATTATTCTTCCTAGTAGCTGGTGCAGTGCTGTGTTCTGGCTTTAGTCTGAGAACAATGCTGATAACACACCAATGTTTTAGTTATTGCTGAGTAACGCTCACTCCAGTCAAGGACTTTTCCATCTCTCACACTCTGCCAGTGAGGAGGGGCACAAGAAGACGGGAGGAAGCAGAGACAGGACACCTGACCCAAACTAACCAAAGAGGTATTCCATACCACAGCACGTCATGCCCAGGATATAAACTGAGGAGAGTTACCTGGAAGGAACAATCACTGCTCAGGTCAGGCTGGGTATTGGTCAGCAGGAGATGAGCAATTGCATTGTGCATCTCTGCTGTTTATTGGTTTCTTTTCCTTCTCCCCTTTTAGTTTTATATTCTCTCCCCTTGTTATTTCCCTTATCATTATTATTATCGGTGGCGGCAGTAGTGGTCTGTGTTATACCTTAGTTAATGGACTGTTCTTATCTCAACCCATGGGATTCATATTCTTTCAGTTCTCCTCCCCATCCTGCCAGGAGTCAGTGGGGGAAGAAGGGCGGGAGTGAGAGAGTGGTTGCATGGTTCTGAGTTATCGGCTGGGCTTAAACCGTGACGAAGACCTGGAACACTTAATCAGTGAAGGAAAGGGAAATACGAACCTAGAGGGAATAAAAAAAATAGTTGAATTACCTCTCCCAAGGACTAAAAAGGAGCTGAGAAAGTTCCTAGGGCTGACAGACTCCTGTCACCTGTGGATTGAGTCATATGCACTAAAGACAAAGGGGTTGTACTTAGAATTATTAGAAGAACCACCTGTTTTTTTAGAAGAAGAGCTAGTGCAAAAGCTAAAACAAAGTTTGATAACTGTTCCCGTGTTAGCTTTACCGTCCCTAGACAAACCCTTTCATTTATTTGCCACACGGGAACGGCTCTGGGAGCCATGGGCTTGGAACTGGGAGACGAATGACAGCCCGTGGCCTGCCTTTCGAAATTATTTGATCCAGTCTCCTGAGGATGGCAGAGTGTGCACAAGCAGTTGCAGCTACTGACTTTTTGGTAGAGAAAAGTAAAAAACTAACGTTTGGAGGAGCACGTGGGGTAAGCACTCCACATCAAGTAAAAATCTTAACTGAGAAGCAGGGAGATGGCTTACTGATTCCAGGATTCTGAAATACAAAGCTGTATTAATGGAAAAAGATGATCTGGTCTTAACTCCTGGTTTGTGTCTCAATCCAGCCACCTTTTTGTGGAAAGGGGAAGCAAATGGTCAGAATCTTGAACCCAATTGCCTTGACATAGTAGAGTACCAAGCAAAGGTACATCCTGATCTAAAAGATATACCGTTAAATGCTGGCCTCCACCTAGTCATTGTTGGCTCCTCCAGTGTCATACAGGGGAAAAGGCACAATAGTTATGCAGCTGCTGATGGGAGCAATCACAGTATAAGGGAAGTAGGGCGACTACCAAATACTTGGTCAGCCTGAACATGTGAATTAAATGCCATGAACCAGGCTTTACAAATATTAGAAGGAAGTGAAGGAACTATCTATACAGACTCCAAATACGCCTTTGGAGCCATATAAAATGTTACTTGGTCTACCATATGTGGGTAAAGTAGGTGAGATCCTGCAGTTTGAAACCAAAAATATCTTCCTAAAGAATTATATACTGGAGCTATATTCTTCCTTGTCTTTTCTCAGAAACAAAGGACTGCACGCTCAAACGCCACCCTTGGAATTCACAGTTCATACCATTCAACCAGGGGACCAGATACTGATCAAGTCATGGAAGGACTTTAAATTACAGCCTATGTTGGACGGCCCATTTCATGTACTGTTGACCACTGAAACTGCTGTGAGGACTGCCGGAAAAGGTTGGACACATTCTACAAGGATAAAAGGACCAGTGGAACTCCCATCTGAAGACTGAGTACAATCAACTGGGAACCCCCTCTATATTAAGATAAAGAGACAATAAGCATACACTCCTGCTTCCAAACATTTGTCAGAACCTTTATAAGATTATCTTGTATTTGCTGTGCTGAAAACATAGGTTTTGGGGATAAAAGAGAAAGGCAGGAGACTGATTAGCAGAAAAAGAAAAAATGTGGAAGATCATAGTGATAATGACCTTTTGTTTATTAGGAGTTCAAGGAAAAAGTTTGGAACAAGAAGCCTATGTTGAGCAAATGAGAGAATTGCTGGGATACCCAGTCAAATTGCAGATAAATATTACTAAGGCACAGAATCCACAAACTATCCAATTTGACGCCTGTCAAGTGCTCAAGTGTGGAGATCTAAAAGAGCAAAGGAAATTAAGCAGTCACGATAAATACTTATGCCCAGAGTATTATCTCCAGCCATACTGGGGACCACCTTGTCCCGGGTGGAGTGATGTTTGGTTTACCACTGCCTTTAATGGCTGGGTCTCACCTAGCGCTCGGGGAAAGTCTCTAAAAAGTAAAATTGCAATGTTTAAAGGTCACGTAGACCCTGACTGTAAGGACTTAGAATGCAATCCCGTAATACTTACCATTACAAATGCTGATGGGGAAGTAAGCCAAACTTATGGCCTTGGGGCAGATGTGCCAGGAAAAGATCCACTTGCTAGACTTCGAATTGTAGTTTGGGAACCAAAGAGAAATGAACATACCCAAACTACAGACACTACCATTCCTCCACCAAATAATCCTAAGGTAGAAAAGGGGAAAGATTTGAAGCGGACGTCTGAAACAGGATATGGAGATACAAATACCAGGGTAGAATTGGTCAAATACAGAGTGAAAAGCTTAAACAGAAGCAATTGCGATGCATGTGCTTCAGGGCGCCCTACAGCACAGGTAGTCCCTTTTCCTTTAGGATGGAGTAAAGATGCACAAGGAATGAGGTGTATGATCGCATTGTACCAGGAAAGGACTGCATGGGGAAACGAAGCCTGTAAGTCTCTTTCATTGCTGTTCCCTGCACTACGAAAGAAGGATATCAGGGTACCCCCAACCTTCTCCTCGGCAGCTGGTAACCATACAGCTTGTCTCTCACGGAAGGGTGCAAGTGCTACGAAAGATCTTGGACAGCTGGAGATGTGCACGGAATTGCTAAATGTGGCTGAGGAGGAAACAGGTAATTACTCAGCTCTGAGTATCCCCAGAGCGGACCTGTGGTGGTATTGTGGAGGGAGAGTCTTGAGACCTACGCTTCCTCCAAATTGGAAAGGCACGTGTGCAATTGTCCAGTTGGCCATTCCGTTTACCTTGGCATTTGAAAAGGGAACAGCACCTTAGAATTTATGCAAAAAGCAAATATTGGAACAAAAAGGAGGAATTGTGAAAAGTATTCAGATACTGGTTTTGCAGTCAGCCATTAACTGAACGTAACTGTCGGAACACAATGGCAAGGCAGGAAGCTCTGTCAGGATCTGGGTTAATGGTTACAGCTCATAACAAGTTCAGCAATGTGCAGAAACCGTAACATGACAGGGGGTTAGCAAATAAGGGGAGTGGGCTCTCAGACCAGAGTAGTGGGAGATGCAGAGAGGGGCGGGACTTCATATGGGATGTTGGATAGGCTGTGCACCTTGGAGTACCCAACCAGTGGGAAACAAGGGAGGGACTTTGCGGTCGGGGATAGGGAATAAAGGGAAGAACTCTGTAGTCATTGGGTGTGTTTACTCACTAGGACACCCATTTTCACAAAAACATTCAATAAATCACTGTTTCACTGCTGTGGCTGACCTGAGTGTTCACAAGAAAAGTGTTTAAGATTCTAACACTCCAGGATGGAGACCTCAGCCCCACTGTGGTGCCCCAGCTGGAAGCAGGGGGTTGGTCTCAGCCAGCCTGCCCCCCCCCCCTTGAGGCTGATGTGCTGGGCCCCCCTCTCCCTCCAGGCCTGTTGTGTGGCCCTGGAGTTCCCCCATGGAGAAGGGGGTTACCCATGGTCAGTACCCCGAGGCTCTAATCCGACACCCCCAGTCACACTGTCGCACAGTGGGGGAGAGCCTTTGGGGGTCCCTTCCTGCCACAGCGACGTTTGGCTGCCAGGCCTGAGCAGCTTTCCTGCCCCAGGCTAAAGACCTGCTTCCCTGCTCCAGCTCCTTGGCAGCGCTTCCCACGGGACATGAAGCTGGGGTGACCTGGTGTCCCCCCGGTGTGCTGCGGTAGCCGTGGCCAACCCCTCCTACTGTGGCTGTGCCAGAGGGGCCGTGCCGAGGGTGGGTTTGGGGAGGGGGGGGGGGGGGGGCACACACGCTGCGCAAGCGGGGCCGGCCCTGGGGCGGAAAAGAGGGCAGATCCCAGGAAATCGGTTAATGAAAGACCAACACCGGCAGCGGGTCGATCGCTGCGGTTCCCCGGGGTCAGGCAGGCCCCTGCCACAGGGATGAGGCTCCTGTTAGCCCTCTGCCTGGGCCTGGTGGCCCTGGCTGCCGCCAGCCAGTCCCCGCTGCAGCGGCGGGTGGTGAAGGAGGTGCTGGACTATTTCCACGGGCGCAGCAGCGTGCATTTCCTCTTCAAGGAGCAGGCGGTGGAAGGGGCCGTCGAGCGGGTGAGCGCTGGGGCTGCGGAGGCAGCCGAGCCTCCTGCCCCATGTCATCGGGGATGGTGGGGAGGGGGTTGGGGTGACGGAGTGTCCTGGAGGAGGGCCAGGGAGCAGCCCCATGGGCACGGATGGTCGTGGGGAGTCAGAGCTCAGCTACTCATTAACCACTGGTGCCTGGCTACACCAGGAGCACTGACATTGGGCCTTGATTGTTAATCAGGAAGGGCTGTGGGCTCTGGGACCCCGAGTTTGGGCCACCTCATGAGGTGCCAGCAAGCTGGATGTCCCCTTGGGGTTGGGGTCCCCCCGATGTGCTAAGCAGCCCCTGGCACAGGGTTGGCATGGCACTGAGGGTATGGCACCGACAGTCCCATGTCGGCCACCCCATCCCCCTGCTGTGGCTGACCTGCAGTCCCATATCCCTGCAGGAAGACTCCTCAGGAACCTTTGTCCAGCTGCGGGTCAACCTGGTGCAGACGGCCTGCAGCAAGCGGGCACTGCGCCGGCAGAACTGCAGGGTCCTGGAGAACCGGGTGAGTTAGAGCTGGCACATCCCGCAGGGACACAGAACCTCTATCTGCCCCTGCCCCCCAGGGAGGGCTGGCGGGGACAGCAGCTCCAGCCATGGCATGGCAAGTGGCACCCATGGTGGCCGGATCCCAGGCACAGCTACAGGTTGGGGGAGACTGGATTCAGAGCAGCCCTGCGGAGAAGGACTTGGGGGTGTTGGTCCATGAGAAACTGAACATGAGCCGGCTTCAGTGTGCGCTCACAGCCCAGAAAGCCAAGCGTATCCTGGGCTGCATCAAAAGGAGCATGACCAGCAGGTCGAAGGAGGGGATCCTGCCCCTTTACTTGGCTCTTGTGAGACCTCACCTGGAGTATTGTGTGCAGTTCTGGTGTCCTCAACATAAAAAGGACATGGAACTGTTGGAACAAGTCCAGAGGAGGGCCACGAGGAGGATCAGGGGGCTGGAGCACCTCCTGTATGAAGACAGGCTGAGAAAGTTGGGGCTGTTCAGCCTGGAGAAGAGAAGCCTGCGTGGAGACCTCATAGCAGCCTTTCAGTATCTGAAGGGGGCCTATAGGGATGCTGGGGAGGTACTCTTCATTAGGGACTGTAGTGACAGGACAAGGGGTAACAGGTTCAAACTTAAACAGGGGAAGTTTAGATTGGATATAAAGAAGAAATTCTTTACTGTGAGGGTGGAGAGGCACTGGAACAGGCTGCCCAAAGACGTGGCAAATGCTCCATCCCTGGCGGTGTTCAAGGCCAGGTTGAACGAGGCATTGAGCCACCTGCTCTGGTGGAACTGGATGATTTTAAGGACCTTTCTAACCCAAACCATTCTAAGATGCTGTGTTGCTATGACATGAACATGCCACGCTCTCCCCACAGAGGAAGCCAACCTGCCTGGCTTGCTACAAGTTTGACAGCAGTGATGTCTCCAAGGTGCTGGACAAGTACCACAACTGCGGCCCCAGCCACCACCTGGCAGTGAAGGTGAGCTGACCCCCAGCACCAGCACCAGCACCAGCACCAGCACCAGCACCAGGCAGTGCTGCGGTGGGTGCCAGCATTGTTCTCTGCTCCACAGGAGATCAAGCACCGGGACGAGGCTGAGTGCCGGGCAGTGGAGGAGGCCGGCAGGGGCGGGGATGCGCTGTACCTGCCTGGGATGTACGCCTTCTCCAAGGGCCTGCCGGCCTAGGCCCCAACCCCTCACGGTAGGTGCCACGCGCAGCACCCCAGCATCCCCAGTGGGATGGGGGGGGCTCCACTGCCAAGATCAGAGCCAGACTGGGACCCCCAGGCAGGGGGCATCTGCCAGGGCTGCACCTCCAGGGTGAGCTGGCCCTGGGGACATGACGTGGGTGACAGGGTGACGGGGAGTGAGGGGTCCCGCTCGCAACCAGCCCCGCCTCCATGTCCCCCTCCAGGTCGCCGCCACCCTGAGGACACGGACGCCACCCTGGGGTCCCCCCGCTTGCCGCCCTCCAGCACTGCGTGACCGCAGGACACCCCTTGCCCACCACAACTCAGCAGTAAACCCGGCTCTGGCTCCTGGTATTGCTGCTGTTATTCCCATTGGGGGACTGGGGGGGCTCAGGTGGGGGGCTCCAGGTGCATCACCCCCCACCCGCTGTCCCCAGTGGGGAGGAGGGATGAGGAGCAAGCTCCCCCTGGCTGCTCGGTGCCCAGGATGACACAGCACAGATGGACCTGGGAGGACACATGTGAGGACAGCACGGCTTTACTGCATGGCCCCATGATGGCCCCCAGGCCTCATGACGTTTATGTGACATCCCCATGGCCCTGTGATGTCCCCCAGTCCCACGATGTCCTCTGGTCCCTGTGACATCCCCACAATGTGCCATGAACACCACAACATCCCCCAGTCCCCTCAATGTCCCCATGACATCCTCTGGTCCCCACGATGGCCCCACAATGTCCCTATGACACTCCCGGGTCCCCACAATGTCCTCATGACATTCCCAGACCATCTCCTGGTCCCTGTGTGTCACCTCCCAGCCCCGCAGCCTCTCCTCCAGGCTGGATAGCTCAAGACTGGCCCCAGGTCTCCAAGGACATCACTGCTCCCCTCACTGCTCCACCAGGCACAGGGAGCCCTGGTCAGCCCCCAGCCCGGAGCCCCAGTGATGGAGTAAAGCCAAGCAGCCCCATGGCTGCCTCTGGTGCTGCCCCAGCTGCCCATTCCCTGAGCTCCTCTCTCGGGTCCGGGCACAGCACAGCTCAGAAGACAAAGGAGCTGGGGTCATGGCGGGTGCTGAGCGCCCGCTCTGCCTGGGCAATGGTGTCGTCGGCGCGGCGGCCCAGCTCCCGGCACTCCTGCAGCACCTCCCTGAACTGCCTGTACGCCTCTTCCATGATGGAGCTGCGCCGCGGCGGCCGCGGCTCCCAGAAACCAGCCTCTACCCAGGGCTGAGCTGCACGGGGTGGGTCAGCACCGGCACCGCCGCCGGCACCACCACCGGCACTGTGTCCCAGCGAGCTGTCGAGATCCCGGCAGAGCTGGTAGAGCTCACTGCCGCAGCCAGCCACCCGCTCGCCGTCAATGGCCTTGAGGCCGGGCAGCATGTCGGCCAGCGCATCGCGGTAGGCAGCCCCGGCGCAGAGCGGGTTGTCGAGGCGGGCAAGGGGGTCACGCAGTCGCAGGCTCTCGAGGTGCCGCAGCCCTGCCAGGCACCGCAGTGCCCGCAGGCTGCTCACCAGGTTGCCGGCCAGGTTGAGGCTCTGCAGGCTGCGGCAGGAGGCAAGCGGCTCCAGGCTGGACACGCGGTTGCGGGACAGGTTGAGGACAGCAAGGGAGCGGAGGGCAGCCAGCGGCCCCAGCTGGGCGATGGCGTTGCCAGACAGGTCCAGCCACTCCAGGTTGGTGCAGTCGCCCAGGCAGCCCAAGTGCGCGATGCCGCGGCCCCGCAGGCGCAGCAGCAGGATGGACTCCAGAGCAAACTCGCCAGTGGCGGCCTTCAGCAGCTGCGGGGTGATCCGCACCCCTTCCTCCTCCTCCTCTTCCTCCTCCTCCTCCTTGGCAGCTGCCTCGCTGTGACCCTCCATCCCAGCCGGGGACCCTGGATCTGTCAGCTTGACGGGGGGGAAGAAGGAGGCGATGGGTTATGGGGGAGGCAGCCCTGCACACCCTGAGACCTCCAGCTGTGGGTCTGGAGCCTGGAGGGAAAAATGGGGTGGGTGGCTGGCACCCATTGGGTTGCTCTGGGGTGCATGGACATGTGTGGGGCACCTGTGGGTACAAGTGGGTCATGCTATGGGGTATCTCATGGGTGCAGGGAGATGCGGACCCATGGGGTATCCTGGAGGGTAAGGGGACGTATGGGGTATCCCAGCGGTGCAAGAACATGGGGACATGTGGGATGCCCTGAGGGGTATGGGGACATGTGCGGTACATGGTGGAGTATACCGGGGTGCAAGGGCAGAAGGAGGCATGGGGTTCCCTTAGCGCATGAGGGCACCACAGGGGGCACCAGGGGGTGCCCTGGGACATGAGGCAAATCACAAGGTGCCCTGGTGGCATGCACTGGGCAAACCGTGGGGTGCTGGGGCACATGTGGGGCATCCTGGGGGTGCAGGGACAAGTGTGGGGCACACCGTGCGATGGGTATTTTGGAGATGCAGGGACACGCGTGGGGTCCAGAGCCCATGTGGGGCGAGGGGGCCTTGTACACGAGTGGGGCAGATCCATGGGGGGCTTCGGGGGATGGAGGACACGCGTGGAGGGCCCCTAGACCCACACCCCCCCCACCCCGGGTGTCCCCTGCTCCCCTCCGCCCCCGTTCTCCCGCTGCCCCCCGTTCCCCCCTCCCCAGCTCACCGCACGGCGGCTCCCGGCAGCCCCCGCGGCCCCGCCCCCCGTTGCCATGGAGACGAGCGGCCGCACCGCCCCCCCCGCAGTGACCGCGTCCGTCCCCCCCCCACCAGCCTCGAACAGGGGCCCCGCGCAGAGGGACGGGACTGGACGGGACGGGACTGGACGGGACGGGACGGGACCCACCCGCGGCTCCCGCTGGCCCCAGCGCCCCCAACCCGGACCCCGGGTCGTTCGAGCAGATCCGGTTTATTGAATGGTCCCACCCCACCCGCCGGTTCAGACCCACAGTGCCCCTGCCAGCCCCGGCGCCGCGCTCGGGGCCATGCGCTGCACTGCCGGTGGCAATAGGGAACGGCACTGGAGCCAACCGGCACCGAGGATGCGGCCTGGCTGGCGCTGTGGGTAGCAGCTGGCAACGAGCCCCACTGAGGGGTCACCGGCCTGGGGACGGTACTGAGGATGCATCACTAGGAGCTGCCAGGATCCCTGGAATGTCCCAGCATATTCTGGTGTTTGGCCTTCAGAATTCCCCACCACACCTCACATCTGCACACTGCAGCGCTCAGTCCCCAGGGACCCCACGCGTCCTGGCATGTCCCAGCACGTCCCGGTGCCCAGGGACCCCAGCAAGTCCAGGCACTCAGCTCCCGGCACGTCCTGGTGCTCAGCCTTTGGGAACCATGGCACACACTGACATATCCCAGCATGCCCAGTGCTCAGCCCCCAGAGTCCCCGCCACGTCCTGGCACTTGGCCTTTTGCACATCTAGCACATCCTGGCACGGCACATCCTAGTGCTCAGCTCCCAGGGACCCCGGCACATCTCACCATGTCCCAGCATACAGTCCCCAGGGTCCCCAGCACATCCTGCTGCTCACGCCCCGGCATCCCCATCCCAGCACTGGTCCTCCACTGCTCATGGGCAGATCGCGGTGGCTGCCGGCGCGGCGGGTGCTGTCCAGCTCTGCTGTGGCACACTGTCTGCAGCGGTGGTGCTGGCAGCAGCGTGCGTGCGCTCGTGGCGCAGGAGGTGCGTCTTGCGGCTGAAGCTCTTGCCGCAGTGGGTACAGATGTAGGGCCGGTGCCCAGTGTGCACCGCCTGGTGCCGCACTAGGTTGGTCTTGGAGCTGAAGCGCTTGCCACACTGTGCACAGGCGTGGGGCCGGGTGCCGGTGTGCACCGCCTGGTGCCGTGCCAAGTGCGACTTGCGCCCGAAGCCGCGACCACACAGCTCGCAGGCGAAGGGCCGGGTGCCGGCGTGCACCTTGGCGTGTGCCACGAGGTTGGTCCGGGAGCCAAAGCGCCGGCCGCACTGTGGGCAGGCGAAGGGCCGCTCACCCGTGTGCACCCGCAGGTGCCGCAGGAGGTGCTGGCGCAGGGTGAAGGCACGGGCGCACTGCGGGCAGGTGAAGGGCCGCTCGCCGGCATGCGCCAGCTGGTGCGTGGCCAGGTTGGGCTTGTGGCTGAAGGTCTTCTCGCAGTGTGGGCAGGCAAACGGCTTCAGCCCCATGTGGCCCCGCAGGTGCGCCGTCAGGTGCCGCTTGTCGCCAAAGCCGCGGCCGCACTCGGCGCAAGTGAAGGGCCGGCCCTCGCGGTGCAGCCGGCGGTGTGATGCCAGGTTCTTCTTCCAGCTGAAGCTCTTCCCACACTCGGGGCAGGGGAAAGGCTTCTGCTCGGCTGCGACCCCCTCACCGTCTGCTGTCTCCGCTGGCTCGTCGTGCAGGCGCTGGTGCCGCAGGAGGTGCTGCTTGTGTGCAAAGCAGCGGCCGCAGCGGGCGCAGGGGAAGGGCCGCTCGCCCGTGTGCGTGCGGTGGTGCCGCACCAGGTGTGTCTTCTTGCGGAAGCGGCGGCCGCATTCAGGGCAGGGGAAGGGCCGCTCACCTGTGTGTGTCTTCTGGTGTGAGCGCAGGTGGATCTTCTGCCGGAACCGGCGCCCGCACTGCCCGCAGGGGTAGGGCCGCTCGCCCGTGTGCACCCGCAGGTGCCGTGTCAGGTGAGCCTTCTTCCCAAAGCCCTTCCCGCACTGCGCACAGGCAAAGGGCCGCTCTGGGGCCGGCGTCCTGCAGCACCCGTGGGGCTGGGGCTCACCGTCGTTGCCGTCACCGTCGCCCACCGGCATCCCTGGGCTGAGCCGTGCCTGGCAGCAGCGCTCACAGCTGCCAGCACCAGCCAGGCTCTGGCTCAGCAGCGGCCATGGTGGCAGGGTGAAGGTGGGCAGTGTGCCGTAGCCCAGCTCCTCCGGGAGCAGCGGCTCTGGTTTGCAGGCACAGGCACCGGTGCAGTCCGGTGTGCCTGCTGTGTGGGGGAAGGCACCATCCGGAGCCTGCCCCGCCAGCAGGGCCTCAGTGCCGGGGCCAGCTGACCACTCTTCATCCTCCTCCTCCACCTTCACCTTCCTCACCAGCCAGTCCTCTGCAGGGCACACACAGCCAGGTGGTGGGACACAGTGCTGAGGATGGGCGGCTCCAGCACATGGGGACCAAGCCAGCATCCCCGTGCTGCCACTGCGTGCCCAGCAGTGCCGGGGCTGTGCCGGGCCACCTGGTAGGTTTGCTGTGTGCTGGTGCCGCCAGCCTGTGCCCTCACCTGAGCAGCTGAGCTCCAGGCCCCCCAGCTCCCCGGCAGCCCCCAGCTCTGCGCTGTCACCCCCAGCCATCTCCTCGGCCTTGGGGACCACCAGCTGCACTGTGGGGACAATGGGCGCGAAGCCACAGGGTCCCCCACTGGCTCCGTCATGGCCCCTTGGGGACCCTGGAGCCCTGTGGAGTGCGGCGATGGGCAGGGAAGGGGCAGGACCCACCTGAACCGGCACAAGCCGGCACCTCCATCTTCTCCGCCTGCTCCAGCACCGGCTCCGGCTCTGGCTTAGCCATGAGGGACCCTGTGGGATGGGCGGGGGTGAGCCCCTCCCTGAGCTTCTCCCAAAACCCGCTGCCTCCATCCCACCCACGGGGTCTCATTTGGTGTCAGTGATGGATGTTGGGGCACGGGGTCCCCCTAGCCCTGACCCCCCCGCAGAGGGTTGGCAGCCGGGGACACATCCCGGGGTGTCACCCACCAGTGGGATGTCCCACCCCAGCCCCATGCTCAGCTCACACTCCCCCCCATCCCATTTCCCCTGTGTTCCCCTGTGCCCAAGCCCCCTCTATGCCCACTACAGCCCCCCAGACCCTTCTATTCGCCCCTCTCCCACCATACCCCGCGCCCGGCGCTTCCCCCCAAACCCCCCCTCCGCCATCCTGTCCCGCCCCCCCGATTTCCCCGCTCCCTTCCTGCCCCCCCCGCCCCTCCGCACCTTCCTCCTCCCTCCGCCCTTCCTGACACACACACACACACACACAGACGCTCCCTTCTTGCCCCCCTCCCTCCGGGGGTCGCGCGTGCCTTCACCGCCGGTCCCGATCCCGGTCCCGGTGCTCGCTCTCCCAAAACGCACCCGTCACCGCAGCCTCGGGCCGGGGACCGCTACTCCCACCGCCCCTACCTGCCCCACCGCCACTGCCGTCGCGGGGCTCCGCCTCGCCCGCGGTGGCCGCCGGTCCCCCCGCCCCTGCCGGGTCCGCCCCCGCCATCCCGGGCACCGGGAGAACTGCTCCCGCCCCTCCCCGCGCTGCACCCTCCGTGTCCCATACCCACCTCAGTTATCCCACATAGTGTCCCCCCCCTCCTGTCCCCTCACCACCAGAGGGGCAAGAGTTTGAGGTGTGGGTGGGGGGGACACGCGGGGATGTGGCAGGACCCTGACATGGGGCTGGAGGTGGTGTGGGGACACGGGGAGAGACTTGGGGGGACTCACTCATGGGGCTGGTGGCAGCGGGGACACACGGGGGACACAACCGTGGGGCTGGCTGTGATGTGAGGACACAGGAAGACAACGGGGACCCGGCTGTGGGGCTGGCAGTGGATGAGGGCAGTGGATGTGGGACAGCCAAGGGGCAGCAGGAGCCAGGAGCTGTGTCCCTGTCCCTGTGGGGCAGGTTTGGGGGTCCATGGCCCAGGGCACCAAGAGGCATTGCTGGGGTAGGGGGCTAGGTTATGGGTACCACAGCACATCTATGCTCCTAATGCTTAATCCCAGATGTGCCGGATCCAGGATGTGGCCCCACTGGGCTGAGCCGCCGGGGGGGGCTCCAGATCCACTGTCCCAGCACAATCCTGGGGGCTTCACCCTGGAGACGGAGCAATGGGGGTTCCCATGGCCTCACCCCCCATCCCACCCAGCAGTTGGGCCCAATCGCCAGCCCCACAGCTGGCCCTGTCGGGCGGCCCCACACCATAAAAGGGGGCAGCAGTGCTGGGGCTGAGGGAGTGGCACTGCCAGAGCCAGCCGGGACAGAGCGGGGAGCCCCTAGGTAAGAGGGGCCGTTTTGGGGAGTCCCCATCTTGGGGAGCTGCTGGTGAGATCTATGGGGGTCCTCCACTCGTGACACAGATCCCCCTTTGCCAAGGCAGCCGTGGCAGCACGACCATGGCACACCAATCCTGGGTGCCTGGTGAGGTCCTGGCCTCCCTGCTGCTGTGCGTGGCTGTGGTGGAAGCAGCCACTGGGTGAGTCTTCAGTGCCACAGCCCCATACCAGAAACTGGGATGAGGCGTGGTGTGGGGGTACCGTCCCCAGCTCAGTTTGTGGGTATGACGGGTGCCATGGTGCCACACAGGCGATGGTGCAAGAGGACGGTGCAGGATACGGCGGAGGAGGAGGTGACACCGCGGCGCGAGGACACAGTGCCCTGCACCAGCCTCTACCACTACAGCCTGGCAGGATGGCGGATCGACAGGGACCGAATGCGCCAGGTCTATGGTGGGGACCATGGTGAGCCCCAGCCTGACTCTGGCACCCCCCTCTGCTACATCTACCGGTGAGTGCCAGTGCGGACGTGCAGTGCATGGCACAGAGGGGGCACCAGGGCACCCATCCCCGTGCTGTGTATCCCATGCCTGATGCCGCAGGCCCCCAGAGACTCGGCCAGTGGTGTGGAACCGCACGGTGCTTGCCTGCTGCCAGGGCTGGAGCGGGCCCCACTGCACCGAAGGTAGGGATGGGTGTTGAGGTGCAGTGGCACCACTATGCCAGTGTCCCCGGTGATCACCTGTGGAGACAAGGTGCTTCCCTGTGCCGCAGGCGAAGGCTTGCTGGGGCACTGCTATGGCACATGGCAGTGCCAGGACACCACCGGCAGCCACAACCTCTCTGCTATGAGCCTGTCCGAGTGCTGCCGGCACCCCTGGGGGCACAGCTGGAGGAATGGCTCCAGTTCCAGTGCACCGTGCCTCTCCTGCACCCGCCTGCCCCTCACTGGTGGGTCTGGGGGTACCAGGGGGCTGGTGGGTCCCATGGGGAGTTTGCAGAGTGGCCTCACCTCCCCACTGCAGGAGAGGTGTCCCCACGGCCATCGCCTCCTGTGTCCCTGCATGGAGCGGCCGCCCATCACCGGGGCCTCTGGGCTGGCTGCATGACCTGGGCAGGGTCCCACTACCGCACCTTTGACGGGACACACTTCCACTTCTCCGGCGAGTGCACCTACACCCTGGCCGCTGCTGCTGACGGCACTTGGGCCATCGCCATCACTGCCGGCGATCCCCGGGTACTGACGGTGGGGGTGGGAGAGGGGTCCCTGCCTCATCACAGACATTCTCTGGGGGCTGTGCCATTTGCCTGTCCCCATGGCATGCTGTGGCCCTGTGGTGTGGCTGTGGTATCCCTGGCCATCCACGGCTGCCAGCCCTGGCCCTGGCTGATGCCGCACCACCGCAGGGACTGCACATGACCTTCGGGGTGGGCACGGTGGTGACCCAGGGACGGAACATCTCTGTGGACAGTGTGGCAGTGCCCGAGGGACAACCGTATCTGCACAATGGTGAGGGGAGGGGGGTGGCCAGCTACTGGTGGCACTGGGCTGGGATCTTGGTGGGGCTAAGACCCCTGATGGCACAGGTGATGGTGGTGACAAAGCTGCAGCTGGGGGGATCCAGCCACTGCCTTGTTCCCATCCCAAATCCCTGTGGTGCCACAGGGATCAGCGTGATGTGGCTGGGTGACTGGGTGGCCGTGGCAAGTGCGCTGGGTGTGCGGGTGACCTCGGACAGGAGCCAGGCAGTCACAGTGACAGTTGACACCGAGCTGTGGGGCGGCACACGGGGGCTCTGTGGTCCCTACAACGATGACCCTGCAGGTAAGTGTCACCTCATAGGTGGCAATGCCCATGCGGGAGGAGGTGCAGCGCCAGGGCCATGTGCTGGGGCCATGTGCCATGACCCTTGCCTACCGCAGCCTCCCTGTGTCCCCAGATGACTTCCAGCAGCCCGGAGGGGATGTGGCCACCTTTGCTGCCAGCTTTGGCAACTCCTGGAAGATTTCAGACGTCAGCCCCAAGGTACCCCAAGGTGTGCCAGGACCCCATGTCTGCTCGGGGGTCCCTGTGCGGTCACCCCAGCTCTGAGGGTCTCCCCGGGCTCAGCCCCGCTGCAGGGACGCGGTGGAGCTCAGCCCTGGCTGTGCAGCGGGCGATGCGGCACTGCAGGCAGCTGAGGTCACTTGTGGGAAGCTCCTGTCTGAGCCCTTCCGTGAGTGCCATGACAAGGTGAGGCGCAGCTCTGGTGCTGGGGCACTGGAGGGTGCCGGTCCCGCCATCCTCACCCACCATCCCCACACCAGGTTGACCCTGGTGGCTTCCACAATGCGTGCCTGGAGCTGCTGTGCCGGGAAGGCAATGCCAGGCAGTTGCCGAGCCCCAGCATCTGCGACACCTTCGCTGCCTATGCACGGGAGTGTGCCCGGCACCAAACCAGCATCGACTGGCGCCAGCCCGGCTTCTGCGGTAGGGACCTGGGAATGTGCTCTGGCACCAAGGTCTGACCCCCCAGGGCTGGTGCCGGTGCTGAGTGCGGTGCTTGTCCTGGCAGAGCGGCACTGCGGCGCGGGACAGAGGTTTTCGGACTGCGTCTCCTCATGCCCTGCCAGCTGTGCGGCTGTTGGCAGTGCCGAGGATGGGCCATGCCACCAGGACTGCGCCGGCGGCTGTGAATGCACGCCAGGGCTCTACTGGGATGGGGCGCTCTGCGTGCCCCCAAGCGCCTGCCCCTGCCAGCACCACCGCCAGCGCTATGCCCCGGGACAGAGCATCCGCCAGCGCTGCAACCAGTGGTGAGCAATGCCATGGCTGGATTCAGCATCACCAGGTTGGAATGAACCCCATGGATGGGCACGATGCTGGTTTGGAGGGGGGGGGTGTGGCAAGCACACATCCATCCATGCCAAGTGCGGTCACGGTGTGTCCTGTCCCCTCCCGGTGATCCCGGTGTCGCCTCCTGTGCCCTCAGCATGTGCCAGGGCGGGCGCTGGCTCTGCAGCCAGGACCGGTGCCCCGGGGAGTGCACGGTTCTGGGTGGCCACCATTACATCACCTTCGACCGCCGGCACTTCTCCTTCCCAGGCGCCTGTGCCTACACCCTGGTGCAGGTGAGGGCAGCCACCACAGTGGCTGCAGTAGTGCCGGGGCTGTAGGGACCTGCCCTGGGGTGGGAATTGCCCCGGGGGTCCCCTCAGCAGGGTCTCTGTCCCCCAGGACTTCGTGGAGGGGCAGCTGCTGATCACGTCTGAGCACAAGGCTTGCAATGGCCACCAGCGCCTCCACTGCCGCCAGTCCCTCACCATCAGTGCCCGCCGGATCTCTGCTCGTCTCCACGGCACAGGTGATGTGCGGGGTCCCTCCTCGTGCTGCGGTGGGATGGGGGGTGCCAGCCCATGGCTGTTCCCTGAGGTGGCTGCGCTCTGCCAGCACAGGTGAGGTGATGGTGGATGGGCAGGAGGTGACGCTGCCCTTTGCCAGTTCCGAGCTGAGCATCCGCCGCGTGTCCTCGGCATTCCTGCTGCTCCAGACCTTTGGGGCCCACGTCCTGTGGGGGGTGGAGGCCCCCACTGCCTACATCACCCTCCAGCCCGCCTTTGCCCACAAGGTCAGCCCCAGCTCCTGGTGGTGGCCGGTGGCAGAGCTGGGCTGGGATTTACCTGTGGGATCCTATCCTGAGCCAGTGCTGGTGTGGTAGGTGCGGGGTCTCTGCGGCACCTACAACTGGAACCAGGGGGACGAGTTCACCACGCCAGCAGGTGATGTGGAGATCAGTGTCGCCGCCTTCACCAACAAGTACCGGGTCTCCAGCAAGTGCCCTGCACTGGGACCCGTCCCACTGGAGCCCTGCAGTGACTTTGCTGGGCAGCAGGACCTTGCCGAGGCTGCCTGTGCCGTCCTGCAGGGCCCGGCCTTCCAGGTGCCACGGGTCCCCATCCTGGCCAAGAGCCGGTCCCCAGTGCCCAGTGCCAGTGCCGTGGCCTGACTGTGCACTGCCACCCCCAGCCATGTCACCAGGTCGTGGACCCGGAGCCGTTCCTGCAGCTCTGCCTGCGGGATGCCTGCACCTGCCAGGATGGGCAGCACTGCCTGTGCCTGGTGTTGGCTGCCTATGCCCGGGAGTGTGGCCAGGAAGGAGTGGAGCTGGTGTGGAGGAACCAGAGCTTCTGCGGTGGGGATGGGTGGGAATGGGATAGGATAGAGTGGGGATGGGGATGGGATTGTGATGGGGTGGGATGAGAACGGGATGGGATGGGGATGTGAATAGGATGGGGATGAGGGTTGGAATGGGATGGGGATAAGGGTGAGGATGGGGATGAGGGTGAGGATGGGGATGAGGATGAGATGGTGACGGGATGGGATGAGAATGGGATGGGATGTGGATGGAGATGGGGGTGAAGATGAGGATGGGGTAGGATGCCGTGGGGATGAAATGGGGCTGGGAATGGCATGGGATGAGATGAAAAAGGGATAGGATGAGAAGAGGATAGGAATGGGATGGGGATGATGTGGAATGAGATGAAAAAGGGATGGGATGGAGATGGGATTGGTGATGGGGATGGGCATGGGCATGGGATGGGATGGGTGGAGATGGGATTGGTGATGGGGATGGGCATGGGATGGGATGGGTGGAGAAAGGGATGGGATGTGGGTGGGATGTTGATAGGATATGGATGGGATGTGATGGGGATGTGTTGGGGATGGGGTGGGACAAGATGAGGATGGTGGTGGGATGGGAATAGGATGTGGATGCAGCCACCACACGCCAGGGGACAGTGGGGGCTGGTGCCAAGGGTGCATGGAGCGTGGCAGGGCAGAGATGTCCCTGTCAGTGACATCTCCATGTCCCTCCCCCAGATGTGCCGTGCAGCGGGGGGCAGCAGTACCTGGACTGTGGCCGGCCCTGTGGCCAGACCTGCGCCGACCTGCGCGGTGACAGCAACGGGACCAGCTCCTGCCACAACCTGGATGGACTCTGTGTCCCTGGCTGCCAGTGCCCGGCGGGGCTGGTGCTGGCCGAGGGTGGGATGTGCATCCCACCTGGAGCCTGCCCCTGCCAGCACGGCACCACGCTCCTCCCGCCCGGCAGCCACATCCGCCGGAGCTGCAGCACCTGGTGCGTGGCACAGCTGGAGCCCAGGCCATGGCTGGGGTGGGTGGGATGGGGGATACTGAGCCGGTGCTGCGGGATGAGGCAGCGGCAGGAGGCGTGTGATGAAATCCCCCTATGCCCCGTTTGGGATCACACCGCGGGATAGGCGGCTTTCATTGCCCGTCCCTGCTGCAGCACACCAGGGCCACCGAGGAAGAGCCTATCCCTGGCCCCTGGCATGGCTGGAGATGGACCCAGTACTGGGGTGGTGGGGATGGGATGGGCATTGAATGGGGATGGGGATGGGGATGGGGATGGGGATGGGATGGGGATGGGATGGGAACAGGATGGAGACAGGATGGGGATGGGGATGGGGATGGGAACAGGATGGAGATGGGATGGGGAAGGGACAGGATGGGGTGGGGACAGGATAAGACATAATGGAGCTGAATGAGACAGATGGCATAGAATGGGACAGGATGTGGTGGGATAGATAAAGTGGGACAGGATGGGAGAAGGCAACACTCATCAGGACACAACAGGATGGAAGGAAACAGGATGGGATAGGACAGCATGGGGTGGGGTAAGATGCAATGGAATGGGATGAGATAGAATGGCGATGGGCAATATGGAAACCCTGGCATGGGTCTGGCTGGGTGGGGGCTCTCCAGGTTGGTGGGTGCTGGGTGCTGCCCTCACCGTACCCTGTCTCTGCAGTGTCTGTGCTGGTGGGTCGTGGCGCTGCACTGCAGCCGCCTGCCCCATGGCAGCCCTGTGCCCTGGGGGGCTGATCCATGCGCCGGGCTCCTGCCTGCGCCGCTGTGACAGTGCCGAGCCCAACGGCACCTGTGCCGGCATTGCCGATGGCTGCGTCTGTCCCCCTGGCACCATCTTCCTGGTGAGTGACCCCCTCTCCATGGGGATGTGCCAGAGAGGATCCACATCCAGCTCACTGGGGCTGTGTGCTGGCAGGACGGGCGCTGTGTGTCTCCGGCAGAGTGCCCGTGCCAGCACGGCGGGCAGCTGTACCGGCCCAATGACACCATCATCCGGGACTGCAACACATGGTGAGACCCCCCAGCCCCACCGGGGACGCCGGGCACACTGTGCCGGGGCTGAGCCCTGTCCCCTGCAGCGTGTGCCGGCAGCAGCGCTGGCACTGTGGCCAGGAGGAGTGCGCCGGCACCTGCGTGGCCACGGGGGACCCCCACTACATCACCTTTGATGGACGAGCCTTCTCCTTCCCCGGCGACTGCGAGTACCTGCTGGCACGAGAGGCCGATGGGCTCTTTGCTGTCACTGCCGAGAACGTGCCCTGCGGCACTGGTGGCGTCACCTGCACCAAATCAGTGGTGGTGGTGATGGGCAACACTGTGGTGCACATGCTGCGGGGTGAGGATGAGGATGGTGGCGCGGGGAGAGAGACATGCTGGGGGGTCACTGTCTCTGACAGCCTGCGGTGCCCTGGCAGGGAGGGACGTGACAGTGAACGGGGTCCCGGTGCGACCCCCAAAAGCCTACACCGGCACTGGACTGACCCTGGAGCGTGCCGGCCTCTTCCTCCTCCTCCTCACCCGCATGGGGCTGGCGGTGCTCTGGGATGGAGGTGAGACCCACAGGGGAGGGGGTGCTCAGCACTGTGCTGCAGCGGGCTGCTGGTGCTGAGCGCTGTGCCGTCTAGGCACACGGGTGTACATCCGGCTGGAGCCGCAGCACCGGGGACGTGTGGTTGGGCTCTGTGGCAACTTCGACGGTGACGCCGAGAACGATCTCTCCAGCCGGCAAGGGGTGCTGGAGCCCAGCGCCGAGCTCTTCGGCAACTCCTGGCGCCTCAGCCTGCTCTGCCCCGAGGTGGACAGCGCCAGCGCACGGCACCCTTGCACCGTATGTACTGGAATGGGCAGCCAGGGCGGTGGTGGCCGGGGGCTGGGTGAGGGATGGAGGCTGATGGCGGCACTGGCTCCCCCCAGGAGAACCCACACCGGGCAGCGTGGGCCCGCCGGCGCTGCAGCATCCTCCGGCAGCGGCTCTTTGAGCCATGCCACGATGTGGTGCCGTGCCAGCGTTTCTACGACTGGTGCATCTTTGATGCCTGCGGGTAAGTGGGGTAAGCCAGTAAGCGCTGCGGGGGGGCGGGGGATTGGGGGTCCCACTGTCCCCATCCCACCAAACCCACTGTGCGGGCAGGTGTGACTCCGGTGGGGACTGTGAGTGCCTGTGCACGGCCATTGCCACATACGCCGAGGAGTGCGGCCGGCGTGGCGTCCATGTGCGATGGAGGAGCCAGGAGCTGTGCCGTGAGTCACCAGCCACTGGACAAGGCTGCGAGGGGTCCCATGGCTGAGCCAGACAAGTGATGGGGATGGGGAGGGGGTCAGGAGCCCCCCATGGGGCTGTGGGGAGGAAAGGGGGTGGGTGCTGTGGGGCAGGGGGGTCCTGGCCTTGTCCAACCCTGAGCCCTGTCTGCAGCCCTGCAGTGTGAGCGGGGGCTGGTGTACAGCCCCTGCGGACCCCCCTGCCCTCCAACCTGCCACAACCTTGGCCGCGAGCCCCCCGAGCGCTGCCAGGATCTGTCCTGCCTGGAGGGGTGTTTCTGCCCCGCAGGGAGGGTCCTGCATGGTGAGGCTGGGAGCTGGTGGGGCTGGTGTGGGGTGGTGGGGATGTCATGGGCAGCATGGGGTGATGTGGAGCTGGTGTGGGGATGGTATGGAGCTACATGGTGTGATGTGGGGCCAGCACGGGCTGGTGTGGGGCTGGCATGGGTCAGAGTAGGGTGGTGTGGGGCTGGCATGGGTCAGAGTAGGGTGGCGTGGGGCTGGCATGGGATGTCACGGACAGTTTGGGGAGGCATGGAGCTGGTGTGAGGCTGCATGGGGTGTTGTGGGGCTGATGTGGAGCTGGTGTGGGCTGGTAAGGGGATCATGGGTATGGCATGGAGCTAGCGTGCAGATGTGTTGGACCATCATGGGGTTGGCATGGGCTGATGTGGGGCCCGCCATGCTGTCCTTGCACCCAGTTCCCTTGTCCTGGCCATGGTACTCAGTGCTTTGACCCCTTCTCAGCCTGTGGCTCCACTCCATGTTGGAGGGTCTAACCCAGCCTTGTGCACCAGATGTGGTGCTGTCTGCTCAGCCGGACTGGGTGATGTGCTGGGGCTGGGTCACCGAGGTCCAACGCCTCCTTTCCCCCTCCCCACTGGCAGACGGAGGCTGCATCGAGCCTGGCGAATGCCCGTGCTTCTGGGACGGCTTCTCCTTCCCAGCCGGTGCCATGGTGCAGCAGGGCTGCAAGAACTGGTGAGTCCGTGCTTGGCTCTGGCCCGGCGCAGCCATGGGGACCACGGGGAGCACCCTGGGACCGAGCCGCCGCTATCCCCGCAGCACGTGCGCGGCAGGTGCGTGGCACTGCCCATCCTCACCGGAGCTGTGCCCGCGCGCGCCGTGCGCCTCGTGGGAGTTCTCGTGCCGTGCCGACGGGCGCTGCGTGCCGGGGGCCTGGGTGTGCGACAACGAGGAGGACTGCGGGGACGGCTCAGACGAGGTGTGCGCCCCGCGCTGCGCCCCGCACCAGCACCGCTGCGCTGGAGGGCAGTGCCTGGCCTGGGGCTCCCGCTGCGACGGCATCCACGACTGCAGTGACGGCTCTGATGAGAGCGGCTGCCCCACGGCCTCCTGCGCGCCCCCCGAGTTCTCCTGCGCCAGCGGCCGCTGCATCCCCCCCGAGCGCGTCTGCGATGGGGAGCTGGACTGCGGCTTCGCCGACGACTCGGATGAAGCAGGTGAGAGCGGCCCCATGGCTGCCCCATGGCTGTGCCTGGGGGTCCTGGGTTGGGCGGTGTTGTGGGGACCCTGGGGATGAAAGCAGTGGCGTGGAGGAGCGCACTGACAATGGGCTGTGCCCCACAGCGAGGTATTCTGAGCCCCAGTTCATTGTCGGTCTGTGCCCCATGGCAAAGGGGTCTGAATGCCACAGTGAGGTGTCCTGAGCCCTGTTACCCTGAGGGTCTGTGCCCCATGGACAGGGTTCTGAGCCTCATGGTGAGGAGGCCTGAGCCGCCCATCCCTGAGTGACTATGCACCATGGTGAGGGGTCCTGAACCATGTGTCCCTGGCTGTGCCCCATGGAGAGAAAGTCTGAGTTTCTCATCCCTGGGGGTCTGTGCCCCATGAGCAAAGGGGTCTGAACACCATAGTGAGGAGTCTCGACCCCCATGACCCTGCAGGTCTGAGCCCCACAGTGAAGTATCCTGAGCTCCCCATCCCTGGGGTCTGTGCCCCACAGTGAGGGGGTCTGAGCACCCTGTTGTGGGAATTGAGCCTCATGGCAAAGGGGTCCCTGAGCCCCCATTCCTGCCTGACCATTTTGCACAGTGAGGGGTCCTGAGCCCCCGGCCCCTGGGGGTCTGAGCCCCATGGTGCGGGGTCTCTGACAGCTGCCATCACGGCAGGCTGCAGCCCGAGCTGCAGTGCAGGTGAGTTCCGCTGTGCATTGGGCCGGTGTGTGCCGTACCCGCACCGCTGCGATGGCCACGATGACTGTGGTGACTTCAGTGATGAGCGCGGCTGCGTCTGCCCCCCTGGGCACCTCCAGTGCCCCGACACCCAGTGCCTGCCCCCAATCACTGTCTGTGACGGCCACCGGGACTGTGCCAACGGCACCGATGAGGAGTTCTGCCCAGGTGAGGCTCAGCCCCACACCGGGACCCCCAACCACAGCGGCATCGCCCCATGGGAACGTGTGTTTCCCCCTAGACCGGGTGACCTGCGCCCCCGGGGAGCTCCCGTGCCCTGATGGCTCCTGCATCAGTGAGGCTGCGGTTTGTGATGGTGTCAGTGACTGTCGCGACGGCTGGGACGAGAGCCCGGCGGGGTGCGCGGCAGCACTGCCTGCTGCTGTGCCCACCACCACCACCTCGGCAGGTGAGGGCTGATGGTGCTGTGTGGCAGCCGGACCCTCCCACGGCACCCCGTGGACCCTGCACCAGGATGGCACATGGTGGGGACTACAGGGATGGGCACCCCATGGTGACCCACTGCCCACAGCACCGGCATGCGGCCCCTCGGCCTTCACATGCGGCAGTGGAGAGTGCGCACCACGGGGCTGGCTCTGCGACGGCGAGGCCGACTGCCGTGACGGCAGCGATGAGCTGGGCTGTGCTGGCGGCTGCGAGCCCAGACACTTCCCCTGCGCCCATGGCACCGACTGTGTCCCCTATGGACACCTCTGTGATGGCGTCCCGCAGTGCCGCGACAGCTCTGACGAGAGCGAGGACCGCTGTGGTGAGCCAATGCGGCTGGGACCCCTGGTGTCCCCTCTGCAGTGACACCCAGTGTAGGGGGACACTCCATGGTGCTGGTGTCCATGGTGGGGTCTCAGCTGACGGTGCCCTGGCACAGGCTCCACTGCCATCCCGCCGTGCCTGGGGCACTTTGCCTGCGATGGTGGCCTGTGCCTCAACGTGTCAAGGGTCTGCGATGGGGCCACCGACTGTCCCCAGGGCGAGGATGAGCTGCTCTGCGGTGAGGGCAGGAGGCTGGGGGCTGTGGGGCAGGGATGGGGATGGACACCCTGCCATGACCAACCACCCCACTATGGACCATCACCTCTGAAGGGAGCCGCAGCCTCGCCAGTGGGAGCAACAGGACAGGGGGCCCCTGTGCCGAATACGCCTGCAGTGGGGGCGAGTGTGTAGCCTTCCAGCAGGTATCTGAGTACAGGGACCCCCAACCCCGCTCTGGTGCCACCATTACCCCCCTCCCTGGCTCAGTGCTGCCCTGGTGTTACAGGTGTGTGATGGCATTCCGGACTGCGGTGCCGGTGGGGAGGACGAGCGGGATTGTGGTGAGTGGGGGCCATGGGGGCCATGGGGCACCTGCACCCACTCCTGTGGCCCCGGCCTGCAGCGCCGCACACGGGGCTGCCGCCAGCACCGTCCTGGAGTGCTGCACCGGTGCCATGGGCAGGCTGCGGAGCAGCAGCAGTGCTTCAGCATTGCCTGCCCTGGTGAGCATGGGGCTGTCAGCAATGGGGGGCTGGAACTGGGGGGGGGTTGGGGTGGTGGTGGTGGCAGCAGTCCAGGGGGAATCTGGGGCGCCTTGTGGGGTTTGGGGTCTTTGTGGTTGGAGTACCAAGGGGGATTCAGGGGTTTCCATCGCTGAGGTTGCTCAGCTGTGTATGGGGTTTCCTGTGGGGTTCCTCATGGCCAGAACTGCCCAGGGGATTTAGGGGTTCCTGGGGAATTTGGTGGTTCCCATGGCGGTTTCAGGATTCCCATGGGGGTTCCCATAGCCAGGTGGTGGGGAATTGGGAGTTCCTATGGCTGAGGCTACACAGTGGGATTTGGGGGGTTCCCAATACCCCCCAGGGATCCTCTAATACTCCCCGGGAGCATTCCAATACCTCCCAGATGTTCCAAATCCCCTTTGGGACACCACATTACACCTTTAGAACCCCAATATCTCTTCTGAACCATCCAAAACTCCCCCAAATCCCCCAGTGTCCTGTCTGTGGGTACAGAAGCCCCATGGGGGTGTCCCAGGAGGCATCCCATGGGGATGTCCCACCCTCCCGCCTCCCTCCCACCACAGTTGACGGTGCCTGGGCCGAGTGGGGTCCCTGGTCCTCGTGCCCTGCAGGCTGTGGGGGGCTGCGGCAGCGGCAGCGGCAATGCCAACCCCCCCAGAATGGAGGCCGCCCCTGCAGTGACCTGCCTGGAGAGACACCCGGTGCTCTTGAAACAGGTGGGTGCCCGTGGGGTTGGGGGTCTATAGGGATGGGGGTGTTCAAGGGGTGTATGGGCTCTGTGGGGCAAGTGGGCTCCAGGGGATGGGTGAGTTCTGTGGGCGAGTGGGCTCTGCAGGGTAGCGGGCTCTGTGGGGCAGGTGAGTCCCAAAGGGATGGGTGGGCTCCATGAGGTCGGCTCCATGGGTGAGTGGGGTCCAAGCAGTAGGTGGGCTCTGTGGGGTAAGAGGGTCTTGATGGGATGGGTGGGCTCCATGGATCGAGTGGGTGCTGCAAGTTGGTGGGTTCCATGGGGTGGGTGGTTGGGCTCTGTTGGTGGGTCCCTGTGTGCTCCGTGGGGCAGGTGGATCCCCACGGGTGAGTGGTACCAAACCAGCAAACCAGCCCCCCCCCCCCCCCCCCCAGCCCCCTGCACTCCGGGGGGCTGCCCCAACACCTCCTCCTGCCCGGAGGGGTTGCGGCCATGGCCCTGCGCTCCCTGCCCCGCATCCTGCGCCGACGTCTCCACCGGTGCCGCGTGCCGGCAGGACCGGCCCTGCAGCCCAGGTGAGGGGCGCGGGGGCTGCGGCGCCCGGAGGTCCCCACACACCGCGGTGGGGCGGGCCAGGGGTCCGTCACCGCGGAGCACCCACTGCGCCTCGCCCCGCGGCAGGGTGCTGGTGCGCGGCGGGGCTGGTGCTGGACGAGGGCCGGTGCGTGCTGCCTCGGGAGTGCCCGTGCCACGCCGCGGGGCTGCGGCACCCCCCGGGGCAGCTGGTGAAGGTGGACTGCCAGCTCTGCGCCTGCCTGCGCGGCCAGCTGCGGCGCTGCCGGCAGAACCCCGACTGCGCCGGTGAGTCCCGGCAGCGGCGGCACCGCGGCGTGGGTTGGAGGTGCCGGTGCCCCGCACTGAGCCGGTGCCGTCCACAGTGCACTGCGGCTGGTCGGCGTGGTCGGCTTGGGGCGACTGCCCCGGGCCCTGCGGCACGCAGAGCGTGCAGTGGTCGTTCCGCAGCCCCACCAACCCCAGCCAGCGCGGCGGCGGCCGGCACTGCCGCGGCATCTACCGCAAGGCGCGCAGGTGCGGCGGGTGCGCACCGGGGTGGTGATGGACGAGCGGCGGGCCCCCGGTGACCTCCCCGCTCCCGCAGGTGCCAGACGGCGCCGTGCCGGCAGTGCCAGTCCCGGGGCCGCCGGCACGCACCGGGGGAGCGGTGGCGTGAGGAGCCCTGCCACGTTTGCCAGTGCCTGCCCAGCCTGGCCGTGCGGTGCTCGCCCTACTGCCCGCACCGCGCCGCCGGCTGCCCGCAGGTGAGGGCGTGGGGTGACCGCGACACCGGTGCCGGTCCTGGCACTGTTGGTGCTGATGGTGACAGTGACCTCCGTAGGGCCGGGTACTGGTCGATGGCCACGGGGACTCCTGCTGCTACTGTGCCCCAGCGGGTGAGTCGGGGCAGCCAATGCTATGATGGGGGTCCCATCCTAGAGGGGCCGCCTGACGTGGTCTCCACTGCAGGCGACAACGTGACGGCTACCCCCCCGGCGCTGCCGACAGCGGAGGCCCCCTCGTCCACGCCAACAGAGCCCCCCGACTCCTCCCTGCTCACCTTCCCGCTGCCTCCCCTTGGCGGTAAGCACCACCACCATGAGACTTGCCAGTGCGGGCAGGGGGCAGGCAGCCGGGACAAGGGTTATGTCCCCAGACCCTGAGCTGCTCCCACACCCCGCCAGATCCCTGTTACCTCCCGCTGGGCACCGCGGCTCTGCCGGTCAGCGGTTTCAGTGCCTCATCGGCGCGGTCTGAGAGCCCAGCACACGCTGCCGGGCTGCATGGTGGTGACCCCGGGGAGCCGCTGCAGGGCTGGGCCCCCCCGGATGATGCCTACGCGGCACCGCCCGACGAACCCTCCTTCCTGCAGCTGGACCTGCTGCAGCCCACCAACATCACCGGTGGGTGCCGGGCTGCCCGCCGCGGCGCTGATGGTGCCACTGGTGCCACCATGTGCTGCGCTGTCCCCACAGGGGTGGTGGTGCAGGGAGCCGGCTCCTCTGATGCCTTCGTCACCGCATTCCTGCTGCAGTTCAGCGCCGATGGCACCCGCTGGCACCGCTACCGCGACCTCACCAACGGCACCACCGATGCCCAGGTGCCACCGGCTGCACATGCAGCCATGAGTGCACGTGCGATGGTGCACATGTATGTGCGTACATGCATGTACACCCCTGTTTTCGTCTATGTCCCCCCACCAGCTCTTCCAGGACAACCAGGACTCCAGCACACCAGCGGTGCGGCTGCTAGGACGCATGGTGCAGGCGCAGCACGTCCGCATCCTGCCCCAGGACTTCCACAACCGCATTGCGCTCCGTGCTGAGCTGCTGGGCTGCCCCCCAGGTACTGGGGGCAATGCGGGGGAATGGGAGAGCCCCCCACGCCACCCGTGGGTGCCATTCAACTGCCCATTTCTGCCCTCTCCCTAAGTGCCCCCAGCCTGGCATGAGGCTGTGACAGTGCCAGTGACACCGGTGATGCTGCCAGTGATACCTATGATGCCGGTGACACTGACGGTGCCGGTGACACAGACCCAGCGCCCCTGTACCATGGGGGAGTTCCGGTGCGGGAGCGGGGAATGTGTTCTCGGGGGTCCCCGGGGTCCCCTCTGTGATGGTGTCACCGACTGCCCCGATGGCACTGATGAGGCCAGCTGTGGGCCCCCCAGCACCACCAGGTACCATAGCCTGGATTGGGGCTTCCCATGGGAGCTGGGGGTCACAGTGGGTAACCCCTATCTTGGCTATACATCCCCAGCCCCGTGGCCCCCGTGGCAGCCGGTGTTCTGGTGCTGAGCACGACCACACAGCCACCACCAATGCCCCCAGCCATGGTGAGCCCAGGGGGAATGGGGGCCACAAGGGATGGAGGGCAGCAGGTGACACCCCTCTGTCTCCATGCAGGTGTCCCCTGGGATGGGAACCCAGCTGCCACCCAAAGGTGCTGACCCCACTCCACCAGGTACCTCCTGTGGGGAAGGGGGGGGGGGGGGGGGGCGCTGGGGATCAGATGTGGGGCTGAGGGGGGGTCTCTGCTGGGGTTCCCCCATCCTCGCATGCAGTTGGGGTGCTGGGGTCATGTCCTGACCCCCTAGCTGTGTCCTACATGCCCCAGGGCATCCAGGGGCTGAACCCCTTCCCCAACCCCCACATGATGGCTGTGGGTCCCCCCACAACCAGAGCCAGCAGCCCCACGGAGTCGGGAGTCATGGAGCCAGCACCAGGGCCCCCTGACACCCCAACAAGCCCCAGCACCCCGGGGATAGGCACCAGCATCCCCACAGGGCCACCCTGTACCGCATGCCCCCCAGCACTGACAGGGGTCTCCAGCCCTAGCCCCCAAGGTGAGGGGACCCTGACGCATGGGGCAGGGCCAGGCACGGCCGCCCCAGATGTGGGGGGCTCCCCCAGAGCAGGATGGGAGGTGGGGGTCCCTGGGGCAAGGGGGACAGCACCCAGCTCACACCATGGGGCTGGGAACCAAAGGGTTGTGGATGTTGTGGACTGGGTGCCATAGGTTTTGGGTTGCCGTGGGGTTAGGGGTGCTGTGGGATTTGGGGTGCTGTGGGATTTAGGGTGCTGTGGTTTCGGGGTGCTGTGGACTGGGTACTAAGGGGTTTGGGGTGCTGTGGGCTCAGAGCTACCACAGGGTTTGGGGTGATGTGGATTTAGGGGTGCTGTGATTTTTGGGGTGCTGTGGGTTTTGGTCTTCTGTGGGTTTAGTGGTGCTGGTGCTGGGGAGCACCATGGATGGGGAGGACCAGGATGAGGGTCCAGGTTTGGGGGCACCATATCTGCAGGAATCTAATGTTGAGGGGACTGGGGACCACCCCCACAATCCCTGCCTCCCCGCCAGGCACTTGTGATCCGGCTCCTTGGGGAAACTGGGGTCCCTGCAGCCGCTCCTGTGGGCTGGGGGTCACCCTGCGGCCGGCCCTGCCAGGGGGGGGCTGCGCACGGACCCCTCCTGACACCCGTGTCTGCTTCCTGCGTGCCTGCCCAGGTACTCCCAGCACCTCTGGGGACTCCCATCACCCACAGGGAACCCCAGGGTCACCCCAGGGACCGTTTCCCACCCTGAGGACGGCCCAGAGATCTCCCGGGGACCCCCATTCCCGGATACACTCTGCCACCCCTGGGACCCCCAAGGGACCCCCTCCCACTCTAGAGACCCCCATGTACCCCCCGTCCCACCTTGGGACCCCCCAGGTACCCCACGGATGTTACCCGGGATCCCCCAGGGACCTTCCAGGGACCACAGGGTACCACCCCTCACCCCAAGGACCCCTGACACCCCCATTTGTTCTAGATGGCCCCAGGGCTCAGGGGACCAGACCCTCTCATGGAGGGAGCCATGGCTGAGCCCTGGGGCAGGGGGAGGCTTTGGGGGTGTCCGGGGTTCCTCACACGCTGCTGGCTCCCGCAGTGCCTGGCGGGTGGGCAGCCTGGGGGTCCTGGTCCCCCTGTGACGCCACGTGTGGGGGGGGCGTGCGGAGCCGAGAGCGGAGCTGCAGTGACCCCCCTCCAAAGAACGGGGGGGCTCCGTGCCGGGGGGAGCACCTTCAGACCCAGCCCTGCAGCTTCCAGCCCTGCGGGGACCCCCCAGGTACGGAGGGGGCGGGGACACAGGAAGGGGACCGGGAGATCGGGTGCCCCTTGCATCCCTGAGCACCCCCTGTGCCCCCGCCCCCAGCCTGCGGCCCCCGCATGGTGCTTGTGCGGGCCGAGGACTGCGAGGGGGGACGGGACCCCCCCTGCACCCAGAGTTGCGGTGACCTCGGTGGCAACGGCACCTGCGAGCGGCCCTGCCAGGCTGGTGAGTGATGGGTGCGGGGTCTGGGTGCTTGGGGGGGGGTGGGGGGTGTCTGGATGCCGAGTTCCGGTGCTGAGGGCGCCCCGGGACAGGGTGCTGGTGCCCGCCGGGGCTGTTCCTGCAGGACGGCGGCTGCGTCGATGCCGGTGAGTGCCGGTGCCATGTGGCCGGTGAGCAGCGCCGGCCCGGCGAGGTGTTCCTGCAGGGCTGCCGGCGGTGGTGAGTGTTGCACCCCAAGGGGTTTGGGGAGGTTTGGGGGTGCCCCTGGGTTGCCCGCATGGCTCACCCCGGTGCCGGTCTGCAGCACGTGCCACAACGGGACTGTGACGTGCGAGGACGCGTCCTGCGCCGTGGACTGTGGCTGGTCCACGTGGTCACCGTGGACCCACTGCAGTAGCAGCTGCGGCGCGGGGACGCAGGAGAGGTTCAGGTGTGAGGCTGGGTTGGGGCTCTGCCCCATAGCCGTGGGGCGGCTGCACCCCACGGACGGGGTGGCCACATGGCGGCTTCCCGCAGGTCACCCACCAACCCCGCGGCGGCTGCCGGCGGAGCGCCCTGCACCGGGGCGGCGCGGGAGCTGCGCGAGTGCCACGAGCCCTGCGGCACCGGTGGGTGACACCGAGCACATTGACCCAACACCCCCCCCCCCTTTGCCGCGGTGACCCCTCAAGCACCACACGTCCGTGTGTCCGTCCCGGCAGAGCTCGGCAGCGCCTGGAGCCCCTGGGCGGCCTGGTCCGAGTGCTCCGTGTCCTGCGGCGCCGGGGAGCAGCTGCGGCACCGGACCTGCACCGCGCCCGCACAGGGGGAGTCCTGCACCGGCCCCCACCTCCAGACGCGGGACTGTAACACCCAGCCCTGCCACGGTGCGCGCCCCCCAACCTGACCAGACCCCACCCACTGCTGGGGGGCTTGGGGGGCTGTGGGGTAGGGTGATATGGGATGGGTGCTGTGGGATTAGGGGAGCTGTTTGGTTTGGGGTGCCATGGGCTGGGTGATGGAGGCTTTGGGCTGCTGTGGGTTTGGGGGTGCTGTGGGTTTGGAGGTCTCATGGGTTTCAGGGTGGCTTGAGCTTTGGGGTGCTGTTGGCATTGGGGATCTGTGGGGTCAAGGTTGCTGTGGGCTGGGTGTTGTGTGTTTTGGGGTGTTAAGGACAGGGCGCTGTGGGTCTGGGGGTGTGAGGCTGCCTGGCTGCAGCAGGATGAGGAGACACCCTGCGTTTGGGGTCCCACCAGCTCCAGGCCCTCCATCCCTATGGCACCCACCCACTTGCCAGCCCTGGTCTGGGGAGCTGGGGGGCACCAGAAATGAGAGGTGCTAAGACTGGGGAGCACCGGGAATGGGATTCCAGGTTTGGGAGGCACGAGAGATGGGGGGGAACAAGGACTGAGGTCCAAGGCCGCGGGCTCCCTGGGGACGGGACCCCCTCCAGCGATGCTGTCGCCGGTGCCCGCAGCGCGGTGCCCCGGGCACGCTCTGTACCGCACGGCCGCCCAGTGCCGCGCCATGGGGGAGCCCTGCCCGCGCCTCTGCCTGGACCTCGGCGCGGGTGTGGAGTGCGCTGCGCGCTGCCGCGACGGCTGCGCCTGCCCCGCGGGGCTCCTGCTGCACAACGGGAGCTGCGTGCGGCCCGCACGCTGCCCCTGCTACCACCGCGGCCGCCTGTACCTGCCCGGGGACACCGCTCCGGGGGACGCCTGCAATAACTGGTGCGGGAGCGGCCCGGGGGGGGGGGGGGGGCGGCGGCCCTGGGGCTGACACCGCCAGCGCTGACCCCCATCTCCTGCAGCACCTGCACCGCCGGGGCGATGGTGTGCGGCACCGAGCCCTGCGCAGGTACCGCGGGGGTCACGGGGTGATGGGGGGACGTGTGAACCGCACCGGGCTCCAACTGCGCCGCGTGGGGCCGTGTATGGCCTCAGTTATATGGGGTGCTGTGGGGCTGAGCACCCCACGCCCCTTCTGCAAGGGCTGTGGGTGTCGGGGGTCACCGTCCAAGCCAGTGGCCCCATCCCGTGTCCCACAGAGGAGCCGTGGGGCGCGTGGTCGCCGTGGGGCCCCTGCAGCGTCTCCTGCGGAGGTGGCGAGCGGCTGCGCCGGCGGCAGTGCCACCAGCCCGAGTGTGTGGGGCTGGGCCTGCAGAGCCAGATGTGCAACACCCACGTGTGCCGCGGTGAGTGCCGGCCTGACCCACGGCCTGACCCATGGCACGACCCATGGCCTGACCCATAGCCCTGACTCATAGACCTGATCTATAGCCCTGACCCATACCCATGCCTCCCAGCTCTGCCTCATAGTCCTGTCCCTTAGGCCTACCACCATGACCCTTCTCCTTTGCCCTGATCTACTGTCCCGCCCCACTGCCCTGCCCCATGGACCCGATCCACTGCCCTGCTCCTTAGGCCTGACCCATACACCTGCCCATGCCTGTGCCCCACAGCACAATCCCTTAGGCCTGCCGCATAGTCCTGCCCCACACCCTTGCTCTATAGCTGTATCCCTTAAGCCTGTCCCATGGCCCTGCTCCATAGCCCTGCGCTACTGCCCTCACACAGTGGCCCATACCCACGCCCCGCAGCTCTGCCCCACAGCCCAATCCCTTAGACCCGTTCCATGCCCCTGCCCCACAGCCCTGTCCCGTTCCCCTGCCCCACAGCCCTGCCCCACAGCCCTGTCCCGTTCCCCTGCCCCACGGCTCTGCCCCACGGCGCCGCCCCACAGACTCGGGCTGCCCGCGGGGGCGGGTATTCCGCGAGTGCGTGGGCGGGGCCTGCCCCTTCAGCTGTGCGCACGTGTCCGGGCGCGTGGGCTGCGGGGGCGGGGCCTGCGCCCAGGGCTGCGGCTGCCCCGTGGGGACCTTCCTGCACCGCGGAGGGTGCGAGGGGGTGAGCGCAAGGACCGGAACCGGGATGGGGATGGGAATGGGGATGAATGGGAATGGAGATGGGAATGGGGATGGGGGGGGATGGGGTGGGAATGGGATGGGGTGGGAGGAAATGGGGATGGGTATGGGAATGAATGGGGATGTGAATGGAGATGGGAATGGGGATGGGGTGGGGATAATGGGGATCGAAATGGGATGGAACAAGAATGGGATGAGAATAGGGGTGGGAATGAATAGGGATGGGGATGGGAATGGGGTGGGATGGATCACACCTGGGGTCATGGAGGAGCCCAGGCCATGGGCTCACCCCCGGGATGTTGAGGGATGCCCAGGTCCATGGATGCTTCTGGGGGTGGTGGCTGCTCCCTGAGGCCATGGGTGCTTGCTGCACACTGGGTGCTCCATGGGGCGCTGGGTGCCCCCGGGTCCATGCTGTGTTCCCGGTGCTCCGGTGCTGGTGCGCAGGAGTGTCCGTGTGCGCTGCCGGCCGGATCCACCGGCACTGCCGAGCCCCGGCTGCTGCCCGGGCAGGAGCTGCCCTCGGGGGGCACCGTGCGCACGGCCTGCGCCAACTGGTGAGTGACCGCGACCCACACTGCGACCCACAGCCAGCGCCTGCCCCACCGCCCCTGCACATGTGGTCCTTCCCTACCACCGCGTGCCCCACGGCCCTTCCCTGTCACCCCACTGCCCTTCCCCACCCCTCTCTAACACCACCACTACCCCACAGCCCTTCCCCACAGCCCATTGACCCTTGGCCCTTCCTCACCACCACCTACCCCATGGCCCTTCCCCTCCCATCACCCAGCACCCAACTCCCCTTACCCATCACCCCATTGCCCTCCCCACCACCCTGCTGCCCCCAGCCCCACAGCGGCCCTGTCGCTGCCCCCCAGCACGTGCCGTCACGGCCACCTGAACTGCACGGAGCTGGAGGGCTGCCGGCGGGATGGGGCTTGGGGGTCCTGGAGCCCCTGGAGCCCCTGTGCACCCACATGCGGGGGGCTGGGGCTCAGCACCCGCCAGAGGGGCTGCACCAGCCCCACACCAGCCCATGGCGGCCGGGACTGCACCGGAGCCCGCACTGACACCATGTACTGCCGGACCCCCGACTGCCCTGGTGCGTCACAGCCCCATCCCAGCCCCTCTAATGGGTCACAGCCCCATCCTGTCCCCTCTGCTATGGGTCACAGCCTTTCTGCAATGTGTTATGGCCCATCCCTCCCTGTCCCCTCTGCCATGGTCACAGCCCCTTGTGTCCCCTCTGCCATGGGTCAAAGGCCATCTCCATTCCTTCTCCCATGGGTCACAGCCCAGCCCCAGCCCCTCTGCTGTGGGCCGTGGCTCATCCCAGACCTTCTGCCGTGGGTCACAGCCTCATCCTGTCCCCCTGCTGTGGGTCACAGCACATCCCCATTCCCTCTGCTGTTGGTTCCATCATGCCAGGCCATAGGTCTCAGCCGCATCCCCTCTGCCCTGCAATGAGTCCCATCCCCATTCCCATGTCACGATCCACATGAGTCGCAGCCCCGTTGCCTCTGCCCTGCCGTGGCTCCCATTCCCATCCCCATCCCCATCCCCTCTGCCCCACGGGGCCATGGGTCCCACGGGGGTTTGGAGGTGTCACCGTGTTCTCTACCCCCAGCCATGCCCACCCCCACACCGAGGCCCAGCCCCACATCCCCGAGCGCTGAGGCTGAGGGAGGCTTTGGGCCCTGGTCCCCCTGGAGCCCCTGCTCCAGGAGCTGCACCCGCCCCGAGGCACCAGCCACCAAGAGCCGCAACCGCTCCTGCAGCGGCGCTGGGGACTGCAGCGGGGAGAGCGAGCAGCAGCGGACCTGCAACCTGCCCCACTGCGACGGTGCGGCATGGGGGCCTGACCCACAGCGTGTGGGGGGAACCTGCCCCACGGCATGCGTGGGCCACGGGGGGGAACCTGCCCCATTGTGTGAGTGGGCTATGGCAAGGCGGGATGGACACCCAGCCCCACTGCACAGAGAAGCTATTGGGGGGGTCCTGCCCCATCTACAAGGGTGGGCTATGGGAGTGAATGAACACCCTGCCCCACTGCAGCAGTGTGCTATCTGGGGAACCTGCTCCAGTGTGCGGGTCAGTTATGGGAGGGAGACACCCTGCCCCACTGCATTATGGGGGGGGGACATGCCCCACTGAAAGGGTGAGCTATAGTAGGGGGAGACACTTCCTGCCCCACTGCACTGGGGAGCTATGGGGGGCCCTGCCCCACTGAATGTGTGGGTTATGGGGGGGGACATCCTGCCACGCTGCACTGGGGGGGCCATAGATGGGGAGCTGTGTCCCTCGGCTCATGGGGGCGGGGGTCCCACAGCACCCCCCTGCCCCGGTGGGGCCTGCGACTGCGAGTGGATGCCGTGGGGCCAGTGGGGCGGCTGCTCCCGCAGCTGTGGGGGGGGGCTGCAGCTGCGCCTGCGGGCGTACACCCCCCCCGGCCCGGGGGGGCGCTGGTGCCCCGACATCGGCAACGCCAGCACCGAGCATCGCGCCTGTGGCCTGCGCCCCTGCACCGGTGTGGGGCTGGGGGGGCTGTTGGGGGGCTCGGGGCGGGGGGGCTGGTAGGGGATTGAGGGGCTTCTTGGGGTGTTTGTTGGGGTGCTTGGGGTGGGCTTGGGGAGCTCGGGGGGATTGTGCAAAGTTGGGGGGTCTCAGTGGGATTGGGGTGTTTGTTGAAGGGTTTGGAGAGGGACTGGGGGCTCAGGATGGGCTTGGGGGTCCTCTTGAGTGGCTCAGGAGGCAATTGGGGGGGTCTTGGAGGAGTTTGGGGGTCTTTGAGGACTTTGGGGGCTTGTTGGGGTGGGCTTGGGTGGCTTGGGGGGATGTTGAAAGGGGTTGGAGGGCTTGGGGTCTTTGGGGAGGTTGTGGGGGGTCAGAGGGGGCTGATGAGGGGACATTGCAGGGGGTCTGGGGATCCCGGTCATCGCCCCACACCTGACCCCCCCCCCCCATGGTGCAGTGGACGGCGCCTGGTCCCCCTGGAGCCCCTGGTCACGGTGTGACCGGACGTGCGGGGGGGGCCGCTCCCTGCGCAGCCGCTCCTGCACCCGGCCCCCTCCCAAGAACGGGGGTGAGCCCTGCCCCGGCGAGCGTCACCAGCTGCGGCTCTGCAACCCCCAGCCCTGCGGTACGGACACGGCCCCGGGGCACCGGGATCACCGGGAGTCACCGGGATCACCGGGGTCACCGGTGTGTGTCGGTGCCGCCCCCAGGGCAGAGCTGTCCCCCAGGCACGGTGCTGGTGCCCTGCGCCAACCGGTGCCCGCGGCACTGCGGGGACCTGCGTGCGGGGCTGTCCTGCGGGCCCGAGGAGCGCTGCCGGCCCGGCTGCCGCTGCCCCAACGGTGAGTGCGGCCCCGTTCGGCTCCGGGCCCCGCAGCCCCACGCCGGTGCCGTGTCCCCACGCGTACCCGTGCCCCGCAGGGTCGCTGGAGCAGGACGGCGGCTGCGTGCCCCTCGCCCGCTGCGAGTGCACGGATGCGGCCGGGCGCGGGTGGGAGCCCGGCAGCCGCCACCGCGACGGGTGCGAGAGCTGCGAGTGTGACAGCGGCCGCCTGCGCTGCGTCCGCGACGGGTGCCCCCAGCCCCAGTGCAGCTGGAGCCCCTGGGGCCGGTGGGGGCCCTGCACCGTCACCTGCGGGCACGGGCGGCAGCACAGGCACAGGTGGCACCGGCCGCGGGGACACATGGCACACACAGGGGATGCGGTACCCTGGGGGACACACAGCACCCGGGGGGGACGCGTGACGCTTGTGGCAGGGGGAAATGGGACCTGGAGAGGACACGAGAGATACGGCTCCCAGGGGATACAGAACCCATAGATATGGCACCCGGGGGATGTATGGCACCTGGGAGGGGATACGGTGCGTTGGGGAAACATATTGTATGGGTGGGACGCAGCATGAGGGAGGTACGTATGGCACTCATGGGACATGGAAGGAAATGGCACGTGGGGGAACATAGCACCCGGGTGGGACACATGGCACATGGAAGGCATATGGCACTTGGGAAGGGATGGCAGCACCCCAGGGTACCTAGGGGACTTTGGCACGAGGGGGGGGGACACAGCACATGGGGGACACATGGCACTGAGGCAGGACACACAGCACGTGGGAGGGACTTACAGCACCCAGAGGACACTTGGTGGGGGACATGGCGCCTGGGGAGGACCTGGGAGACACAGCACCCAGTGGAGACACATGGCACCTGAGGAGGACATATGGGATCATATGGCACCTGGGGGAAGGGACATGGCACATGGGGGACACTTATGGTACTGAAGGGGGACACAGCACCTGGAGGGCACATGTGACACTTGCAGGGAGGGAAATGGCACCTGAGGGGGACACGGCACTCAGGGAGACACCTGGCACACCTGTACCCAGGAGATACAGCGCCCAGGGACATGGCATGAAGGGGACATGTGGCACCTGTGGGGGGACACAGAGCACCCAGTGGACACCCGGGGCAGGTGCTGCTGTGCCCCTCCACGCAGTGGGTGACCCCGGTGTCCTCCCCAGGACCCCCATCGCAGTGGCGGGTGCTGTGCCATGCGAGGGCCCGCAGGAGCAGAGCCGGGAATGTGCCGAGGGGCCCTGTCCGGCCCTGTGCCCGCGGGAGGGCGGCAACGGGAGCCTGGGGGAGAGCTGGATGCAGGGACCCTGCCGGCAGTGGTCGGTGAAGGGACTGGGGTGGGGGGGGACGGGGAGATAGAGACAGAGATGGTGATCAGGATGGGGGCCACCGCGGTCCCCATCCACCCGTGTCCCCACAGCACCTGCACCCCCGAGGGCATCCAGTGCCAGGACATCCCCTGTGATGGTGAGTGGTCCCCCTGCACGCTGGACCCAGTGAGGGGACGAGGGCCAGGCCGGGTCCCCGCGGTGCCAGTGACCTCCGTGTTGTACAGACCTCTGCCTCTGGGGGTCGTGGGGGCCCTGGGGACCCTGCCAGGACCCCTGCAGCGGTGGCTACCGCCTGCGCCATCGCCGGTCCCAGCACCCGGCGGGTGACCGGCAGTGCCACGGTGCCCGTGCCCAGACCCAGAGCTGCAACACCGCTGCCTGCGCAGGTAATGCCCGCATGCGGTGGGTGCTGGTGGCGATGCCGGTGCTGGCGCCAGTGCCTCACCCTAACACTCGCCAATGTGCCCAGGCGAGGGGTGTGATGAGCGTGGACGGGTCTTCACCATGTCCTGCGCCAACCGGTGCCCCCGTGCCTGCGCTGACCTCTGGCCCCATGTCGAGTGTCTGCAGGGACCCTGTGAACCGGGTATGTGCACCAAGCTGCAGCAGACCCTGACCCATAGGGTGGTGTCCCGCCCCATAGCACAGTCCCCTGCCCTATAGCACACCCCCAGCCCTATAGCACGGCCTCCTGCACCATAGCACACCCTCTATCCCACAGCACATGCCTGTGCTCCGTGACACGGCTCCCCACCTCATTGCACAGCACCCTGCCCCATAGTATGGCCCCTTGACCAATAACACATCCCCAGCCCTCTAGCACATCCCCCACTCCATAACATGCTCCCTTGCCTCATAGTAGACCTCACTCCCCATAGAATGGCCTCCTGCCTCACAGCACAGCCTCTACCCCGTAGTACACACCTGTGCTCCATAGCACAGCTCCCACCCCATAGCATGGCCCCAGCCCTGTAGCAAACCCCACCCCATAGCATGCTCCCCCTGATCCTAGCACAGCCCCTCCCCCATCAACCCTGCCCCACAGCACCGGCTGCCCCCCAGTGCACCCATGTACATCCCCATGGTGAAGCCCCCCTGGCCCACCATGTCCTTGGGAGCACCCACAGCACCCATCGTTGTGCCCGTAGGGTGCCGGTGCCCCCTGGGACAGCTGCTGCAGGATGGGCTGTGTGTGCCAGTGGACCAGTGTCGCTGCGGGCTGCCCACTGCCAATGGCACCCAGGAGCTGTGGCCAGGGCAGGCAGTCGAGCACGGCTGCCACAACTGGTGGGTGCCACCATGGTGCGATGGGTGCCTTGTGCTATGTGGCACAGCCCGTGGGCCAAGACTGATGCTGGTGTCACTCCTGGCACAGCACCTGCAGGAACGGGACCTTCACCTGCCCGGCACTGTCATGTCCTGTCTATGGGCCCTGGTCCCCGTGGAGCCCCTGCTCCCGCAGCTGCGGTGGCGGCAACACTTCCCGGCACCGTGAGTGCCAGGAGAGCACTGGGGGGGAGACCTGCAGTGCCACTGACACTGAGGAGATGGCTGAGTGCAACCTGCAGCCCTGCCCCAGTGAGTGCCAGTGTGGTGGGATGATGGTGGAGTAATGGTGGGACCGCAAAAACGTTGGAACAGCAGGATTATAGCAGGCTGATGGGGCAATGCTGGGATGATAGTGGGACAGTGGGACAGCAAGGGATGATGTGTTGATGGTGGAGTGGCGGTGGGATGGTGGCTGACAAGGGACAGTGGGATGGTAGCATGATGGCAGGACAATGGTGGGGCAGTCACGATGGTGGGACAATGATGGGATGTTGAGATGGTGGCGGGAAGGTGGGATGGTGGCGGGATGATGGTGGGATGATGGTTGGATGGTGGCAGAACAATGGTGGAACAGTGGGACAATGTTGGGATGGCCAGCCAGGGACTGTGGGACAATGGTGTGGTGACGGTGGGATGACAGTAGGATGGTGGTGAGACAGCGGTGGGATGATGGCGGGACAATGGCAGGACAGTAGGGCAGCAGGAGAATCGTGAGACAGTGGGATTGCAAGTGATGGTGGGATGACAGCAAGATGGTGGGACAATGGTGGAATGGTAGTGGGACAGTGGGATAATGTCAGGATGATCGACACCAAGGGACAGCAGGTTGGTGGGACAATGGAGGGATGATGGTGGGACAGCCAGGGGTGGTAGCACAGTGGGACGATGCAGGGATGATGGAGGGATGCCAGGGGGATGGTGGCCATCGAGGCCCGTCGCTGACCCCGCTCCCCGCAGGCGGCTGCCGGCTGAGCCCCTGGTCCCCGTGGAGCCGCTGCAGCACCACCTGCGGTGGAGGCACCTCCGAGCGCCGCCGGGAGCTGCTGCCCGGGCCGGGGGAGCCGTGTCCCCTCCTGCCGCCGCCGCTGCTGCTGCTGCACCGCGTCTGCAGCGCCCACAACTGCTCCCCGGGTAAGGGGTGGGCGCCGGGCGGGGGCGCGGGGCCTGGGGGGGGCCGGTCCTTGTGCCGCAGCCGCCGCTCGCCCCGCAGAGTGCCCCGGCGGGCAGCGGCTCGGTCCCTGCGCCAACGCCTGCCCCCGGCACTGCGCGCACCTCGGCCCCGGGGCGCGCTGCGTGACACAGAGCTGCCAGCGCGGCTGCGCCTGCCCGCACGGACAGGTACCGACAGCGGGACCGGCACGGGCACCGGGACCACAGCAGCACCCGGGGGCCCTGCTGCACCCTGGGACCCCTCAGTGTCCTGGGAACCACCAGCACCCAGGGACCTCACTGCCACCCAAGGGGCACCACTGTACCGTGGGGAATCCCCACCACCCAGGGACCCACCCTCATCACCCCACGGACACCACTGCACCCCAAGGACCCCACTGCACCCCAGGGACCCAGCTGCCACCCAGGGACTCTTCTCCACCACTGGGGACCCCTGCTACTCTGAGGGCCCCAATGTCACCCCAGGAATGTCACTGTAGGGTTCCCACACCACCCTGGGGCTCCCACTGCAGCCCAGGAACCCAACGCCACCCCAAGTACCCCAATTTCACCCCAGAGATCCCCCCCAACCCTGGGTACCCCGATGTCACCCCATGGACCCCAGTGTCACCCTGGGGAGTCCACTGTCACCCTGGGGACCCCACACCATGCTGAGGAGCCCTGCCACCCTAGGGACCCATCTCCATCCCAGGGACTTCACCCCAGGGAACCTTCTCCACCCCAGGCAGTACTCCTATGCTAGGGAACCCCCATTACCGTGGGGACCCCATTTCCCCACCACTTCCTCCTGGGTGGGGATCTTGTGTTTTGGGGTCCGGTCAAGGGGGGTCCCTGCGTCCCGTTCCTACTGGTGTTCGCAGGTGCTGCAGGACGGGGCCTGTGTCCTCCCTGCACTGTGCCGCTGCCACCTGCCCCCCGCCCTGGCCGCAGCACACAACCTCTCCCTGGCACTGGAACTGCCACCGGGCACCAGCCTGCAGCATGGCTGCACCCGATGGTGAGTGCTGGGGATGGGGGTTGCCGTGGGATGGGGGCTGGCAGGGAAGTGCTGACCCGTCACCTGTGTCTGCAGTGTCTGCATCCACGGCACCTTCAACTGCTCCCAGGAGGAATGTAATGGTGAGAGACCCAAAATCCCAGCCCTGCGCCCGCACCATGGTCCCCATGCCATGGTTCTTGCATCCCTGCGTTATGGTCCACATACTCATACCATGGCTCCTGCAACGTGGTGCCTGTGACATGGTCCTTGTGTTGTAGTTCCTGTACCGTGGTCCCCATGCCTGTGCCATGGTCCCTGTGTGGTGCTCCCTGTGCCATGGTTCCCATATCCATGCCATGGTTTCCACACTGTGGTCCCCATTACTGTGATGCACTCTCCATGCCACTGTTCCTGTGCCATGCTCCCTGCACTATATTCACTGCACTGTGGTGCCCATGCCATAGTCCCTGTGCCGTATTCCCTGTGCCATGCCCCCATGCTACAGCCCCACATCTCCTGCCTGTGGTCCCCATGGTCACCCTGGTCCCCCTGCTTGGTGACATGTGGGACGGGTGAGCAGCGTTCCCAGCATCACCCGCTCTGGCAGTACCAGTGTGCAGGGGCAGAGTGCCAGGGGCCTACCATGTGCCACAGCCCCTCCAACCTCCCCCCTGCCATGAGTGCCCCCGGCTCCACTCCCTGCCCTGGGCACGTTGAGGCACTATCCTGCGCCACATGGTGCCGGTGCCATGTCCCTGTGCCACACGCAGCCTGTCCTGCCGGTGAGCGCTGGCAGGGCCCTGACGTGCCGGACAGCTGTGACCAGAGCTGCGGGGACATTGAGGAGCCTCGGCATAACTGCAGCATCCCCCTGGCCCCCGGCTGTGCCTGCCAGCCCGGGTACTACCGCAACAGCACCGGACACTGTGTCCCGGCCGCTCACTGTGAGTGCTGGCATCGTGGACAGCTGCACCAGGTCAGCAGTGACAGGGGCTGCGGGTGGGGGTCATGCGTGTCTGGGTGCCCCTTGTGTCCCCCCATGGCCGGGCTGAGCCCTCTGTTGTCCCCCCCGCCCAGGCCGGTAGCACGTGGCAGGATGGGTGTGAGAAATGCCGCTGCCAGGATGGGAGAGTGACCTGTGCTGCTGCTGGCTGTGCCCCACTGGCCTGCCCTGAGGTGTGGGGGGTCAGATATAGGAGGGACACATTGAGGGGGAGATACACGAGAAGAGGGGACGTGTGGGGAAAAAGAGCATGTGTGGAGCAGGTGCATGTGGGTGCAACACACATAGGGCAGGGGCGTGCATGGGCAGGAGGCATGTGTGGGGAGGGGACATATTTGAGGCAGGAGAACACTTGGGCAGGGGTCACACATAGGGAAGGGGCACATGGGGATGGGGTGTACATAGGGAGGGGACATGTGTAGGGAAAAGGGCACTTGTGGGCAGTAGTGTTCATGGGGAGGATGCATGCCTAGGGAGGGCACATGTGTGTGGAGAAGGCCCTGGTGGGGAGGGGACAAGGGTGGGAAGTCTTACAAGAAGGGGACACATATGGGGAGGAGGTCCCTTTCTTGGGGGTCCCACACGGGGAGGAGGTCCCATGGGTGCAGGTCACACGTGGCTTGGGGGTCTCCCATGGTGGGATCTGACCCTGCCATCCCATCAGGGCACAGTGAAGGTTCGGGAGCCAGGGGGCTGCTGCCCCGTGTGCCGGGAGAAGTGGCCGGGTAAGGTCCCTACATCCCACGGTGGGCCCAACACCCGCCAGCACCCCGCGGCACTGAGGCATCGTGGTGACCCCCACACTGTGCCACGTCCCGCAGAGGAGCCGCCCGCAGCGTGCCGGCGCCTCACGGAGCTGCGCACCATCGCCAAGGGCCCCTGCGCCCTGCGCGATGTCGAGGTCTCCTTCTGCGCCGGGCACTGCCCGTCCCGCACCACCGTCACCGCCGAGGTCAGCGGGGCCGGGGGGGGGGGTGTCGGGGTCCGCGGTTGGAGCCGGTGCAAGCCGCAGCGCGTCCCGGCAGGAGCCGTACCTGCAGAGCGTGTGCGAGTGCTGCAGCTACCGCCTGGACCCCGCCGGCCCCGTGCGCGTCCTGCGGCTGCCGTGCCCCGGCGGGCAGAGCGAGCCCGTGGTGCTGCCCGTCATCCGCAGCTGCCAGTGCAGCCCCTGCCAGGGTGAGCACCCCTGAACCACCCCCCCCGGCTGCGGGGCAGCACCCAAGGCCCCGCACCCCTACCCGGCTGTGAGTGCAGCACCCTGAGAGCCCAGACCCCTCTCCCACAGGTGGGGATTTCTCCCGCCGCTGAGAGCCCTCCGGGGTGCTCCAGACCCTGCTCCCCTCTGCAATAAACCTGCGGGAACAGCCCCCACATCCAGCAACAGGGACTGGGGGGGCACTGGGGGGGCACTGAGGGTATTTTGGGGGACTGGGATGGGTCCGGGGGATACGGGGGGGGACGACGCGGGGGGGCTTGAGGGGACTGAGAAGGGATTGGGGAGGATCAGGGGTGGGAATGGGAGGGACTGGAGAAACAGGGAGGGACGGGAAGGTTCAGGGGGCAGTAGGGAGGGCTGGGGAGAAACGTGGGAGGGTTCAGGGGGTAATAGGGAGGCATGGCAAGGGACTGGGGTGACTGGGGAGGGCTTGAGGAGGACCAGAGAGGGTTCAGGGAGACCATGAGAATCCAGGGGGGGACTGGGAAGGGACCAGGAAGGGACTGGGGAGAGCAGGGCAAGACCAGGAGGGGTTGGAGGGAGACAGAGAGGGACACTGGGAATGACTATGAAGGGCTCAGGGTGGGCCAGGAGGGACTGCAAGGGGACATGGGAGGGCTTAGGGAGGGGACCAGGAAGGGCTACAGAGAGGTGGGGGGGGGGGGCAGAAGGGTCTTGGGAGGAACTGGGTGGGGTAAAGGTTTGGGGTGATAGGGGGGCCTGTCCCCAGTGCCGGTGTGCAGGGGGTGTCATTTCCCCATTGTCCTGCTGCCAGCCAAAGCCTCACCAGGCCTGTCCCACAGGTCTGAGGGTTCTCCAGGGGCACCAACGCAGCACAAGGCTGCGGTTCAATTAAAACTGCCGATTGCTTAATTGTGGTCTGTTCATTAGAGCGGTGCGGGATTGGGGGCGGGGGGGAGGGGGCTGGAGGGAAATGGGGGTTGCTGACTCTGGGAACCAGCATCGCTTTTGCCAACCATGGCATGGCCAGGTGCTGCCACAGCGGGAGCGAGGGGCTTGGGGAGCTCCATCAGGCAGGGCCATGGGGGTGGGATGGGATTGGGATGAGATGGGATGGGGACAAGGTGGGACACAGCTGGTTCTGGTGAGCTCTGGCACCCCAACATGGGCAGCGCCTCTCACCAAGACAAGCCCACATCCCTCCAGCTCCCTCAGACGCCCGCAGGCAGATCCCAACCTCTCACCGTGCCCCACCAGAGACAGGGATCTAGGGATGAGTGAGGGGATGCCAGCCCCCTGAGCCAGGCGCATGCACTGCTGCAGCGCTTGCTGCGTCATCACCACCCAGCACCTTTTTACTCACTGTCGGGGTGGGAAAGTAAAGCAGCCACTTCCCCCAGCCCCATGCACCATCCTGACTGCACCATGACTGCTTACTGCATCCCCCCACCCCAGCAGATAGTTGGGTCCCCATGACCTCCCCACCAACTGCGGTTGTCCAGTGTTCCCAGGAGGATCCAGTGTGAATGCTTCAGGGCAGTCGGTGATGGAAGAGCTGCCATTCACTTCCCATTCACACATGGGTGCTCTGGTGAAGCTGACATGGGCTGCTCAGCAGCAGTTCTGGGGGGTGCCAGGTCATGGGCCAGGGGTGCTGTGGGTGCTGTGGGTGCAGCATCTGGTCCGCACATCCCAAAACCGCTTCTCACAGCCACTACATGGAAGGGCTTCAGAGATGGACCCGCACGTGCCATCAGCCAGTCCTGGTGCACCCACTGGTGCTGCCCCTGGATGCAGTCCTTGCCGCATCCACCACACTGCGGGACCCTCTTGACGGTGTGGCCATGGTGGGGGACGGTGCTGGTGTTCCTGCTGTGGAAGCCCTTGTGGCAGAGAAGGGCCGCTTCCCACTGCGGATGGGCTGGCGGGTGACTGGGCGGCACTTCTGGCTGAAGGGGTGGCCGCGGTGCATGTTCTGGTGCTGCATCAGATCCTGGCTCTTGCCGAAGCTCTTCCCACACTCAGCGCAGGCACTGGGGCTCTGGGGGCCAGTGTCAAGGTCCACCTGGGTGACGTGGCTCTTCTGGTGCTGCTCAAGGTCACCGGAGCAGGAGAAGCTCTGGGTGCATCGGGTGCAGGTGAAGGGCCGCTCTCCTGAGTGGCTGCGTGCATGGACGTCCAGCGCTGCGCGGCTCCGGAAGCTCTGGTTGCACTCGGGGCACGTGGGGAGCGGCTTCACCCTGGACAGACCCCGCTGACGCCTCCCACTGTGCTTGGGCACTGCTGGGAGCAGGGTGGTGGGCACTGGCAGCACTCCAGGGACCCCCGGCTGCATGTGGGTGACTCCCGCAGCTGGGGAGGAGATGTGGGGTCACCACTGGGATGGGTAATCCCAGCCCATCCTGGTGACCAGAGCTGCTGGGTCTGAGGGCAGGGGGTGCTGCCCCTGGTACCTGGTGCAGGAGCTCGGCGCCGGCGCCGTGGCAGGGACAGGGATGTCGCACATGGAGTCAACTCTTGCTCCAGCTTGGCAATGATCTCTGGCTTGACGGTGAGATAGCCTGTCACAGCAGAGAGAGCATGCGCTCCAATGGTGCCCCCTGGCTCCTCCTGGATCTGCTCCCTCACCCTCTCCTGGCTGCAGCTGTGTCTGCCATCCCACAGCCATTCCATTCCATCCCCATCCTGTCCCATCTCCATCACATCCTAATCTCTATCCCATCCCTATCTCATCCTTATCCCTATCCCATACCCATACCCATTCTGTTCTACCCCATCTCATTCCATCCCATCCCCATCCCATCCCATCCTATCCCCAACCCCATTCTGTCCCATCTCCACCTCTATCCCATTCCATCCCATCCCATCCCATCCCCATCTTCATGGCATTCCATTCCATCTCCATTCTGTTCCATTTTCATCTCTGTCCTATCCCACCCCCATCTGCATCTGATTCCCATCCCATCTTCACCCCATTCCCATCTCTATCCCATCCCACCAGAACCACTCTCCGCAGGAAGCACCACCAAGGCGAACCCTCCCTATGTCCACCACAGCTCTGCCAGCACTCAAGCCACAACAGCCATGGCTGGATTTCCCTCCAAAGGCCTCCTTTGGCCAGAAGGGTGCACACCCAACGGGATGAATTCCGCCCCAGCAGCACCAGGAGACTCCTCACCCAGCGAGGCAACTGCCTGGTAGTTCTCCAGCATCACCTCCCGGTAGAGCCGCCGCTGCCACCCAGACAGCAAAGCCCATTCCTCAGGGGAGAAGTGCATGGCCACGTCCTCAAATGTCACCAGCATCTGCAGTGGGAACCACACTGGGTCAACATGGCTGGGCCTGACACCTCTGCTGAGATCCTGCCGGCCAGCACTGAGGGCTCCTGCAGCCCCGGCAGCACCGGCAGAGCTAGGAGCATCCCATGCCACAGAGGGGCAGGGCGCTGCAACACTAGGCTTGAGGCCAGGAGCCGCCACACTCTTGCCTGTGCCACGGCTCCATGGGCCACTGGCATTTTGTGACAACCACACCAATGGCACCAACCATGGGAATCCCAGCCCTGGAGCTGGCTCATCACCAGCGCCTGACCCCCACCTTGCCGGAGCAGCCTGGCCCTGGCATGTCACAAGCAGATGGATTCACAGGCGATGCTTATCCAGGCAGACGGTGGTGGGATGCTCCAGATCCTACCAGTGATGCCAGTCCCATGTGTAGCTGCTCCAAGACCTGATCCCTGCCAAGCACAGCAATGTGGGGAATAACAGGGAGGCCAAAGGGCACTTACTGCTGACAGCACTGGGCCTTGGGCTGGGGACCTGGAATACCACCAGCAAAGGGAACGACCCAGTGAGCATCACCCCTGGTATGTCGGGGTTGGAAATGGCAATGAAAACAGGGCAAATGGGATTTGAGGAACCCCCAAACACCCGACCCAGGCTCCGGTGCCCGGGGAGAGCCACGGGAGGATGATAGGGGGTACCAGGGGGTCCTGATCCGGGAGGGAGTGGGAAGTGCTGGGTGGGGCCGGGAGGTTCAGGGGGGTCCCGGGGGGGTGTGAGGGGGATCCGCTCCCGGCGGGGGGTGTCTGGGGGTGTCGGCGCCCATCCCCGTGGCACCAGGCCGCCCCCCGCCCCTCCCGTACCTACCGCGGGGCTGCGCCGGCCGGGCTGCGGGCGGGGACAAAGGCGGCGCTGGGATCCGCCGGTACGTCAGCCCCGAGCAGCGGCAGAGCAGCTCGGGAGGTGTAGTCCGGGGGGTGCGGGGAGGATGCGCGTGCTCTTCCTGCCTCCATCCACTGGGATGTGGGTGGCCCCCTCCCTGGTGACCTTCCCACCCAGGGGGGATTGGTGCCCCCTCAATCCAGCTGTGGGATGTGGGTGTCCCCCCAAGTTGGCCAGGGAAGCAGGTGCCCACCCCAGTGACACCCTCCTCAGGGAAGCAGGTTGTCCCCTGCATCCAGCTGCAGGTAAGTGGGTCTTCTCGCTCCCCCCCCCGCCGTGGATGCAGAAATACCTTCCACTAGACCAGGTTGCTCCCAGCCCCATCCAACCTGGCCTTGAACACCGCCAGGGATGGGGCAGCCACAGCTTCCCTGGGCAACCTGTGCCAGGGCCTCACCACCCTCACAGGGAAGAACTTCTTCCTCAGATCTCATCTCAATCTCCCTTCTGTCAGTTTAAAGCCATTCCCCCTTGTCCTGTCCCTTCCTGCCCTTGTCAAAAGCCCCTCTCCAGCTTTCTTGTTGGCCCCTTTAGGCACTGGAACCTGCTCTAAGGTGTCCCCGGAGCCTTCTCTTCTTCAGGCTGAACAAGCCCAGCTCTCTCAGCCTGTCTACAGAGCAGAGGTGCTTCAGTCCTCAGAGCATCTCTGTGGCCTCTGGACTTGCCAACAGCTCCATGTTCTTCTTACGTTGTGGCCCCAGAGCTGGATGCCAGGCTGCAGATTGGGTCTCACCAGAACAGAGAGGGAAAATCCCCTCCCTTGACCTGCTGGTCACGCTGCTGGTGATGCAGCCCAGGGCACAGTTGGTTTCTGGCCTTCAGGCACACACAGCTGGGTCATGGGGAGCTTCTTGTCACCCATAATGCAAAATGTTGGGCTGCACTTTTTATTAGTTTCTGTATCGGGGGGAATAAAAAAGAAGGTGCTATAAATACGTGTGTCCAGCAGCCACCCCCTAGCCCCTTACTTGCCCCCACACAGCCAGGAAGGGGTTAAACCCCCACCATCCTGTGGGCAGCTACAGCACTGGGCGCTGTCCCATTTTACAGTGTCAGGGACACAAAAACTGGCACAGGGACTCCTGGCCCCACTTCTCCCACCACAATTCGCTTTTGGAACGTTTCTGAGCAGCAGCTCTTGTGTGGAGGACGCCAGTTTGTGCCATAACACAAACCCTACCATGATGTGGGGATCCGGTGAGGCTGGAGCACCAGCTCCAGCTCCCAGTCAGAGCAGGGTGCTACCAAAAGCCGGCAGCATCCCCAGCCAGCGCCTCCCCCCTGGCATCTGGCAGTTGGGAAAACCACTGATCCCACCACACCACTGGCCCCGCAGCAGGCTCAAGGCTCTGGTGATGGTCTCATTCCTCCCCTCACCGCTCCATTGATGGGAACACACCCTGGGCAGGATGTTGGGCTGTCCCCACAGCCACCAACCCCTACTTGTACTTGGAGAGCGGCACAGGGCGCTGGGTGCAGGGTACAAGGAGCGGGTGCATAGGGAGGAAGGGGCTGAAGGGTTCTCCCTCGCGGCACCGGGAGAGGATCCTCTCCTCAGCATGCCCACGCTGGTGCACCGTCAGCTCCTTCTTGTGGGCAAAGACGCGGCCACACTCAGTGCAGGGGTAGACCCGCTCCACGGCGTGGGTGAGGTGGTGCGTTCGCAGGTTGCCCTTGTACTTGAAGCTCTTCCCGCACTCGAGGCAGGTGAAGGGGCGCTCGCCTGTGTGGATGCGCTTGTGCTTCATCAGCGTCGTCTTCAGGTTGAAGGTCTTGCCACAGTCGGTGCAGGCGAAGGGGCGCTCACCTGTGTGGATGCGCTGGTGGGTGATGAGGGTGCCCTTGCGGTTGAAGCTCTTGCCGCACTCGGTGCAGGTGAAGGGCTTCTCACCGGTGTGGATGCGCTGGTGCTTGATGAGCTCGCCGTTGTGGCTGAAGCACTTGCCACAGTCGGCGCAGGCGAAGGGCCGCTCGCCCGTGTGGATGCGCTGGTGCCGGGTCAGGTCACCGTTGCGGCTGAAGCTCTTCCCACACTCAGAGCAGCCGAAGGGCCGGTCACCGACATGGATCTTCTGGTGGAGGATGAAGGTCTTCTTGGCGCAGAAGCCCTTGCCGCACTCTGCACAGATGAAGGGGCGCTCACCACGGTGGATCTTCTGGTGGGTGAGGAAGTTGGCCTTGCGGTTGAAGCTCTTGCCACACTCGGTGCAGGAGAACGGCTTCTCACCCGTGTGGATGCGCTGGTGCAGGATGAAGGTCTGCTTGGAGCAGAAGCTCTTGCCGCAGACAGTGCAGGAGAATGGCTTCTCACCAGTGTGGATGCGCTGGTGTCGCATCAGGTCGCCCTTCTGGCTGAAGCTCTTGCCGCAGACAGTGCAGGTGAAGGGCTTCTCCCCGGTGTGCACCCGCAGGTGGGTGACGAGGTTCCCCCGGTGCTGGAAGCTCTTCCCACACTCGCTGCAGGCGAAGGGACGCTCGGATACGTGGCTGCAGGGTCGCTGCACCGGCTTGGAGCTGGGGGCCGTGGTGCTGCCTGTCCTGCAGGTGGAGGACGGGACGTGTCCAGCGCCACTCACTGGCACCACCAGAGCCGTGTCCATCACCTGGCAGAGTCCCCATGGCATGGGGGTGACCCTCTGTCCCCCGGGCACTGCCGGGCTGTGCCGGAGATCAGACACGGTGCCCTGCACCTGCTGCACCGTCCACTGGCTAACATGGGGTCGGGGCCCCAGGGAACCCCCCTCAGCAGCCCCCAGGCTCTGCTCCAGCTTTGATGACCCTGGTTTCATCTCTTCCAGCTCCTCCTTGCCACTGATGCCTGCCAAGAGAAGGGACCATGCGGTTACCTCCTGTGAGGTCCCACAGCCACGTTCTTGGACACCACCAGAGCTGTGCCCATCGACACAGGCACGGTGCAGCCATGGCACTGGGGCCACCGTGACCCTCTGACCCTCTGTCTGTGTCATCAGGGCACCAGTGTCTTGTCTCCGTCTCAGCACTGTGAGCAGGGGTGGCATCACTGCTGCTGACCCCAGGGAGGTGCTCACACCTCTGGTACAACACACGCACTGTCTGTCTGGACCTGTGGAAGAGCAGCACCTTGTGCCTGCACACCAAGAAGCTCAGCAGGATAGCTGGTGGTAGCACCAGGGGCTCTCCCTGCAGCTTTCTGCTGGGTCTGGGACATGGCTGAAAGAGGGACATGGAGGCTGCGGGTGTAGTGGGAGCTGTGGTGGAGGCAGCTCCAGCCCCAGGACCCTGATCATGGAAAGCCCATGGTAACACTGCCCCAAGGTCGCTGGGCAGCCCATGAGGCAGTGGGACCCAGAAGGTGGTGGTGGGACCCTCAGGGCTGCCTCCATCTGCACATCACCTCCCCATGTCCACAGCCACTCATGGCAAGGGGGAGCCCCGACACCACAAATCATGTGCAAGTCGGGCTTGTGGCAAGGAGGCACCAAAGCCAAAGTGCTGAATGAAGCTGTAAATGTAAAGGGGAAATCATATCTGCAGCTGCAGCCAGTGCCGGTCACCAGCAGCACCCACCACCCTTGTCTTTGCTCTTTGTAATGCCTGGCTCAGCACTGCATCAAGTGTGGCTCAGCCCCTCTGGCAGCAAATGCAAAGGATCTGCAGGGGTCTGCAACCCCTCAGAAGAGTTTTCTTCTCCTCCCATCACCCAGAGTGTGGGATGGGAATGGGGTGTCCATGCAGCATCTCACTGCTGTTGAGAGCACCACCCCGTCTCTGGTCCCATCCAGAAGCCCCTGGTGCTTCCTCGGGAGCTGCAAGGAACTTTCAGCCAAACCCATTACTGGAAGATGCTTTAAGGTCCATATCAGCAGGACCTGGCCATTTCCATCAGGGTGACCTGCCCCAGTGAGGAGCCCTTCCCTGCTCCATGCACAGCGAGCCAGGCACTCACCCCAACACCCCCCATCCTGCCGGACCCATGGAGCTGCCCCAGTGCTCACCTGTGCCACTGCAGTGGCCAGGAGCTCCTGTGGGACACTCGATGTGCAGCTCCTCTGGCTCCACCTTCATGATGACCTCGGGCTTGGCATCACCTGAGAGCAGAGAACGGTGCTGGGTGGGTGCCAGCAGGGCCACAGGTGACGCAGATGGGCTTCACATCCCAGCCAGCAGCGCTACCAGCGGCAACGGCAGGGCTGGGCTCGCATGGGCACTTGCTGAGGCTCAGCGGTGCCATGGGACAGAATGCCACTGTCCCCTGGGTGGTGTGGAACAGTGTCACCATCATCCCCAGGCTGGCACAGGACAGTGTTACCATGTCCTAAGTGGCACTTGGAGGGGATCAAGAGGGGTGGCTGCCCCTGGTACATGCCCGGCTGCTGCCCACTGCCCAGCTCACCCACCCCATTCCCCCTGGCTGTGTCCCCCCGTATTCCCCACCCCACTCACAGGCCATGTCAAGAGGGGTCATGTCCTGCCCCGGAGAGCCGGAGCTGTAAATTCCATATGCCACATCTTCATCCTCACTTTTCCCAATGACTTCAGCCTTGATGCCTGTGGAAGGCAGGGAGGGAGGGAGGGAAGGTGCTGCCCGGAGAAGCTGGCATGGGACAGGGGACTCAATCCTGGGAGCCACAGCTCTTGCCGAGCTCCTGGCCCTCACCCAGCTGCCTGCTCTGCTCACCAGTGCCAGGGACACCAGGGCCAGCAGCCTCAAGGCCCTGGGGACACCCAATGTAGGATTCATCCTCTGGTTCCGTTTTCACCACGATCTCACCCTTCGCACCGTCCCAGCCCTTCCCTGAGGAAGACAAACTGCATCACACCAGCACTGTGAGCAGTGCCATCACGGGGTCCATGCTCCCTCCAGGCATGGAGGGAAGCAGGGGGATTGGACTCCCATCCATCACCCCCGGCTGCCCTGCAAGGACCTTCACCTGACCATAACTACGGCAGCAGCCAGTACTGGGTATGGCATCCCCAGCAGCAGCACCGTGCTGGGCTCTGTGCAAGAGGCACCTCAGCCCTTGGGGTCCCATGGCACGGGGAGCTGCGATGTCTCTGGGTTGCTGGGGCAGCCAGGACCTGCAGGACATCACCTCACCTGTGCCACAGGGATTGGGCACCACCTGGAGCCTCGTGTCCAGTGGGTTCCCCCCAAACGGCGGCTCCTCTTGCTCCATTGCTGTGGTCCCACCAGAACCTGCTGGAGAGATGGGAGACTCTCTGCCAGTGCCCTCCCCATCCTTGGGCATCCAGGGGATGCCAACCCCAAGGTCTGGGCTCCAACATGGGTGCCAGGTCAGGCCATCATCACCTGAACAGCCACCCTGGCTGCTCCTCACAGCCCAGCAGCCACAAAGGTGGGGGTACAGGATCAGAACAGGCGAACCCCAGCACAGGGACCCCCTGACACCAGTGTGGGGCTCGGCACCAGCATGGGGTTGGGTATGCAGGGTTCCTGCACCCTGGCCCTCTCCAGCTTGAGGGTCACCGGAGCAACCCAGTGGTTCTGGGAGGTGAAGGCTGGCTGTCCTCCTCCTCCTCCTTCTCATCCTCCTGCCTGGCTACCTGCCTGCTCCAAGGATACCCTGCTCAGGCAATAGGTGCTGCTGAGGGACCCCTGCAAGCACTGGGGCAGCAGGACCAGGGTGCTCAGGGGTTGATGGGGTTTGGCCCCTTCCGAACAAGAGGGCTTTGCTCCGGGGTTCCTCACCTCTGGCTGCCCAGGAGCAGGACCAGCCCCAGGCAGGGATTTCAGGTGAGTGTGGTTGGAGCCCGTAGGAGCCACAGAGCGGGCACCTTACCCACACCCTGGGACCATGGATCTGTCACTCTGCACCCATCACACCACTGATGGGATGCAGGGCTGAGGGGCAGCCCCACAGCCATGGGGAGGATGCTCCTCTTATGGGATGCTGGCACCCCCACATCCTTGCCACCCTCCGTGCCACCCCCCCACCCCACCCCAACCCCTGCTCCCGCCGTTGCACTCACCGGGAATGGGACAGGGTTTGGGGCATGTTCCCCCCCCACCCCCGCACGGGACTACCCCGCTCCCGGTATGCCCCTGCTCTGTTCCCCCCACGGCGTGTTTAGTCCTGGTGCCCCCCCCCGCCTGTCCCGGTGTCCACTACCTTTGTCCCAGCGTCCCCCGGTGCCCCCCGCCTGTCCCGGTGACATGCTGCTTGCCTCAATACCGCCTTCCCGGTGCCACGCTCCCGTCCAGTGCCCCCCACTCCCAGTGTCTCCCTGCCTGTCCCAGTGCGCCCCCCGCTTGTCCCGGTGTGCACCCCCCCGGTGTCTCCCCGATGCCCCCGCCGTCCCGGTCACCCCGACAGCGCCTCCCGTCCCGTCCCGGTGTCCCCCACCCGCACCACGGCTCCAGTCCCGGTGCCGGTCCCCGCCCCCGGCTCTCACCGGCGATGGCCGCGGAGCGCACCGGGGCTGCGGCGGCGCGCGGGGCGGCAGACAAAGGGCCTTGGCCCCGCGGGCTGCCGGGAGCCGTAGTCCGGGACCGGGGCCCGCCCCGCCCGGTGCTCCGGGGTCGCGGGCAGGAGCGGGCGGTGGAGACCGGTGCTGGTCGGGGAGGAGGGGTGTCAGTGCCGCCGGAGCTCTCACCGGCAAGCACCGGGGCACTGGGCTTGGCGACAGAACGGGAATGTTGAGTAGGTCGGGTCATGGAGGAGGCACGGGGGACGGATTGCAGTGGGATGAGGGACACGGGGATGTGGGGGCATGAGGACATAGGGAAGTGGTAGGGGCAGACCACCTAGATAGATCTGGATTCCCTGCAGGATGGCAATGCTTGATTCGGCCATGCCAGCCGCTGGCAATGAGACACATCGCTGGCACCAGGAATGGCAGCACCAATTCCGCACGGATGTGTTTATTCCCCTCCCTGCTCCACCTGCACAACATTATTCATCTGCCCCAGATGTGTGCAGCAGTGGGAAGGGGATGGGAGTGAGGTAGGGTGATGTTATCCCAAGTGGGACAGGGAAGTGAAAGGGGAAGAGAAAGAAAAGGGAAAGGAGAAAGGGAAAAGGGAAAAGAGAAAAAGGAAGGGGAAAGGAAAAAGGGGAAAGGCAAAAAGGGAAAGCGAAGGGAAAATTCCAGCCTGAGGGGGCCTTCACCGACCATCCAGCCCAACTGCACCTCATCCATGAGCCCTTGAGAATGGATGCTCCGGGTCCCCTGATCAATGCCTGGGCAAGGCCTGGCACCAGGGGAGGAAAATAAGCAAAAGGAGAGCAACACCACCTCTGCACCTCCACTGCCTGCACCCCTAGCCCAAGGCCCCTCGGGAGTTGCTGTTCCCCCTCTGCTGTCCCTCCACTTTCATTCCTGCCAAAGGGATTCATTAACCTATGAGGAATTGTGGACATCACGGCGCTCCAGGACTCAGAACACACCTACGCTTGCCTGGGACTGGGGAGCCAGTGGCAACGGTGCCCAAGGGAAGAGCTGCTGGCCCAGCAGCCTGTGCCGGATATTGCTGGCACCCCAGGGTCCCAGACCCAGCCATGCTCCCCACGCTGGGGCTCACAAGCCCTGGGGTGCCCACCCAGACAAGCAGCGGGACAATGGCAGAGCACAATGGGTCAGTTTGGGAAACCTGCTTTCCAAAAAGGCAGCTTTTACTTGAGGAATATTCTTCATGGACACAGTGCAGGGGTAAATCGACCCAGGGACCTTAGGGATAGCCCACTGCCGCTGTTGACTTGCCATGGGCTTTTGCCAAGGGCATGTAGGAACAGGACAAGGGGAATGGCTTTAAATTGACAGAGGAGAGGTTTAGATTGTATCTGAGGAAGAAGTTCTTCCCTGTGAGGGTGGTGAGGCCCTGGCACAGGTTGCCCAGAGAAGCTGTGGCTGCCCCATCCCTGGCAGTGTTCGAGGCCAGGTTGGACGGGGCTTGGAGCAACCTGGTCTAGTGGAAGGTGTCCCTGCCCGTGGCAGGGGTTTGGAACTGGATGGAGCTTTAAGGTCCCTTCGAACCCAAACCAGACTATGGTTCTGTGATCAGTCTATGGAGCAGCAGCAGCACAGGGTAGCCACCTTCCATGCAGTGATGGCCACCAGCTAAGCTGGGGAGGAGTGAGGTGAGATGCACACAGAGCCAGAGCCTCCAGCCACAACCGCTGCAATCTCCTTCCAGCCCAGGGGTGAAGCACAGGGCATCACCCTCCTCCCTCAGATTGGGTCTGCACTCCAAAAGCCCAGGCATGACCAGCAAAGGGACTGGGTGCTACCAGGGGGCCCATGACACCCTATGCTAGGTATGCCCAGCAGGTTATCCCAGTGCTTGGATCATGGCCGCCTTCTGAACACAGGCAATATCCTCACCCTTGAGAGCCTTGGAACCATGGCAGGTTCTGGCACAGGGTCTGGTGCTATTTGGCCCTCCAAGCCCCCAGCCCCACCCCAAGGGGAGACCAAGAGCAGAAGTGAAGGGCTCTGGACATGAGCTGCCGCCACGATGCAGGATGAGGCCCTTTTGTGCTGCTACAAGAGACCAGACCCCACACTTTTATCGCTCGCTTCTACTTTAAATGTAGACAGGAAGACACCCTCCACACAGGGGCAGGGCACTGGTGGGACCAGGAGAACTGGGACGTGCCCTGGAGGGATATTCCAAGGCCTGAAGAGAAAATGAGGTGCTCTGGAGGGATTTCCCTATGCCCAAAAGGGCGTGGAGCACAGGGATCACAAATCCTGGATGGGCACTGGGAGGAAGGCACTTTGCATCAATGAAGTCAGGCCCTGGGGGCAGGAAGGGGCTCCTCTGGACCCTCCACATCGAGATAAAACTCCTCCTGAGCTCCATAGCAGCCACAGCTACTGCTGGCAGCCAGCCTGCTCAGCCCCTGTGCAAAGGCTCCTGGCATCGCGCTCCGCATGCTCACGCTGGTGCCTCAGGAGCTTGCTCTTGGACCTGAAGCCCAGGTGGCACTGGGGGCAGGTGAAGGTCTGGCAGCGGCGGTGCAGCCTCTTGTGGGTGATGAGGTTGGCCTTGTTGCGGAAGGACCTGTCGCACTGCGGGCAGGTGAAGGGCCGCTCGGCCGTGTGCACGCGCTGGTGCGCCAGCAGGTACCCGCTGCGGCTGAAGCAGCGGCCGCAGACGGGGCACTTGTGGGAGCGCTCCTGCACGTGGCTGCGCTGGTGGATGATGAGGCTCTCCTGCCAGCTGAACCTGCGCCCGCAGCGCCCGCACCGGAATGGCCGCTCCTCGCCGTGTGCCGCTCGGTGCCGGCTCAGGCTGGCCTCATCCTTGAAGCACTTCTTGCAGTCGGAGCACTCGTGGCAGGCATTGCCGGCGGCATGCTCCTTGAGGTGCGCCTGCAGCTTGCACTTGTGGAGGAAGCTGTCCCCACACAGCAGGCAGCAGTAGCTGCTCTCGCTGCCGTGGCTCGCCCGGTGTCGCAGCAGGTCGCCTTTCAAGCAGAAGGTGCTGCCGCACTCGATGCAGACGTGCCGGTGCCGGCCCCCATGTTTCTTGTGCGTCAGGAGGCTGCGGTGGTGGCGGAACACTTTGCCGCAGGCCCTGCACTGGTAGGAGGGTGCCGGCTGCAGGTGCTCACCCTGGTGTGTGCGCAGCCGGGCCTCGTCCTTGAAGCTCTGCCCACACATGCCACAGATGAGAAGCGCCCCGGGCACCAGCACCTGCTCTCTCCCCAATAGCCCCTGGGGGGAGGCTCCGGCCCAGGTCTCTGTGTCACACAAGCTGGAGCGGAGCGGTGTGCACCACACCTTGGCCGCACTGGCTTGCACTGTGCATGGGACCCAGCATCCCTGTTTGTCTTCCTCAGACAGCTCCTCAGCAGCAGCCGTGTCCCAGGCAGCTGTTGGGAACAGGGAGTCACATCATGGGGACACCCCAGCACAGTGCCCACAGTGTTGTCCCCCTGCCTGCTGCAGCCTCCCCTCATCCCTGCAATGCCCACGGGGCAACTGGGCCGGGGGCAGAGGCGGGATGCCCTGACCAGGATGACACCCGGCAGGGGCTGGTCTCGGTGGCCACCTCACCTTGCTACAGCACCACCAATTTCCCCTCCCAGTGCCCCAGGCCATGCCAGTGTCCCAGTGCTCACTCACAGGTTCCAGAGGTGTCAGGAGCTCCTCCGTCCCCTCTGCCGCAGGGGTCCCCCACATACGACTCCTCCTCAGCCTCCATTTTGCAGACAAACTTGGACTCGGAGACTGTGCAGAAGAGAGGACCTTCAGTGTCCTCTGAGCCACCCCAGGAGTGTCACTGTCACTGTCACAGAGGCTGTGCTGGGGGGTTGCCGGCTGCAGAAGCAGCAGGTCCAGGGAGGGCTGCCGGTGCTAATGCCGGCTGTGACAACAAACTGGGATGCACCTGGATGGGGAGCAGCAGGGCCAGGGAACCTGGAACCGTTACTCCTCACACACTGGGGATAGACTCAGCAGGTCAGGCTGTGACCCGGACCCCAGCCAAGCCTCTGGAACCCCAGCTCAGTCCCGGGGCCCCATGAGCTCCGTGCAGGGCTCATCCTTACCCAGACTGGCAACCAGGTCCCGGTTCTCCAGCATCACCTCCCAGTAGAGCTGCCGCTGCCACCGCATCAGCTGCCCCCACTCCTCGGGGGAGAAGTGCACGGCCACGTCCTCGAAGGCCACCGCACCCTGAGAACAAGAGGGCGAGAGGAGGGGTCCCGGGGGTCCCGCAGCAGCACCGGGACCCGGCGCACACACCGCCTCCCCCCAGCCCGCTCCTCCCTCCCGGCCCCGGGGTCAACGGGAGCCACGGGCAGGAGCTGCCTCCAGGACCGGAAATGGGTGCGGGAATGGGACCGGGGCACTACCTCCACCCCGGGACACCCGGGCCCGGCCTTACCCGCTGCATCTCTGACCGGGGCACCACCGCCACCCGGGAGAGCGCCGGCGCCGCCGCCAGCGCCTCGATGGCTGCCGGAGAGGGCCCGGAAGGGGACGGCGAGGGCGGAACCGGGACCGCGATGGGCGGTGGGAAGGGGCGGAGCGTCGGCACCGGTTGGGGAGGGCACCGGTTGGGGGGAGCAGCGGAGCGTCGGTCCCGGGCACCGGGAGCATCACCCCTGGCATACGGAGCCCCCAGGAGCACCAGCCGCGGGCTCCGGGTGCGCTCGGTGTCATTGGAAGGGACCGTGGGGACCAAGCAGGGCCCAAGGGCTCCCAGCAGCAGTTCCCTCCCCGTTGCCACCACGCGGAGCGGGGGCCACCAGCTCCCCTTGCCCTCCCTATGCCCTCACATGCATTTTGCTGCCCTCCCCGCAGCCTGCAAAGCTCTGGATGGGGACACGGGGCGGCCCTCGAGCTCGTGAACCTTCCCCTATAGGGGTCCAGCCCTTTGGTCCTACCACTGAACCACACCGGGTCCCATGGGGTGTTGTGCTGCTGGCTCCATCCCTGTGGGTGTTTTGCTGTAACTCCAGGTGCAGGGATGCCCTGGGGAGAGGTGGCTGGGGGGCTTCATGCCCCAGGGCTCTGAGAGGGGCATACTCCAAAACCAAGGGGAATTGCAGGTGGGAACTTCCCTGAGCAGAGTGAAGTTTGGCCTCTGCTCCTCTGCCCCATGCCGAGTGTGCCAGCCCCGGGGACGGACATCCCTCCAGTGCTCGGGGGAAATTCCAGCTCAGCTGCTGCCTTGGCAGCCAAGATCTGCACCTGGCAGGTTGTGCTGGGAATGAGCATCCACCAACATGTCCCAGAAGGGAATAAGCATCCACTGGCACTTTCTGAGAGGGAATTAGCATCAAATGGTGTGTCCTGGGAGAAGTGTTTGCCTGTGCCTCGCTGAGGCAATGTTGGACCTTTCCCACCCCATCCCACCAATCTCCTAGGGATGGACTTCTCCCAGCTGGCACGAGCCTGGTGACAGCCTGATTTTTCAGAGTATTAGGAGGGAATCAGAGGAAACGTCCTTTTGGGACATCACTGTGTGGAAGAGCCTGCAGGTCCTTCTGGGTGACCAGTGCTCTGCAAATGGCTCTGCAGATACCAGGCTGTGCCCTGGGGAGAGCAGCGTGGACACAGCCTGGCTGCCTCCATGTGTGTCGGGGCACAAGAAATCCAAGACTCGGCATCCAGAAGCACCAAGAAACATGTTGGGTGCATTCACACGTGTATGATATCAAGAAGGAGTCTTTGCAGGTGCCCCCCCCCATCTCTCGATCCTGGTGAGGCCACATCTGGAGTACTGTGTCCAGTCCAGGGCTCCTCAGTACATGAAAGACAAGCTACTGGGGGGAGGGGGTGGGGGGGTGGTCCAGCAGAGGCGACAAGGATGACTGGGGGTTTGGAGCATCTCTTTTATGAAGAGAGATTGCAGGAGCTGGGCTTGTTTAGTCTAGAGCAGTCTGAGAGGGGATCTTACTACTGCATATAAATATCTCAAAGGTGGGTGCCAGGAGGATGGTGCCAGACTCTTGTCAGTGGTGCCCAGTGACAGGATGAGGAGCAATGGCCATAAACCAAAACACAAGAAGTTTCACGTCAACATGAGGAAGAACTTCTTTACGTTGAGGGTGGCAGAGCACTGGAACAGGCTGCCCAGTGGGGTTGTGGAGTCTGGAGACATTCCAAACCCACTTGGACACGTTCCTGTATAACCTGCTCTGGGTAGCCCTGCCTTGAACTGGGTGATCTCCAGAGGCCCCTTCCAACCCTAATGATGCCGGTGTGCCAGTGACCCCCGAACGCTCCCGCGGACGTCCGACAGGCGATGCCGGCGGCGCTCGGCACTGCCGCAGCACAGGAGGAGCGTTTCCAGGCCAGCGCTCGGGGCGGCCGCTGGGGGTTTGTGCCGGTTGTCACACAGACACTTCCCCTCCCGCCGGTTTCTGGGCCGCCTCCGGGTGTGACACCCGCTGCCGCGGCCCCGGGTGGCTTTTTTGGGATGCCCTAGTTGTGCCGCCGCCGTCCCGCAACGTGCCGGGCGCACACGTGGGTCGGTGCTGGGATCCAGGCCGAGCGCCGGCCCCGTTTTGGAGGGCCAGGGAGTGCGGGGCCGTGAAGGGGGGATCTTGAGGACGTCAGTGCTCATTTGTGCTTCGCAGCTCCGAATCCCATGAAAAGGCCAAAACTGGCGTTCTTCTTCCTTTGCCGTTCAGAATGAATTCCTGATGTGGGGAGACGATTCCCAGTTATTTTTCTGGCATCAGCCCAGAGCTGGAGAGGGTTGGGGGGGGGGGGGGGGGGGGGGGGGGGGGGGGGGGGGGGGGAGGAGGTTAAGGCACTGACTAATGCCCTTAAAACCACAGATCCCTGGGTCTGCACTGGCTTAGTGCTTCTGTTGACGATCACAACTACACTGAAGGGAATTCCTGGAGGCTGCTCACCCCACAGCACAGCCCCGGTGTCTGCAGAGCCATTATGAGCTGTGCTGGCCACCCAGAAGGACCTGTGGGCTCTTCAAGGGGATGGGGTGATGTTTGGAAAGGGGCATACGCTGAAAAATCAGACCATCACTGGGCTGGTGCTGACTGGGAGGAGACCCCCATGTCCAGGAGGTTGGTGGGACAGGGTAGGAAAGGTCCAGTGTTACCAGAGGGATCAAAGCCAGACCGTGGCATTGAGGTAGGTGGCACAGTCACTTGTTCCATCACAAGTGTTCGCTGGCAGCACCCTGTTCTTTGGGGATAGCCCCTGTGTCCAGGCCCCAAACCAGGGGGGAGCTGCCTTCCCGCAGTCACTTCCAGCTTTCCCAAGGAAATCCAACTACTGAAGCAGCTGGTCCAGGCATTCTGGGAGCACCACCGCTATTTCTCTGTGCAGCACTGCTCATCCTGGGAACAATATCCACGGGGGTTTCCCAGCAGGGAACTGTCCTGATGTAGGAGCTGTGACCCCAAGCAGGAGGAGGTGGTGTGTATGTGCTGTTCCATGCTCCATGGCATCCCACCAAGATGTGCCCTGCACCTCCTTGTTGGTACTCTCCTAATGAAGCCTCATCCTCTGGGGAATACTAATTGCAGAAAGGTCAATTGGGATCTCACAGAGGGAGGCAGGGAAGTGTGATCCTTGGCCAGAAATACCCGACAAAGCGTTTTCAAACAGCTGAGCCATTTTCCATCCAGTTGATCTATTTCTGTTGCTGGATGTGACACTGCCTCCTCTTCTCCCTCTGGTGCCCACGTGAAGCAGGCCCAGGTTCACCACGTCCCTGCAAGGGACATGATTCTCTCTGTCCCAAGAGGAGGGACTGGGAGCCACAGGATTTATCTTCCTGCTGCAGCCAGTCCTTGGGCGTTGTCCCTGCCACAGTGATGGGGCTGCAGTGCTGGGGTGGCCACAAAGATGCTCCGAGGACTGAAGCACCTCTGCTATGGAGACAGGCTGAGAGAGCTGGGCTTGTTCAGCCTGGAGAAGAGAAGGCTCCAGGAACACCTTAAGAGCAGCTTCCAGTGCCTAAAGGGGCCAACAAGAAACCTGGAGAGGGGCTTTTGACAAGGGCAGGAAGGGACAGGACAAGTGGGAATGGCTTTAAACTGACAGAGGGGAGATTGAGATGGGATCTGAGGAAGAAGTTCTTCCCTGTGAGGGTGGTGAGGCACAGGCTGCCCAGAGAAGCTGTGGCTGCCCCATCCCTGGCAGTGTTCAAGGCCAGGTTGGATGGGGCTTGGAGCAACCTGGTCTGGTGGAAGGTGTCCCTGCCCATGGCAGGGGGCTGGAACTGGGTGAGCTTTAAGGTCCCTTCTGACCCAAACCATTCTGTGATTCTATGAAAACCCCTGGGTGACACAGGGTGTCACAGCAGCCAGCGGCTAATGAAGGTTCAACCTCCATCTCATTTCCATACAAAGAAATTTCCCTATGAAATCCTTGATGGAGCTTCTCCAGCTTTAAGCACTGCTTTAGCAAAACTGCATGGACAGAGCCAAGGGAAGGAAGGCTCTGTTGAACCTGAAGCCTGGCCACGTACCCTGGGAACAACACAGTGCCTTCTGCTCTCAGTCAAGCAGATACACTTCCTTGGTAAAGCAATCCAGTCACCGCAGCTGACACAAAGGACTCCGTTAGTGACAAACAACAGGACTGAGAGCAAGCACGCATCTAGTGTGTGAGATGGTGGCGCAGACACCCTGGGGAAGCCCACAACGGTGTTGGAAGCAGCTTGGAGCACGCAGCTTCTTTCCAGAAGCTGCAGAGATGCAACCAGGAGGCTCTGCAGGTCCTTTGGCACCCCAAGCGGGGGAGAGAAGGGGCAGCAGTGAGCCCGAGGCTTGAGCAGGACTGATTGTCAGCGGGGATATGATCCTGTGATGTGAAATAGAGGAGCTGTGGATGCAAGTGGAGGAGCTGTGGATGCCCAGGCCAGAGAAAGCTGCACTCACAGGGACAAGAAGGCTGAGCTTTTAAATCCGTGTATCCCGATTACCCCAGCAGCGAGGGTGCTGCTTGGCTCTGGTTTAGCAGCTGCCCTTCCCTCTGCACCTCTAAAGGAAACACTCCCGTGGTGAAACACCGGATCCAGGCCCCAAAAAGAAGCATGAACTCGTGAAAGGGTTGAGTAATGGAAGATTTTCTCCTAAAAGAAAGGAGCAGCTGGCGGAAGTGCTGGCTGAGGGAGCTGATGGGGCCATTGTGTGCTTTGTTATTCTTTTGATTACAAGGGTTTTGTCGGCAGTCAGGGAAGAGGCGGAAAAAAACCCTGCATCTGGTGTGAAGGCACCAGCTGGAGCAATTCAAACCCTCCCCTGAGGGGGAGAGCTGAGAACTGCAGCCACAGCACCGCGAGTGGAGGGATGGGCACAAAAGGAGGGCTGCAAAGCTCAGCTTCACGCCTCCGTGCTTCAGAAGCACCTGATGTTCACGGGGAGGTGATGACGGTGAGGGACCATCAGCCCTGCTTCGTGACATGCAGGCATTTCTTGGGCTGAATGGGGGGGTTAGGGAGAAGAGATGTTTGGAAGGTGGGACAAGTGCCCCCATTTCTGCTGCACTGGGGCACAGGGTTCCAGGCAGCTGCTTCAGCTTTGGAGGGGGTGACAGCAAACTGTTTTGTCTCAGAAACAAGAAGCAGGTCTTCTGCAAAGAAATACGGTGGCGAAAGAAACACAGCGGAGTTGTGGGAACAGGCTTGAAGCTTTCCAGACACTTCCAGTGCTTGTGCCTGCTTTTCACAATCCAGCAGCCCCTCAGCAACTAGAAATCTTCAGCGCACATTTTCCCCCCATCCCACCCAGTTGGTAGCTGTCTGGGAACACGGGAGGGCGGCTCGAGGCCACGGAAGCTTTGCAGGGGTTTATTTTGGAATGCCACATCTGATAAACCAACCCCTCTGCATCCCCTGGGAGGTGGGATGTGGAACAGGGACCTGCTCACTGTGGGCACAGGCACCAGCCTCTGGCTCAGCAGTGAGAGGCCCAATGTTGACATGAGCAGGGCTCCAGGGATACCCAGGAGCACTCTCTGCTGGGAGATATCCCACCAGGGAAGAGGTGGCAGTGCAGTCACAGCAAGCAGATTGCTCCTCTGGTAATCTGATATTGCTGGAGCCCCAGGGCATGTCCCCACTTCACACTGTGAATCACATGATTTCTCCCTGCCCCATCTCATAGGTGAGAAGTGGCTGGGGTGTGCCTGGGAGACAGCCCAGAGGCATCAAAGAGGAGGTCAAAACCCAAGGTAGATGTCAGGAGTCACAACAATGAAGAGTGAATACCAGCGAGTGAGCTTCACCTTGTGGAACCTAGAGATGTGCTCAGGTGCCTCCAGTAGTATTGTGAGCTTTTGCAGAGCTGTTGGGTATCTCCAGCTGTACCCATGACAAGCAATGGCCTTCAGGGGCTATAGGACTGCTGCTGTGTCCTACGGAGAGCCAGGCTACTCCAAAGGCCAGCTCCATCTCAGGCACCAGCACAGAGTGAATCTCTCCAACTACCTGCACCACCAGAACACACATCCCCTAAGATGAAGCTGTAGAGGTTCATAGAATCACAGGATGGTTTGGGTTGGAAGGGACCTTAAAGCTCATTCAGTTCCAACCCCCTGCCGTGGGCAGGGACACCTTCCACTAGACCAGGTTGCTCCAGGTCCAGTCCAACCTGGATGCCTGATTGGTGCCTTCAGAAGCCGGTGTTGAGCCTGTTCAGTGTCGTGGTAGTGGCAACATAGTGCTCCCCAGAGACAGGAATAATGGGGATGACATGTGCAACGCCGACAGATTCTCTTGTCCTTTCCCTGGTGGTTCCTCCTCCTGCAGGAGCGCATCTTAGGCTATCTCTGGGGAGGACACCTACACCAGCCATGCCTGATGATGGCTGTTGAGGGGCAGCACAGAAGCATGATGGATGCTCAAGACCCTCTTCCTGACTCCCCACTGCTGATCCAGGAGACACTGAGGACATAGGCCACTCTGTCACACATCTGCTCACACTGCTGGGATGTGCAGGAGGCTCGGAACTGTTTGCTGGCTGCACTGTGAAACACATTTTCCTGCTCTACACAACCCCTCTGCAGCCTGTTTCTGGATAGAGGAGCATGAAACCTGCATGGGTAAACCCCTCCCACCACAGCACACTCCCTTAACCTCTGCAGGCTTCAGCTATCAGGTTTATTCAGCCACCTCAGCCGTTTCCTTCACCTCTCAGCCTTCCTCTTGCCTCTTCTTTGGCGTCAACGCCACGAGCTCTGCCCCGGTTGCTGCCCGGCCAGAGGAAGCGCAGGCCTCCGCTCTCACACAGCCATTTATCATTTGTGCCACACTCTGTGTGTGGCTGATAATCCGCTGTAAGACATAAACACCCGCTCAGAGGTTTTGTTTCAAAGGCTCCTTTGATTCCAGACATCCTCGTGTGGTTTCCTCTTATAGAAACGGAAGAATTCTTCTTTTGAAACCAGAACAGGTTCCCAGATCCTCAGGGAGGGTGAGTTTATAACCCAGCTGCTCTGCTGGAGCTGCGATGATAAATGCACCCATGCTTTGGGAGCAATCAGGGTCACTGATGAGGAATCGCTGTCTCTGCACTTCTGGTTTTAAACTGCTGCTAAAGCACTCTACGGCCACAGCTTTGCCTTGGTAGTGCCAATAAAACAGCAAACACGATGCTGTTAACAGCCACGTGGGTTTAGGAAGAGTTTCTGTCGCTGCCAAGGTGCTCCTGGTTAAGCTGTTTTGCTCGGAAGAGGTCGTTGTGCCCTCTTGTGTCACCAGCGATGGCACCCAGCCTGCCTGCCGCATTCCCTGGTGCCTTCTGGGGCTCTGGCTTTCAAAGAAGAGCTTTTACTCCCCCCAAAACAGGAACTTCCCTGCGCTTACTTGAGAGACACCCCTGTCCTTCCTCAAAGGCCACAGCTGCAGTGACCCTACACCTCCCAGCTGTAACATGATAACCGTGGGGGGCAGTGCGAAAGGGTGAGGGCTTTCCCTGCTCCCTCGGGACCACCCAGGCACGATGGCAGGGTGCGGGCAGGCAGGGTCGGTCCCCACCAGCCCAGCCCAGGTCTTGCTGTGTCCCGGGGCCGGGGTGTCCCAGGGTACCCCGCATCCCGACCAGAACGCGTTGCCATGGCGACGGCGGACGATCTGCCCGGACAATGGGAGCGCTGTGAGCGCCCTGGAGCATCCAGCTCCTCCGCGGTGAGACTTGGAGGGGGGGGGGGGATGTGGTTGCTATAGGGACCGAGGAGGTGTTGCTGTTGGGAGGGCGTGAGGGGGGGCGGGGCTAAGGGGAGGCGTTGCCATGGGAACAGCGAGGGATGGGGTAGTGGTGGTGCAAGGACGTGTTGCCATGGGGATGGAGTGTCGGATAGGGGTACGTTGCCATGGGGATGCGGTGTCGCTGTAGGGATGGGGGGGATTGTCCTGGAGACGTTGCCATGGCGACAGGATGTAATCATGGGGATGGGGAGTCATGGAAACATTGCTATGGGGATGGGGTGCCACCATGGGTACCACTGGAAGGGTGGGGAGTGCATTGCTATAGGGATGTGGTGCTACTGTAGGGATGGAGGGGGTCAGGGACACATTGCCATGGGGATGGGGTATACCATGGTTGCCAGAGGGATGTGGGCTGCATTGCCATGGGGACGGGTATACGAGGAGCAAGCAGAGGCCTCACCATGGGGTAGTGCCAACTGCAACCACCCCAGATCCAGGGGTCCAGTGCTGCGCTCTCACCCCATACTCCATGCTTAGACCTGGCCTTTTGGAACTGGCACCCCTGGAATTCCCCGAGCTTCCACCGACTTCCTGGCAGCCCCAGGAGCACTGGCTGGCTGGCTGTTCTCCATGACAGCCTTCCTGGCCATGCCAGGGGTTGCTGGGGCAGTTATCCGTCTTCAATCACTGACACAAAGCTAAACCACTATGTTTTCCAGCACTCCCAACACCATCACCACCAGTGTCCAGCAGCTCTTCCCAAAACCAGGTGCTGCAGAGCACTTTTTGACATGCCATGCTGCACCTTGCTATGCCATGCTGCACTGTCATGCCATGCTGCACCATACTGTGCCAATCCATGCCATTTCATGCTGTGCCATGCCATGCCATGCCACGCCATGGCCTCACTCCATAGCACAGCTCCAGGAGGAGGGGGGACACTCTGTGGATACATCCCAGCTCTGGGTCCACCCCCTGGTGTCCCAGCATGCTGGGCAGGGTCTGCCACCCCTGTGTGCAGGAGCACCACGGCCACAGTCCTACGTGGGTCCATCCCGGTGCTGTTATCTCCTGTCCCTGAAGTTTGATCTGGGTGAGGCCGTGACTGGCAGCACCCTGGGGCAGAGAGGGGGGACAACGACCGGGCGGCCGCGGGGCCAGGGGCTGTGCCCGGTGTTCATTAACCCGCGGGGGCCGGGCCTGCAGCCCCACGCGTGGGGGTGATGGGGGGAAGGACGGGGGCACCCTCGGGGTGTGCCCGGTCGCGGGGTCCCTCCCCCCCCCCCCCCCCCCCCACGCGTGGGCCCCTCCCCGCAACACCCCCCCGCATTTGCGTGTCAGGAGCACGGCAGCGAGCGGTGCTGGAGCGCGCAGGTGCGGAGCAGAGAGTGCAAAACGCGGGTGGGGTGTGTGATCGTGGGAAACCCTTCCTGGGGGGGGATCCCCGGGGAGGCGGGACCGGGCGGTAGCAGCCTTGACCCCGGGGGGGCGGGACGGGACGGGACGGGACGGGACGGGATGGGACCGGGGGGAGTGGAACGGGCGGGCAGCACGCACAGGCCGGGCTGCAGAACGCGGGCAGGTGAGGGGGGGGACCGGGAGGTCGCGCAGGGCGGGTGTTTTCTCCCCGGGAGTCGGGACCCCGGGGTCCCACAGTAGGGCTCCCACTGTTTGCCCTGGGGGGGGGGCTCGGGTCAGAGTCGGGGTCCCCCAGCTGCTTGGGGTGCAGCCCTCCTCCGCACTCCAGGCCCTCCACCAATCTCAACCTGGTTTTGGGGTGACACGGGGGGGGGAAGGGGTGTCAGGCACCCGTGGAATCCAAGGGGAGCAGCCCCACAGCGTTGGCATCTGCAGGGATTCGGTGGTGCCACTGTTCTGATGTCTGGAGGTGGGAACCACTGTTTGTCCCAGCACCACACAGGCCCTCTCCCTGCCCTAAAAGCCCCTGACCCACCAGCCAGTGACCCTCCCCAGCCAAAGCTGCCACATCAGGGTAGGCTCTGGCTGTTTTGGGGTGTCATCGTGTGCCCGTCCCCTCAAGCACCCACAGCCTGAGGAATGGTGGGCACTGAATAGGGTGCTGGTGGAGAGGACCCCCAGTATAACAGTGGCTGCCCAGTATCCCCAGGGATTCGTGGCTCCCATGGGACTGGTGCTCACACTCAAAGGGGTACATGCTTCCTGGAACGGGAGAGCCAGTATGGCATGGCATGGTGCATGGCCTGCCTCACTGGCACAGTGCTGCAGGATGGGATGGCACATGCTGTGGTCACACCATGATGACCATGCTGGCATCCAGCTCTGCCAGCAGGGATGTGGATTGGCTGCTCTCTGTACCCTCCACAGCTCCCTCTGTCCCAGGTCCTCCGAGGATGTGGCTGCTCTGGCTCGCCTGGGCACTGCCCGTGCTGGCCATGGCCTCCAGCTCCGGCCCCAGCCCCAGTGCCGGCCCCACTGAGCTGCCTCCAGACAAGGCTTCCATCTTCGCCGACCTGTCTGCGGCTGAGCTGCGCGCTGTGCGGACCTTCCTCATGAGCCGCCCGGAGCTGGGGCTGTCCCCAAGCCGCGGGGGGCCCCTGGCCAAGAACACCCTCTTCCTGGTGGAGCTGCTGCCCCCCAAGAAGCGGCTGGCCCTGCACTACCTGGACCATGGTGGCCGCCGGCCCCGGCGCCAGGCTCGGGCCGTTGTCTTTTTCGGTGGGCAAGCGGAGCCCAATGTTACTGAATTTGCTGTGGGCCCCCTGCCCCGGCCAAGCTCATACCGGCTGCTGCGGTTCAAGGGCAGCCGCACTGTGCCCTTCACCGCACGGCCCATGACGCAGCTGGAGTATGAGCTGCTGCATGGCGTGCTGGCGCAGGCAATGGAGCCGCTCCACCGGCTGCTGCTCGACGCCACCGGCTTCTGGTTCCACAACTGCTCCCAGCGCTGCCTGACCTTCTCGGACATTGCGCCACGAGGACTGGTGTCCGGTGAGCGCCGGAGCTGGCTGGTGCTGCAGCGCTTCGTGGAGGGCTTCTTCCTGCACCCGGTGGGGCTGGAGGTGCTGGTGGACCACCGGGACCCCGACCCACGGCGTTGGGCAGTGCAGCGGCTCTGGTACAACGGGCACTACTTCTCCAGCCCACAGGAGCTGGCTGAGCGCTATGAGCGTGGCACGCTGGCGATGGCGCGGCTGCCAGAGCCCCCTTCACAACAGCTCTTCTCCAGCTACGAGCCCCGTGGGCGCTTCACCACTGGCACCCCCACTGCAGTGCACGGTGCCAAGGTGTGTGAGCCCCAGGGCCGGCGGTATCGGGTGCGCGGCAACCAGCTGGAGTACAGTGGATGGAGCCTGGCTTTCCGCCTGCGCTCCTCTGCCGGGCTCCAGCTCTTCAACCTGCGCTTCAATGGGGAGCGCGTGGCCTACGAGGTGAGCGTGCAGGAGGCTATTGCCTTCTATGGTGGCCACACGCCAGCTGCCATGCAGACCAAGTACATGGATGCCGGCTGGGGAATGGGTGCTGTCACCTATGAGCTGGCCCGTGGCATCGACTGCCCCGAGGCAGCCACCTACCTGGATGTGCATCACTTCTACGATGCCGATGGGCCCGTGCGCTTCCCACGTGCCATCTGCATCTTCGAGCTGCCCACCGGCGTCCCGCTCCGCCGCCACTTTGATAGTGACTTCCAAGGGGGGTTCCACTTCTACGCTGGCCTGGAGGGGCAGGCGCTGGTCCTGCGCACCACCTCCACCGTCTACAACTACGACTACATCTGGGACTTCCTCCTCTACCCCAACGGTGTGATGGAGGCCAAGGTCCATGCCACCGGCTTCATCCATGCCACCTTCTACACGCCACAGGGCCGGCGCTACGGCAGCCGCGTCCACAGCCACGTCCTCGGCAACCTCCACACCCACCTCGTGCACTACAAGGTGGACCTGGACATCGCAGGTGCAGCCCCCTGCTGCCCCCCAGCTATGGGGTGGGCGCTGGGTGGTGGGACCAGACCTCACGTGTTGATCCAGGGGACTGGGAGGCTCATCCCGTGGGAGTGCCACTGCCTGGGCACAACATGGACCCTCTGAAGGTGTCCCCCAGCCACGGTGGCACCTCTGCAGGGTCCTCGCCGTATCTCACAGCCTCTCTGCTTGCAGGCACCGGCAACAGCTTCGAGACCATGGACGTGCGCTTTGAGAATATCTCCAACCCCTGGAGCCCAGGTGCCCGCGTGGTGCAGCCCTGGCTGCACCGGCAGCCCCGCCACACCGAGCGCCAGGCTGCTTTCCCCTTCGGCACGGCGCTGCCGCGCTACCTGCTTTTCTACAATCCGCGCCGGCGCAACCGCTGGGGCCATGCACGCAGCTACCGCATCCAGCACAGCTCCCACGCCGGGCCCGTGCTGCCGCGCGGGTGGCAGGAAGAGGAGGGAGTCTCCTGGGGCAGGTGGGGACCCCAGAACCAGGATGTGGCTATGGACAGGCCCACTGTGTGCCCAGTAGTTGTGGTCATGGTGTGGGCACCTTCCCTGCGCCATTGGCTCCCTCCTCTGCAGCCTGAGCTGGTCATGGTCATGGTCATGGTCATGTGTCACTGCTGGGTGACCCCCATAGAGACCACAGTTCACACCATGACACCCCAGGGCAGGCACTAACATCCACCCAAGGGGCACTGTGAGTGCAACAGTTGTGGGAACCATGGGCCCCCTGGCCTGGCACAGTGGGGATGCAGTGGGGGCCTCACCAGTGGGCATTGCCTTGCCAAGGCCCCAGGAGCTAGGACTCCCCAGGACTCCCTGCCAGTCCTGGGTATCCCTACATGGTTGTGTGACGGGTGGCCCGGGTAGGGGTGGGAGATGGGTCCTGCTCCTGGTGCCATCGAGGGGCCTGATCCTGCCCTTTCCCACACAGGTACCACCTGGCCGTGACGCGGCACCATGAGAACGAGCCCACCAGCAGCAGCATCTATGCCCAGAATGACCCCTGGGACCCTCTGGTCAGCTTTGAGGGCTTCATCCGCAACAACGAGAGCATCGACGACCAGGTGACAATACGGGGATGGAGCTAGGGGTTCAGGCCCCACTGGCACTCACAGGGAGGCCACTGTGCCCCACGATATCACCGGTCCCATTCACACAGGACCTGGTGGCCTGGGTGACCGTAGGATTCCTGCATGTCCCGCACGCCGAGGACATCCCCAACACAGCCACACCTGGCAACGCCGTTGGCTTCTTCCTGCGCCCCTTCAACTTCTTCAATGAGGACCCCTCGGTGGCCTCGCACAGCCCCGTCATTGTCCGTCCACTGGACCCTCCCACCTTCTCCCGTGTTGAGATCCAGCGCTGGACACCGGCCAGCCCTGGCGCCTGTGTTGGTCCAGAGCCCTTCACGTACAATGGCACCTACCGGCAGGAGTGACCCGCCACAGCACTGGTGGCGGCACTGGGGACACCCTGGGCCATGGGGACCCCAGGTAGTGCCATGCTGTGTCCTGGGCTCAGTAAAGGCAATGCCACCTCCTATGGCCCCATCCGTGCATGGGCCATACAGCGGCCCTGGCACTGCCTTGGGCATGAGTGCTGGCCTGGGCACCGGGAACATCACATCCCGCGAATTGGCTGTTGCAGTATTTAATTCCACCATAGTTCAAGGTTCTCCACCCTGCACCACACTCCTGGCCCTTGTCCCTGTCCCACATGGGGTGTGCACTGGTGTCGCCCCATGGCAGCGGGCCCTAATCCTGTGTTTCCCACAGGGTGCTGCCTATCCTGTCCCTGCGGCGGTGTTGCAGCTTTGCCATGCCCCCATCCCGCAGTGCAGGTGCACACAGAGCCGGGGTGTCCGTCCGGTTTATTGGGGGGGCACCTACCGCGGAAGGCAACATGCAGGGCGGTGTGAAACGGCGGGGTGGGCGCACACAGCGCTCGGCTACGGGACAACGTCACGAACACGGCACACGCTATGGGGCGAGCAGCTGGGGAGGTCGATGGGTGGTGGTGGGTGGGCAGGAGCCCCCCAATCCGGACCCTGCCTGTGCCCCCTCCCCACCGCGGCATCCCCTTCTCTGTGCGTGGGGTGGCACCGCGGGCTGGGGAGATGCTGGGGGGCTGCACCCCCTGCCCTGTGCCACCGGTTGTGCTGGGGAGCAGCCAGGGGGACAGGGGGGCACCGGTGAGTGGTGCGGAGAGGGGACCCCGCCACCGCCCCAGGCACACACACACAGACACCCCCAGCCACAGGGTCACCACAGCCGGGACACAGACGGGGGGGACACGGCAACCCTGCCCCGTGCTGCGGCTCAGCGCACGCGGTGTGCACATGCACATGCATGCACACGTGTGCCACGGCGGGCGGGAAGCACGGTTGGGGCAGACGTACATACAGACACACACGTGTAGGGGCACAGGGGAGCAGTGTGTTGAGGACCCCCCCGGACACGAGCACGCACACACACACGCACATGCACACACATGGGAGTGCAGGCAGGCAGGCAGACCCGCAGCACAGGTAAACACGCATGACACACGCACACACACGCGGGCGCACCCCCGTGCAACCTCCCCCCAACCGCCGCGCTGCCTCTGGCCGTGGGGGTCTGGATGGGGAAGGGGCTGCGGCACTACCGGGGGGAGGAGGAGGAGGAGGAGGAGGAGGATGGGGAGGCGGAGAGCAGCACGCATCCGACAGTCCGGCCAGCCGAGCCGCGGGGCAAGGGGGGGCCTGGCTCCCGGGTTAGGCCAGCTAACGGGGGGTGCCGAGGGGCTCCCGCGGCGGGAGGGAGGGAGAAGGGAAGGATTGTCCGTGGGGGACGGCGGCCTGGGTCCCGCCGGCCCGGCCAGCGTCCTGGGGACGGGGGTCCCGCGTCCCGTCGCGCCGGGGGTCCCGGCCCCGTCCCTGCGCATTAACTGCCGGGGTCGGAGCAGTGTCTGTGCAGCGGCTGCGTGTCCGGCGCGGCGGGCAGCTGCCCGGGCAGCGAGAGGCGGCGCGGCGGCGCGGGCGGCGGCTCCACCAGCAGCACCACGTCCGGTGGCGGCGGCGGCGGCGGCTCGTGGAGGGGGTCCGGCGGCAGCTCCAGCGGCACCGGGAAGCTGGGAACCTGCGGGAGAGAGGACAACCGGTGGCACCGGGGCAGGCGGGATGGGACAGGGGCTCGGTGTGGCACCCCCCTGCTGCGGGCAGCACCGGTGGGCAGTGGGGATGGGGTGAGGGGGCCGCCCCAAACCTGGGGTGGCCCCATTCTGCAGAGGGGCTGGAGAATGGGTGAGGGGCTATCCAAAGACTGGAGGGTGGCGGGGTGGGGGTGGGGGGGTGGCTCAGATGTGACCCTAACCCACAGCGTGGATGGAAGATGAAGTGATGGGCATGGGAGGGGTTTACTGCAGATTTGGGGGCCTCAGAGGTGACCCCCACCCACAGTAGCGCTGGAGGATGGGCTGCCCCAAACTTGGGAGGCTCAGAGGTGGCCCCAGCCCACTTTGGGACTGAGAGATTAGGAGAGGGGCTACCCCAAGACTGGGGCGCTCAGGCATGACCTCAACACTCAATGGGGATGGAGGATGAAGTGATGTGGCACAGGAGGGGTTTGCCCCAGGTCTGGGGTCCTCAGGGGTTACCCCAACCTGCAGTGAGGCTGGAGAATGGAGTAATGGGCTTCCCTAAGCTGGAGGGGTACTGTGGGGCTAGAGGATGTGGCACAGGGGGGGGCTGCCTCAAGCTTGGAGGACTCAGGGGTGACCCCCAACCCACAGTGGGGCTGAAGGATGGGGTGATGTGTCAGATTTGAGGTGCTGCTCCACACTTGGGGATGCAGAGACCGTGTTGTGCTGACCTGAGCGAGCGGCTGGATGGGGGTGATGGGGAGGACAGGCTGCAGCGGGCATGGGGGGCCAGGGGCCTGGTGTGGGGACGAGACCGTGCTGTATGCGGGCGGCACCAGTGCGGCCTGACGCTGCAGCAGCTGCATGATGGAGCTGATGTCTGCTGCCATGCGGGTCTCTAACCTGTTGCGATACATGTGTGTGCAATGGAAGGCAATGCTATAGGGCATCGTGACCCCATAGGAGCCCCCCAATCGCCCCAACGGGTGATTGGAGGACTCCTATGGGGTTGTGCTGCCCCTCAACCCCCTCCTAAGGTACCTATTGAGCTGCTTCTGGAGCAGGTCGAGGCGCATCTCCACCTCGGAGCGCTGCCGGCGGCTCATGGCTGGCAGTGGGATGCTGAGCGCGGCATGAGCTGGGATGGTGCAGCGCGGCAGCTCCTGGTACTGCCGGCCCCGGCTCTCCCCCCAGAAGCTGAAGATGTTGGAGACCCCCGAGAAGGCTCCTGTAAGGGCAGGGAATGGGAGACATCAGGGACCTTAGGGTGTCCCTGAAGGCAGGGGGCAGGGATGCATCCCAGCAGATATGGAGCAAGAAGCAGGGATGCTTTCCAGTGGGCGCAGAGCAGGGATGAATACCAGAAGACATGGTGAGGGGAGCACGGATGCATCCCAGCAGGCACAGAACAGGAATGGAGCAGGCAGCAGGAATGCATCACCTTAGGCACGGAACAGGGAGCGAGGATGCATCTGAGAATGCATGGAGCAGGGAGCAGGGATGCATCTGAGAAGGCATGGAGCAAGGAGCAGGGATAATGCCAGCAGGCACAGGGCAGGAAAGCAGGGATTCATCCAGTTTGTACAGAGCAGGGATGTATCCCAGCTCCTTGATCCCTGCCTGCTGGGATGCACCCCAATGGGCACAGAGCAGGGAGGCATCCCAGAAGACATGGTGAGGGGTACAGGGATGCATCCCAAAAGGCACAGGGCAGGAAGCAAGGATGCATCCCAGTGTTCACATCCCAACAGGCATGGAACATGTATAGATCCTAGCAGGTACTGAGAAGGGAAGCCACCAAGAAGTGGGCACAAAGCAGGGATGGAGCAGGGAGTAGGAATGCATCCAGGAAGGAATGGAGCAGGGGTGCATCCCAGGAGACACAGAACAGGGAGGCATCCCAGAAGGAATGGAAGAGGGAGCAGGGATGCATCCCAATGGGCACGGAGCAAGCAGCAGTGATGCACCCAGTGAGAGCAGAGCAAGGAGACATCCCAGAAGGCATGGAGCATGGATGCACTGCAGTGGGCATGCAGCTCCCCAAAGGGGCACAAAGCCAGGGGAAGGTGCAGGGCAGGGGATGGGGATCCAGGCGCAGGCAGAGCTGCAGCAATGGGGGTGTCCAGGACCTGCTGGGGATCCGCAGAACCCAGCGCGGGGAATGACGAGATGAGGGCCCCCTCCACAACCCCTGAGCCCGTCCCCACCTGAGAGCGGGTTACACATGTCGCTGCCCTCGCGCTCCTCGGCCTCGCTGGGCACCGTGTCCTGCCCACCCGCCCGGGCGCTGCGGAACGGGGACAGGGCAGCGGCCCCCGGCCCAGGCTCGGGGGGCTCCTCCTCATCGCTGGACGGGGAGCTTGGGGGGGACCCGCAGTGCCATGGCTCCCATTCTGCCGGCCCGCGCGGGGCCCCGGGTGCCTGGCAGCTCCGTCCCGGCCGCAGTGCCTGCGGCCCGCCCCGTGCCTCCCCGGCGCTGGTGGCGTCTGTGGGGGGACAGGACAGGGGTCACCGCGGCCCTAACGGCGCCGGACCGCCCCTGGCCCCCGCCCTGAACCCACCTTTGTCCGTGCGCCGGCGGAAGGAGAGCTTGCGCTTGCGCAGGCGGTTGAAGCCGCCATCCATCTCCTCGCTGCCTGGGGAGCCGGGGATCATGTTGGTCTGCGGGGAGAATGGGGGGGGTTGGGGGCAGCCAGACCCCCCCTCCTGGGCATGATGGGGCCAGCAGGAAGCTGCGTGGTGCTGCTGCTAGGGGGTGATGCTTGGGGGCACGCCAGGGTGACTGTCTCCAAGCCCTGAGCATCCCTTGCTGGGGTTGCAAGACCCCCTAGGTTGCTCAGCACCCCCTTGCTTCCCCAGGACCTCTGCAGTTTGCCCAGCACCCCCCGACTTTGCCCAGCACCCCGTAGTTTCTCCAGGACCCCCTCACTTTGCCCAGGACCCTCCCTAGTTCGCCCAGCACTCCTCACTTTGTCCAGGACTGGAACTCCCCTAGTTTGCCCAGCACCCGCCAGCTTCTCCGGGACCCCCCAGTTTTCCCAGGACTCTCTCAATTTGCCCAGCACCCCCCCAAGTGTGACAAGGACCCCCCGGTTCCCCAGCACCCCCAGTTTGCTCAGGACCCCCCAAGGCACAGCAGGATGTGCCCCCTGTGCATCCCGTGCTCCCCCTGGCCTCCGCATCCCCTCACATCGCGCAGGTTGAAGGTGATCTCGAGGCTGGACCAGAAGTGGTCGGAGAACTCGGGGTACATGTCCAGCACCTCCAGCAGGTCCTCGCGGTGGATCTTGTGCAGGTCACAGTAGGTCAGTGCCCGCACGTCCGCATTGGACTTCCCGGGCCGTGCGTACAGGTTCAGCGGCTCCCCAAAGATGTCGTTCTTCCCTGGAATACACGCACCAGAGGAGGGGGGGTCAGGCCAT